AGAGTGAAGAATATATGATTTTTAATATTCAAGAGACACTATATTTTGCAAGGCTGACAGGCCATTTACCTGAAAATACATATTTCTTGCCAATTTTGGCAATCTACAAATACCAAAGAAGCTTTCGCTTTATATATTTGCAAATATAGAAAATAATATCTTAGTAAGCTCTGATCTGAGAGTTAGCATTCTAAAGTGCATTGAGACATTAATTTTGGAGAGGTAGAAAGATAGGGAGGTTGGGAGGTTTCAAAAAAGAGAGTTTGAGAGACAGAGAAGGAGAGATAAGGGTAGAAACAGAATGAGAGAGACAGAGGGGGGGGGGGTGGCTGAGATGGTATAGAAATATGTATGACTGACAATGATAATGGTGTTTTCTGGAAAAAATGATATCCATGACAAGCAACAGGCAACTCATGACAAGCAACATCTAAACATGACAAACAGCAGACAATCATGCTGATTAATGATGACAATTTTCTACAAATGATGATTATGATTAGCCTCATCAGTGGTCATGCACATGTTCAGCCATTTTTACTTCTACGTTCCCACCCAAGATAACTAATAATCTAGAAAAAATCTGAAAAGTTGCATATTTGCGCACTTTACACATTATTTGAAAAATCTTCTTATATCTATATTGTGTAAAACAAAATGATTTTCTTTTTTCATGAAAAATTGTAAAAAGGTAAAGTATGATATCTGATTAGTACATTTTAGGGGGTACCTGACATAATATATATAAATGAACACTCCTGCTGTGATTTATTCATCTTAGCCTACAGGTGGTCAAATATTTATCACTCATGAAACAATCCACCAAGTCTCCAAGCATTTCCTCAAGTGTGACCATTCCTCCTTCCCGCTGCTTCATTCTGCAGATTTCATACATTCTAAATACTTTCATATTACAGTGACTAATATCAAAGCGGTATGACGTAAGTTTGTAAAAAAGTATCCCACCTCAAAATTGTTTATGTAAAATAGTATAGTAAAGTTGCAGAAATAAAAATAACAATATGAACAGTTATGATATATACAAATATAGACCTCATTAAAAAGCTCTGTGTAAAACAAATAATACCATTTGGAATGATTAGTACACATGCCATTGAGATAATGTTTAACTAGTTGTAAATGGAGTGTTTAAGAAAACATAGCATTCCTGTTTATCAACAACTTTCTAAACAGATTTCAGGTCTACCAGTCTCAAAACACCATACCATGCATTAATAACAAAGCATATGTTGGCGTGATATAGTACATGATATGATCTGGTATAGTTTGGAAAAGTACAGCATGGTATGATCAGGCCCATAGCCAGGGGGGGGGGGGTTTGCAGGGTTCGGGCGAACCCCCCCCCTGGCTAAAATTCTTTCAAAATCATGCAGTTTTTCACCATTTTGAGCACTGATCTGAAGTGATTTTAGCCATATTTGGGCCAAAATTGTCAAATGTGAACCCCCCTGGAAATTTTTGAAAACTGACCCTCCCCTTGGCAAATCCTGGCTACGGGCCTATGATGTATTATGGTATAGTATGGTATGGTGTGGTATGGTATAGTACAATGCAGTATGAATGTTGTGGTATAATCTGGTGTAGTTTTGTTTTGTGATAGTATGGTATAATAGTATGGTTAAGAATGGTATAGTATGGCCAGGTATAGTAAAGTTTGGTGAAGTATAGTATGGTCTGGTATTGTATGGTATGGTATAGTATGACATGGTATAGTTTCTGGTTAAATAGACTATGGTATGGTGAAGTGTGGTATGGCATGGTATTGCACGATATGGTACGATATAATTTGTAAAAGAGTGCTGTCTGGTATGGCATGGTATAGTGTGGTATAGTATGAGTACTGTACAGTGTGGTAGTATAACAATGTTACAGTAGAGTGTGGTATGCAATGCAATGGTATGGTATGGTATGGTATGGTATGGTATGGTATGGTATGGTATGGTATGGTATGGTATGGTATGGTAGGACATGGTATGTATGACATTATCTTCATCCTTCCAGTTTTTCATTCAGTTGCATTATATCCTCACATGCCTATATGATCATATTTAGTATGATTAAATATCAAAAGAATTATGTCATTATCTTTACAATTACATAATGAAATTGCTTTAACATAAATGAATTATGTTTACTCAACTATAAAGCATCAATGAAGTTGAATCTGATGAGAAACGATTCAGTTATTTTTCATTCATGAATTTGACATGTTTTGACAGATAAGCCAGGGCAACTCAGGATAAAAGTTCACAGAGCATTAAATGAGAAAACAATTCTGCCTTATTAGGGTTTCATCAAATTTCATTAGGACTATTTTCCTCTCAACTAGGGAACTTGTTTTGATATCTATCAAATCCACAATGATCATATTCTGCGAGTGTAAAAAGAAATCTGTATTTTCTGAGAACATGGTAAATATTGTTCACATCATACTATTACATATCAAACATAATTTTCATCTAATTGTTTCATTTTTTTCATTTGAAAATATTCAGATGTGATATTTTGTAAGGGCCAGTTTATCACTGTCAGTTTCAGATAATCCTCCCTTGCAAAAACAATGGAAATATGATATTTAGTTAAATAATTTGAACATGCAAAGTAAAAATATATATTCCATGACATTTATATTAACCCACACCATATATAGTCAAGCAATCCAAATATTCAAGGATATATAATACAATCTTAAATGAATTTGCACAAACAAATTATGACAAGGTAAGGTTCACATATGGCTTTATAGATTATGCATTCCCCCATTTACATTGCAGTTTTAACAACATTAAGCTTAATGCAATGTGTTCATAAATAATATGAAAACAACCATATAAAATGTAGAAATTAGGGACCATATCAAAGTACCTTTCATACTTATATGAAGATTGGAAACACTCAGGGATCTTGAGATTTGATAGGTGTAGTTATTAGAAAAATAATGATAATGTATATGGAATTTCATGAACAATGGTCAATGGGTCAGCATACCCCACTGATGACAACACTCCTAGGTCCTTAGATGAAATCCAACTATTTGACTATGGACCACTTTTTGACTTAATGGAACACTATTTGACTATGGAACACAGGCCCGTAGCCAGGATTTGCAAAGGGGGGGGGTCACCTTTTAAAAATTTCCAGGGGGGTAAGTATCTTTTGACAACTTTACCCCCCCCAAAAAATGGCCAAAATCACTTGAAAAGTGCTCAGAATGGTGAAAACTGCATGATTTTTAGCCAGGGGGAGGGGATGCTCGAACCCCTCCCTCCCCCTTGGCCTGGAACGCCAACCATACTGATCAAAACCAAAATTACTTGAAGGTCCTAGGTTCAAGTCCCAATAGGTAAAACTAATTCACTCTAACCAAATTTACCCAATATACAATTAGAAAGGGTAAATTGAACTAAACTTAAAGGATCTAACTTCATATCCCAAGGGGTGACATATAATATACATGAGATTATTATATGTTTTATCCAAGTAATCACAATAGTAAATTACTATAATCACTTTGCTTTATTAATGTCCCTAAGAGACGGTGGTTATTGGTGAAATAAGTTCAAACAAAGACCATCAATTATTACTGTCATGGAAACTAATATTAAATACTAGATACAATCAGATGAGAGAAAGAAGTTTGAAAGTTTTGGAAAATTACTTAATTCGAAGAGCTGAGCCAATATCATTCTTGTTGTGTAATAAGTAAATAAAAAATTCTCAACATTGACAATATGTGACTATTAAACACTGTTCCAAAATTCTTGCAACACCCTATTAGACAAGTTATAATCCCATTTATATCTTAATTCTAAAAATCTTGAAAGCTATTTCCAGACCTAATGTTAGAGATCAAAATGTTTTTTTTTGTTAACATAAACAGGCTTTCAAATGTTATCCAACGATGAGTTAAGTTTGCTAAACTTTTGGAGGGGAGTGTACATCAGGGACTAACATTTCAAAAAATCATTCGCACAAATAGTTTCTGGGATATTGCACTTGCTGTTACTTTTTGCATCTACATTATAATTTACAGCTACTTTTGCAATGGACAGGGGGGTAATAAGCCTCTAAAAAAAGAAGAGTCTATGTTTCTGCATGTAATGGACTTCATAATCAAAACTGAGATCAAATCTCCAGAGACCAATGTGTTCATTTCAAATAGATCCTTTAAGACATGCTATTTGGAGAGAATGGTAATGAATTAATAATTGAATTGGCACAATGACACTTTTTACTGTACTGCACAAAGGAACAAAATTGGAACTCAACGCCATCTTTTTTCCGTGCTGTTCAAAAGAATGAAGATTTGAACTCATGATCGACTACAGCGCCATCTTTTTTTCTATGCTGTACCAAAGGAAAGAAAATGCGACATTGTGAACTAAACACCATCTTTTTTACAGTCCAAGAGAATCAAAATTATAAAAAACTCCAACACCATATTTTTATGGACTGTTCAAAAGAAAGAAAATGTAAACTATTGAACTAATCATCATCTTTTTCTACACGAAATGGTTAAGGCGACATCACCTAGCTTAGTGTGTTCAGTGCTCTAGATCAATCCGCCAACTCAACAACCCCAAAACTATTCTAAGGTCATTTAGGATGGAATTCAAAGCTATCAGCCTTTAAACATAAAAATTCAATACATTCTACCCCATAGGAGTCCAACACAGGCCCTTATATAATTCACTTATCTCTACATAGAGATTGATGCAGAGGTAAAAGCAGCTGTCACATTAGCGGTGTGGGCTCACAAATTGCTATGATTTTGGGCATTTTTTGTATTTGGTGTGATGGGGGATATCTTGCTGTTTAAACTTTTTGTTTTGCCCACTGTGTATCAATCAATGCCATGCCCTGATGTCTGCACCAAAGTATTCACCCAATGGAACAGTGAGCCCACATGGCCTAAGTGTGACAGCTCCATAAAGGATGAAGTAAAGAAAATGGTTGATAAATCAGACCAGGGGACCTACCTTTAACTGTTGCTGCTCCTACTGGTTCTGCAGTAGGTACAGATGGCAGGTTGTCTGTCTCTGGGCCAGCCACATTCAGGAGGTCCTGGTCTAATTGCTCCTGCTCTAATTCTTCAAGTTCAGCCATGAGGTCATCCTTGAGTGGAAAATAATAGAAACATATGTTAGAGATAAGGACTGTATCATAAATTTCAACAATAATATCATTAGCAAAAAAATATGCAGGTATTCCCTTCAAAAACGATTTAAAAGTGTCTGTTTTATTATTTGACATGTCGGATTTGGAAATATCGATTTGAGGGGATTTTCCCAATTTGTCTACACAAAATAAAATACATATTTTGAAAATTCCCACAAGTAGTGACTACCAATAAACATTTAAGTAATTAATTGGTTGTCTTATTTAATAATAAGCATGACCAGTAAATCATTTTATGTCTTATGACCCAGATTCAACCAATCATACATTGGCAATTATGCCTAACTTGATGCAAGGCATTAACATGCAAAATGTCACCACATGCTATTTGTTACAGACACTGACTGCCATTTGCTGTAGACACTGACAGTGGTGTACATCGGACACAATTCACAAATAAGATTTATTAGGACACTAACCAGACTGCCAACCCCTCTGATTGCCCACCCACCTGGTAAACTGATCACAATAATAATAAACCAATCACACAATAATAAATAAACTTACATCATCGACAGGATCCCCAAAGCCAACCTGAGTGGAAATAGCCGAAGAGATTTCATCTGCAAGTTCATGCTGCTCTGCAACATCATCCATCAAGTCATGCACTTTATCTACATCTCTAAAAATAACAGATACAAAGATTTAATATTGAAACATCCCAGAGTGCTAGCTTTACCACTCATGCACCTCATCTACATCTCTAAAAATAACAGATACAAAGATTTAATATTGAAACATCCCGGAGTGCTAGCTTTACCACTCATGCACCTCATCTACATCTCTAAAAATAACAGATACAAAGATTTAATATTGAAACATCCCGGAGTGCTAGCTTTACCACTCATGCACCTCATCTACATCTGTAAAAATAACAGATACAAAGATTTAATATTGAAACATCAAGGAGGGCTAGCTTTACCAATCATGCACCTCATCTACATCTCTAAAAATAACAGATACAAAGATTTAATATTGAAACATCCCGGAGTGCTAGCTTTACCACTCATGCACCTCATCTACATCTCTAAAAATAACAGATACAAAGATTTAATATTGAAACATCTCGGAGTGCTAGCTTTACCACTCATGCACTTCATCTACATCTCTAAAAATAACAGATACAAAGATTTAATATTGAAACATCCCGGAGTGCTAGCTTTACCACTCATGCACCTCATCTACATCTCTAAAAATAACAGATACAAAGATTTAATATTGAAACATCCCGGAGTGCTAGCTTTACCACTCATGCACCTCATCTACATCTCTAAAAATAACAGATACAAAGATTTAATATTGAAACATCCCGGAGTGCTAGCTTTACCACTCATGCACCTCATCTACATCTCTAAAAATAACAGATACAAAGATTTAATATTTAAACATCCCGGAGTGCTAGCTTTACCACTCATGCACCTCATCTACATCTGTAAAAATAACAGATACAAAGATTTAATATTGAAACATCAAGGAGGGCTAGCTTTACCAATCATGCACCTCATCTACATCTCTAAAAATAACAGATACAAAGATTTAATATTGAAACATCCCGGAGTGCTAGCTTTACCACTCATGCAACTCATCTACATCTGTAAAAATAACAGATACAAAGATTTAATATTGAAACATCCCAGAGTGCTAGCTTTACCACTCATGCACCTCATCTACATCTCTAAAAATAACAGATACAAAGATTTAATATTGAAACATCCCGGAGTGCTAGCTTTACCACTCATGCAACTCATCTACATCTCTAAAAATAACAGATACAAAGATTTAATATTGAAATATCAAGCATTGCAAGCTTTACCAGCCAGTTTATACACAGCTTTTACAATAATCTATGACAACAGCAAAACAGCAAAATGAACTAGAAAAACAGCAACTCCACAGAGTAGCAAATCCCACCGAACAAAAAATATTATGCTTATTATAGCTAGTGTAAATGTTGAAATGTTTGTGCACTTTGTGATAGAAGCATAAAATTAGGCACAAAGTAAGTTTATACCATTGTGAACTAGGCATCATCATATAAAATTTGAACCAAATCCGTTCACTGGTATATGAGTTATCAAAGATTATGTTTTTTACGAAAATCGGCCGCCATCTTGAAATTCAGCTGCCATCTTGAAAATTATTTCTTGAACAGAGCTACTGTGTCCCTAGGCATAATCATATAAAATTTCAACCAAATCTGTTCACTGGTATTTGAGTTATCAAAGATTATGTTTTTTACGAAACATTGCTGCCATTTTGAAATTAAGCAGCCATCTTGAACATTTTTTGTCGAACATAGCTACTGTGTCCCTAAGCATCATCATATAAAATTTGAACCAAATCCGTTCACTGGTATTTGAGTTATCAAAGATTACATATTTTTACGAAAAATGGCCGCCATTTTGAAATAAGCGGCCATCTTGAAAATCTCTTTTTGTGCAAAACTCCTTTGTCCCTAGGCATCAGTATATAAAATTTGAACCAAATCCGTTTCCTTGTATTTGAGTTATCAACGATTACATTTTTTTACGAAAAATAGCGGCCATTTTGAATTGAGCGGCCATATCGAAAATGCCTTCTCGAGCAGAGGTCCTACACTCATAAGGCATAAGCCTATAAAATTTGAACCAAATCCGTCAACCGGTATTGTAGTTATCGCCCGGACACACGGACGGACAAACGGACGGCCGGCTTCTCTATATCCCCCTCGAACTTCGTTCAGTGGGATAATGAAAAGAACAGGTATATTGTTGGAATGGACAATATAGCATGGAAAAGGTGTAAAATTTCACAGAAAACACGCTTTTTGGTTAGCAACATGAAAAATTGGCTTTGCCCTTTTGCTAAGAAAATCCTTGTTCATTATCAACCATTTTTTCACAGGGGCATACCAATCTGACCACTGTTTTAATAGAACATTTTAATCAGGCAATGCTGCCATTAGAAGTTTCAATCGGACATCACTGAAAGGTCCCCTTATGTCTGGTAGTAAACACTGAACTGTTATACTTACAATTAATTGTCTAATACTTACAATTCTTTGTGTGCTGCTTTCATTGCATTTGCCGCTACCCCCATAACTTTAAGAACCTCTGTGTTAGTACTCGCATTTTCTAAAGCTTCTCTTTGGAATTCTATGGTTGATAGAGTGCCATCTATTTGTTGGAGCTGCTTCTCATAACGCTTCTTTCTTTTTAAAGCTTGTAAGGCAACTGAAATTCAAACATAATTACAGTACAACTAGTAGACTTATATGCGTCAGAGTCCTGGTTTGATTTTTTAACTAAGATAACAGAGTTCTGCTTTGACCTTCAGTCAGGTAACCCTTCATACGATCAGCCCTCTGAAAATGGAGAACACACCATTGTTCCAAATCCTAATGGTCCAGTCCCAATGGTCCAAATTCCAATCCTCCGAATCCCATTCATCCGAATCCCATTCAGCCAAATTCTGCCTTGTAATACTTAAGGAATATTCCTTGCCAGACTATTTCTCTCCTGATATGGTAGCTACAATCATATATATACTTTACATATTTAGCAAAACATGGGAAAATGTTTTCATATGGTCAATATTGATCATTTAAAAATGTAGTACTCATTCACAGTAAGCTGCCATCTTTTCATATTTCTTTCAGGAAGTGATGTCATCGACTCTCACCTGTTATAACCTTGTCTATTACAGTATAGGAAAGAAGTACAAAATCACTTCTAAACAAGAAGCCCCTATCTTCTGTGTAAAAATATTTTCAGGAGTTGTCAACTTAGAACTAAAGAAGAGATCAGTAAAAGGATTTTAATCATAGACCAAATTGAAGAAAAATATTCAGCTGGTTTAGTAATTCTAATACCTATGTTATATGAAAAGTTGAGAGTCGATGACATCACTTCCGTGAGTGAAATTTTAAAAGATGGCAGCCTACTGGAATTGAGTACTACATTTTTTAGTGATCAATACTGACCATTTCAAAACATTTTTCTGTTTTTTGATAAACTTGCAAAGTATGTATATGGTTATAGCTACCATATTAGGAGAGAGATGGTCTGGCAAGGAATACCCCTTTAATCTTAAGATCAAGATATAGATAAAGATGCAGGAAATGTGAGAATGATTAATCAAATAAATTTGAATATTTTAAAAGAAATATTTAGCTTTACCATTTAATGTATTATTCATTATGCTCCAAACGTGAAAATTCTGAAAACCAAAATGAGGCTGAGACCTGAACTTCCAGTTTCGATTCACATAGAAATGTGAAAATCTAAATTTAAGCAGTTTCAACAAATACACTGCTATAAATAAAAGGAAAATGTACGTAATCATCGTAATATGTAAAGTCAGATTCATACTTCCATTGAGAACCCCGGGTTGAGTACTTTGAATCTGAAAATAAGCAATCAAAGGAAAGTATTGAAACAGTATATGTAAAAGTGGAAACATTTGTAGAAAGTAGAAACTTTTGTTTATTTTGGTTTGTTTTGTAGTTTGGCTATGTGTTTCCTCTTATATTTTGATGCTTCTCTGCCATGTTATTTTCGAAAAAGTTAATCTGAAAACATAGGATCAAATCCTATACTAGGGGCTGATGTGAAAAAGACACTCCACCCTGGTGGGAATCGAACCCACAACCTCCCGATTACATGTCAGGTGCTCTACCACTTGAGCTACGGAGCTGACTGTCTCTTTCACATCAACATTGCATATATGGCATCACAGCCATGACTTACATGCCCAGTCTCCTGGACCCTTTAAGAGTTTACCTGTCTTTCCAGGTTGTCAATTATTTTCGAAAAAAAATAACATGATGGCTGAAACTCCCTAAATCACAAAAGGACGCAAGCCTGCTACACATTATACCTAACTATTTGAAATATACAAAAGTTAGGCCTTGTACATATGTTTCTATTTTTACATATACTGTTGCAATATGGTCATTTGTAAAAACTACACGAAAATAATTCTAAAATACCAAGGAATCTATTGAAGTAGGTATCTAAAGTGTAAGAGGCGTAGAAAATTATCCCATGTTGTAATCGTACAGTACAGTCAAAAGATTGAGACGTTCTCAGGACTATAGTCCTGGCACGGGATAAAATGTCACTCTTAGTACTATTCATATCCCATATCTTTACAAATCTTTATTTTACCTCTTTTCTTGTCTTTATTTCTTGCAAATGTTTTTGCTGTTGTAAGTTCAAGTTCAATTTTTTTTTCAAGGAAGTCTGATTTTTTCATCAACATTTCTTCTGTTTCACGCAGTCTCTGAATGCCTTCTTGTGGAGTTGGGGCCTTTTCCTTTGACTTACCCCCTCCGAACATTTTCATAAATCCAGACATAACTCTAAATTGATGTATAAACTGATGTATAACAAGAGATTCACATAAATTGACTAAACTTGATTACTTTTCACTGTGTGCCGATGAATAACAAAATATGTCGGAGAATTTCGTTACCTGTTTTGTGATTGGTTAAAATTCAAATTGACACACCCAATATTATTTATAGGGTAATTTTTCAGGAAGTAACAAATTTTGTGCAATTATCCATCAATATCCAATCAAACTGGAGAGATGTCTCAACCTCAGGTAGACGAGGGATACAATAAAGACACAGCCGACACGCTTAGATACAAGGAATTGTTTGAAAAGCTCGATGTGAACAAAGATGGACGAATTGAAATTTCCGAACTCAGTACTGCACTTGCTGCAAAGAAAAATATATCAAATTCACAAGCTGTTGGACATGCCAAGGTAGATTTATCAAATGTTCTCATCTGTGTTTTTGTCCTGTGTCAGATGATGGGCCCTGACTCAGTGTGTATCAAAACAGGAAACTGCCTATGATGTCTACATGTACACACCATCACAGTTTAGGGGGTTTACCTTCTTCCAAGGCCACTGTATCGTGGCCTTCCATTAAAGATATATTCATGCATGAACAACTGGTCATGTCGTAATCATAAAATTTGATATCATGTCCGCCATTTTTCCACATCACAATTTGAATTGCGAGTTTTGGTCTTATTACCTCACCAAATATTCCAAAACACACATAAAGTGATCAGTGTATTAGTTTACATCCTCTGGATTGCTAACATAGAATTTACAGCCAGTTACTAATGTCAGACGTTTAGTCCAGTTTTCGAATATCGCCATTTTTCTTGGAGCCATTTTGTTTTAATTTTAGATGAAATCATGTCATATCTCATCAAGGAGCCGAGCCGGTTCCGTTTTAATTAATGATTTATTTATCTATCGATTTTCAAAATATTCAATAAATTTATGACACGGCAGCCAGCTTTTTCAAATGGAGTTCACAGTATTCCAGATGAAATCACCTCTAGCCAAGTATTGGCTAGAGACTTGAGTAAAGGGGGTTCATACCATTTCCTGCATTTTTTATGGGGAACTACTGGGGCCTGTTCTGGAAATACATTGTACACTAGTCAACTACAGTATTTATTTCTCAATGTTGATCCTTGTATTATTTATGAGTAAATGTGAGAACTTCCCACTATCACAGGAACTTGTAGCACTATGATATGAGATACCATGTATGTGGCAAGATTAGACATATAACTGACTCAGATCTGACGTAAGCATCTCATATCATAGTGCTACAAGTTCCTGTGCCCACTATGTCTGTGATTGCAGATTAATGACAAATACATTTTAACATTTATGACATCTCTACAGCTGTTACTACATGTGCAACCAATGATAAATCAAAATCATTTTTCAGAAACTTTTCAAACGTGCAGATTCTGATGACAGCAAATCTTTGGACTTCTCTGAGTTTGTGGAGTATATGGGCAAACATGAGACTGAACTGAAGTTAGCATTCTCTAGTCTTGACAAAAACAAAGATGGTGCGTATACTACAAACATGTACAGTACATTTATTGTTTGTTTAAGATTTAGCTAATTATTCATCATTTATATATTTAAGGATGTATGGAACACAGTGATCACCCCAGCATTAAAGCAAGTGGGCGCAGCACCCACCTGAGACTTTGAAAATAAGCTTGCAACCACCTGAAAATCCATTTGCACCCACTTGAAAATGAGACAAATCATGAAAAATGGGGATATTTTGACCAATTTTGGTCTGAATTGTGAAAATGAAAATTTTGCACCCACTTGAGAAAAAATCCTGTGGAGATCACTGAAACATCACCCAATAGCTTCTTTTGAAGATATAAAATGTACAACTACACATATGTAAAGATGATTCTGAGTATTTGAGACTATATGTTAATGAAAACATTGAGCTATGCTTGTCTGATTATTTTCTGGGTAAATATTGGAATCTTTTAATTTTCATAGTATTTGAGCAAAATGCTTTCCACGGTTGTATTCGCAAACTGTAGTACAAACATAGAGTTCCCCCATGACCTCAATCATTTAACAATTTAATATTATTTATTGTTTATGTTAACCTAATCATGGGCTTTCAATTAGATAAAACAGTTATTTATGCTGTCCTTTATATTTATCAAATACATTTTATTCCAGGCCTTATAGAACCTAAGGAGATTCAAATTGCCCTACTTGACCTTGGGATTGATATCGATCTTGAGGAAGCAAAAAGACTCACAAAAAGGTAAGACTTATTGTCCTAAGGCTCTCTTCATAGATTCAGTGTTATAATTTCAGATAAAGGAGGTTTGGTGTATATTGAATATTGATGGAAGTGTTTTCTTCACGAGGTTCCTCTTTGTAGATGGTGTCCAACTAGTTTAAAGTGATATATATTTTTGCAAACAAAAATTGTAAATATTACTAAGGATAAATATATGTAAATACAGTTAACATTGATAGTGCTATAAATATTAATAAACAAGTAAACTTAAATTATCCTAAAAATGTCCTTATCCTATTTGACATGTATGTATTTTTTGAGTTTTTGTTCTGTTCGAAATTAAAATGATGTACATGTACTTCTGAAGCCTTTAGAATAGTATTCTAATATGCAGCCTTGGTCATTATTGAATTTACTTTGATTTTACTAAAACTAAATTTCATGTAAGTCTTCTTAATTCCCTACAGTGAATTGATATGAATGCAATTACCATGTTCTCTCTAATAAATGCACCTTAAATCCAACATATCAAGGAAAAAACAAAAAATCAAAAAAATATTTTTGGCAATTAGTATACCTTTGGGTTTAGAGAAACATGTCAGTAGCTAGGTAGGACACAGGTAAATATATTTCATTTATTTATCAGAGCTGTTTTCGTGTGAATTGTGGTTCCCAAACTTGTCTCTAGCATCTTTAGAATTCTAGATAAATTAAAACTTGTGAAAGTGAATAACCTACCTGCTAAACATTTTGAAGTGATTTGGATATGTTGTTTGAAATATATCTAATGATTTGATTTAGCAATATGCATTTTTTAGAGAGAATACGGTAAGTGTGCATGATGTACTGTAGATTGGGTTAATTTGGCGCCCGCTTTAATTTGGCGAATTTGGCGAAGTTGAAAAATTCGCCAATATAAATCTTCGCCAAAATTTAGAATGAATCCCCGGGAATTATCTAGTCACTTCCGATTTAGTTTCTTCCAAAATATGAAAAAATGTCTCATAAATTGGCTCAGAACTGGTCAGTCACTCATTAATACTCAGGGAAAAACTAGAAAGGAAAAGCACGGTATAGTAGCAGCATCGATAGAGGTGCAAAATGTAAAGGATGATCTCACAAAAATGTACAAATGTGGTGAATATCGCCAGTGGTCCTCAAAAGAAAAATGAACATAGCCAGACATGTCCATTTACATGGTAATTCGCAAACAGCGGGTAAGTTTATTTTTTTTGCATATCCGCCAAATTAAATAGCCGCCAATATGCCGAAAATGGCAAAATCGCCAAATTAAGTAGCGCCAAATTAACCCAATCTACAGTATTCAGTTTAACTTGTTCTAATATATTTAGTTTTGAACAATCCTTTTTAGAATCGACCAAGATGGTAATTTAAAAATAGACTGGTCAGAATGGAGAGATTTTTTGGGGCTATATCCGGCAGATAATATTCAGGAAATAGTCACATACTGGAGGGCATCTTTGGTAAAAATGACAAAAAGAAGTAGTTTTGATTAATGCTTTTTAGCAGCCAGCTCATTTTCTCTTGAATTGTTAATTGAAAATTATCATCCAGGCCCGTAGCCAGGGGGGTTCCAAGGGTTAGGGCGAACCCCCCTGGCTAAAAATTCTTTCAAAATCATGCAGTTTTTCACCATTTTGAGCACTTCTCAAGTAATTTTAGCCATATATGGGCCAAAATTGTCATATGTGAACCCCTGGAAATTTTTGAAAACTGAACTTGGCAAATTCTGGCTATGGGCCTGTCATCCTTAAAAATGTTTCCTAGATTTATAAGCTGATGCTAATTTTCATGCAACAATGTCTGTACTTTCTGTAGGGTTTTCCACATTTTTCCAAAATGAGTGGTGGAAAATGTTCATCAAAATCGCCTGCTATTAAAATGTTGAATAAAAAATAGAGCGCACATCTAAACAATTTTGATTTTCATAAATGTGGGTGATGCTATTATCCAAACTATGGTGCTAGTTGTATCAGAGAACTTGTGTCACCTCGAAATATTAACTCTATGTACTTAATAAATTATTTGTTGTTTATATGTTCTTAAATCTCTCAAACATACATGTACAATATTTTTCACTATTTTCATATCATTTTAATTTTTTTAACTCTGTCAATCAAAATGCTCATAGACACTCCATAAATAATTGTGCTTTGATTTTTTGTTCCTTTAAATTAAAATTTATTAATTATTTTTCTCATGTTTTGGTGTTGTTGACAATAATTTTTATAATTATTTGTTATTTTTTACAGTTTTAATATCTGTCTATATGGTGTTTAAAGAGATGCTCAGGGGTGGCAATCTATTTAGACCTTAAACATATTTTCAATATTGAGTTTTTTGAGATAGTGTCAAAATCTAAAATATCACAAAAAAGATTAGAAAATTTTGAAACAATCAGCGCTAGAATATCAGTGGTAATGTCAAGAGGAATAATACAATTTGTTTAATTGAGTTTACAATTTATTTTTTGCCTGTGGCTAATTAAATCATTGTTTTAGATAAAGTCAGTTCCCCTTAATATTATATACATGAGCATCTCTTTAAGACTTGGCTTGTATTCACGAATGCAACAATCGGCTGTGGGCTACTGGATTAACCTGCTATTTTATGGGCAACTCATTTAAATATGAATAGTAGCTGCCACTATTCCATTCATATTTAAATCCAGTAGCCGACAACCAAGAGTTTCATTTGCGAATACAAGCTTCATTATGTTTGTAACTTGTAATTTTGTCAATGTACACTTATTTCAACATATGCATGAATAGATGTCAGCACTTTCATGATCATTGCTTTTCAGTTATGAGAAAAATAAACAATAATATAATCTTTTTCTAAAATTAAACGCTCTGTAATATAACTTTTTTTAGTATTTCAATTAATTTTCTATTTCCTATCTACGTATCTTTTCTATTTCCTACACTTTTCATTTAATATGATGAAAAATTAGAATCTTTATCAATTATTTACAAAATGCCTGTTTGTTTACTCTCAACATGTCCTTCTATTTAGTTCAGAGCCCATCTTATCTATATGTCCATTTTTCTTTTTTCTTGTAGACATTGGTTTTGTTTTATTGTATATTTTTTATCTTAAAGTGAGATCATTCGCTAAAAAGGATTTGCGAGTAACGATGACCTGAGGTCATTGAGCTTATGACAAAATAAACAATGATGAACAAATGGGGAAAATATTGTGTACAAATACTCATATTAAACATGTCATTATCAGGATCAAATGAAAAAATAATATATGTCAAAATTTCGCATTTTAACGAATGGTCATACTTCAGCATTCCAGGGATCATTTTGATGCTATCTTTTACCTACTACTGATCAGCAGGACATCAAGAGATCTACAGTGTCTGCATAGTACTCTATACTTTAAATGTCTTTTAATTTTGTTTCTTTCAACATGCCTGTTGTTTCCTGATGTACAATTTGTTGGATCTAATTTGTTTGTGCAAAAACACAATTACTTTTGGTTGTGCTTGAACACAATGACTTTTGGTTGTGCAAAAACACAATGACTTTAGGTTGTGCTTGAACACAATGACTTTTGGTTGTGCAAAACATAATGACTTTTGGCTGTACTTTAAACACAATGACCAATTCAGTCACATGTACAAAATAATTCATATAGTGGCCCTATAGTGAACCCTCGGTCTAAAATTTCAAAGTGTGATCCAGAATTTTCTTGTACAGCCCACTGTCACTAAATTAGTATTTGATTTCCATAAACAAATGGTACATCATGGAACTGTATCTAATAAGAGGTCAGAATGACACAAAACACCCAATTCCTTATTCTTAATTAAATCTGCCTGTGTCATTAGCTTCATGTAATTTTGCATGTTTATAGATTGGATCGTGATGGGAACTTGAAGTTGAGTTATGAGGAATGGAGAGAGTTCTTGCAATTATACCCTCACACTGACTTAGAGGACATTGTCAAATACTGGCGGGCTTCCTTGGTATAGTACTCATTCTTAAAGGCAGAATCAGAGAAATGGAGGGTGACGAAATTACATGTAACATGTATGAACCACCTGCCACTTTATTCTTGACCATTTTAAATATATCACTCAAAAATGATTGTAATGATGAAATTTTATTCATAGCTTAATTTGTAAAGACGTGTCAATTCTCTAATAATACTGTAGAAATCTTAATAAAAAATTAACACATTTTTCCTGGAATAAAATATGAACTTTGGGGATTTTAAAAAACTATTCTTTAGATGTGTTTGTCCGCTAGATCTTATTCTGCCTAGATCTTATTCTGCCTGCTAGATCTGATTATGTTTGCATCAAAATGATATCATCATTCTGCTGCAAACTAAGAGGTAATATTCACTCTGAAAGAAAGAGAATGGGAGGGAAGGGTGTTGTAACAGGGTCTTGATGGAAATCATCCTACAATAATTACTTAATCCAAATTTTCATTTTTATGTGTCCCCCAAACAATGACGGCATTTTGTTACAGCCTTAAATAGTGACCAAAAACAAGCTTTTTACATAACATTTGGAAATTGACAATTATTAGACATGATAATATTGACAATTATGAGTTGATGAGTACAAGAAAGTCTTTGGTCAACCCTCATCTATTACATCTCAGACCTTTAACCTAATTCCTTACTGTGTATGCTGTATCTAGTTGTAGCTGCTACACTATATAAGCTGAGCATCATCTCTTGAAATTGCAAGGGAGGTTCCAAAACTTTTTGGAATTTTTAAAAAATTTGATTCCACATTTTGAAAAGAATGGGTATGGATATGGTGAACTTTTTGAACACACGTTTCTCTTAAACCAGTCATCAAAAATTTCTGAAAATCTTACAAATTGTCAATTTAATGGCCATCTTTTGAATGGTAACAATATAATTTGAAATAGATATACATACTTTCATCTATATTGTTTTAAAAAAACACATCAAACACTTGTTTTGTTCTTTGTATCATGTTTCCAGAGTGAAATAAACGGTTTTTCTTGATTTTTATCTATTTTGGGGGGATTTTGTTTTAATTTTTTGAATACTTTTTTACAATCAACCAAAAATTCCTTTGTATAACTTTAATATTGAGAGGTCTAAAAACATGTTGTATATGCTATTTTGTTCCAACAAGGTTCGGAAAGACATTTTATTTCATTCTCAAGAATTGGTAAAAAGGAGCAAAAACAATTGCCCTAAAAAAACAAAAAATGTTAACAAAAACAGTTATATAAAATATTTCTAAATAATTTTCGCATTAAATTGTTGTCAATCAGTAAACATTACATAAAATACCATGTTTTTTTTACAGAATGTTTTCAATGATTGGTTTAAGAGAAAAACATTGTTGAATTCAGTTCTCCATATCGATACCTATCCTTTGGCACATTTTTTGTAAATTCATATATAGTCACTATAACTGTAATAGTTGTTACATGGTAGGCACATACAGACAGTCTCAAAAAGTGCATGTAGATTTTTTCATAAAAGGCCAAATGAAATGAGTGTAACTGAAATTGATATCGAATCAGAGAGTGAGCTACAGTTCCAATTAGTTTTTAACTTAAATATATATATATTACTCTTTCTTTTTTATTTATTACTATCTTTTGTCAATTATTGTAGTGCATGTAGATGGAAAAGTTTCAGGTTATGTGTGACTTCTTATGAGTAAATGAAATTCAATATATTATTTGATCATTAATACATTTAAGCCATTTGATCCCATATCATCATGGTTTGTTTAGCATTACTTTAGTAAGTAAATTCAGAATACTTTACATTATAAGTCTTGTCCTTCATTGTTGATCAAAAAGAAAGCTTGTAATTAAGATTGTAAGAAAACCTTGTACAGATGTAAGAGCAAGCTTTGCGTGTCAAGGTCTGCTTAGCCTTTGGGCATGCTGTGGGTTATATACAAAATGGTCATTATAGATTTCCAATGTGATCTTTGTTACTATATGCTGTATGTTTTTAGTTTCCATTATGATATTATAAGACATCACCTTAATTACAGATGATCGACATTGGTGACAATTTGACCGTACCACCAGAATTCACGAAAAAGGAGAAAGCAACAGGAATGTGGTGGCGCCATCTTTTAGCAGGTGGTTTGGCTGGGGCAGTGTCAAGGACATCAACAGCTCCTCTAGATAGGCTAAAGATATTATTGCAGGTACAATGTATATTGTTGTCACACTTTAGCCATATTTCTGGAGCATAATGCTAAACAGCAACGCACCATTATTTGTAAAAATGTGTAAGGTTGGTGTGAACGAAAGATTACCTTAGCGTTGTTCTTGTCTCCTTGTTGGTAAGATGTTTCTTTCGTTTGTAATTTGTAACTTATCTTGATTATCTAACTTATCTAAAGTGTGCACACCTAAAATTATATCTAAAACTAATCTTCAACTGCCTATGTCTTTACATGTGGACAACCTGGGCTCAACTGACCAGTTTGGCCTCTATAGCATAATTAGCCCTTTTAAATCTCTGGTTACCTTTAAAATAACTTGGTATTGAGGCAATTTAGCCCTTGTAGTAAGTTTCTCTTCTTATTTATATTACATCTCCCCCCTTCTTGAGTTTGTCATTACTCAGACAAGCTTTTATACAATAAACTTCTTCTTGTTCTTCTGTTTTTCTGCTATTTACAGTGATAAAATATCTTGGATAGCTTTTCCAAAATAAAATATAATACTTCTATAAAAATCTCAAATTCAATTAAGTGTCACTATCACTTTATGTCACTTCTTGGATTATCCATTAGGAAATAATTGCCTCTCATCAAGGTCATCATCAAGGTCTCTTTTTAGGGGTCTCTTGACTAACTTAAGTGTAGCAGCATCATCTTGTAAAGTCATGTCTGTAGGCAGCATGTCAATATCAGCTTTACTCTTTGTTTTTCTTCTGGCTACTAAATCATCTTTGTTAAACATATCATCAAACTGGAATGGTATGACAAAATTATCATCATCATTTTCGGCTGCATCTTTGACAGATGTGAGTTTCATCTCAGCTTTAATATTCTTGCTAACATCATCTTCAATCTGTAATATCTGTTCCCATTGCTGTCTTGTTGTAACGAATGCATCAGTTTTTCTTTTGTACACATGTTGATTCATCATGTCTGTGTCCAGTCTGCTAAGGATGTCTTGCCCAATGATAACAGAGGCAAGTAAATCATCTGAAACAGCAGCTTGTACATTATAAGTTTCATCACCAATCTGTATATCAGCTGATGTAGTTGAATACACTTTGCTGTCTCCATGGACACATGTCATGCTCACTTTATCATTGTGTATAACTGCATCTTCATTTATCAGATCTCCATGTATAATAGTTTGACAGCTACCTGTATCTACAATTACTTCAATTTCTTCATTATCTAAATTTGCCAAGACTGTGCCATCGCCTCTACGCGAGTATTTTGTGAATAGGTCCTCAGTTTTTCTGCACAAGAAACTACGCTTATTTCCTACATAACATTTAGCTGTGACATGACCATATTGATTGCATTTTTCACACTTAAGGGACGTGTCTACCATACAATTTTCTGTGGGATGAGCCTTACCACAATTGTCACATTTAACAGAACTTTTATTATCAGCTCTGTTCTCTGATTTACAACTATCAGATTTGTGCCCAGTTTTATGGCATTTAAAACAAAGTGTTTCATTGGGGCAAGTCTTCGCTTGGTGCCCTGGCTCATTACAGTTAAAACAATTGTTGTGAGCGCCATCTGTCTTGTTCTTTCTCTTGAAGGTTGGACTTTTGTTCCATACTGGTGGATCATTTTTCCTGGCTTCTAGAAAGTTGTCGGCTAGTTTCACGACATCATCTGTTGTTTTGGCATCATTTTCTTTCACCCAAGTCTGGACATCAAGTGAAAGAGTGTTGACTAGTTGTTCCTTCATAATTCTGTCTTTAATTTTCTCAACTGTATCTGCATCTTTCATCCATTTCTTAAAGGTGTCTTCTAATCTGATTGTAAAAGTTTTAACTCCTTCACCAGTGTTCCTCTTCAAACTTCTAAATCTTTTTCTGTAGGTTTCGTCATTGATGGAGTATCTGTGAAGAATGGCTTCTTTTACAACATCATAATCTCTGGCATCCTCAATGGCAACACTTGCATATGCAGACTGTGCTTTACCAGTGAGATTGGGTCCTAATTTTAGAGTCCAGTATTCTCTTTTCCACCCACACATCTCTGCAGTTCTTTCAAATACTGTAAGATAGTTCTCAATGTCTTCATCATCCTTCATCTTCTGGATTTGTGGATCCTTCGGCTTATTTCTGAACTCCAACTCTTGTTGTCTTAATTCAGCTCTCAATCGTCGTTCTTCTTCAAGTTCATCTCTGTGTATCCTTTCTTGTCTCAATCTCTCTTGTCTTTCAGCATCCAACATGTTGTGCTGCTCCTTAAGTTGAAGTTCCATCATCATATGTTGATGCTGACGTTCTGCTTCACTATTCTTCATCATAGCAGCCATCATTGTCATCATTTGTTTCATTGGGTCCATGGTATCTCCTTGAGCCCCTTCTTCATCAGCTTCATAAAATTCTTGTTTTTCTGTTGACATTGTGTTTGGTTTCTTCTTCTTCTTGGCTTGTTTTTGTCTATCTTCGAATGAATCGTATGTTTTGTTTCTAGTATCGGGCATTCCTTATACCCTTACATAAATAAACTTGCTCTATTCACACAGAATTGAGAAATAAAATCAATCAAATGTCTCAATCAAATATGTTCTCAAAATTCAATTGAATAAATTGTACATGTACTTTAGATATGTACAGTTTGTTTATTTACATTTGCATTATGCAATTTGTTTTGATTTGAGTCTAGCCAAATGTATTATGTAATTCTAATTGATTAAATTCAAAGGCTAAACTTTTCTCTGCATGAATTCAAACTCACTCAATTGATGTGAATAGATTCATTATGACCTTCTAATAAAGTCAATGTAAATTAAAAATGTATCACTCACTTAAAAATTCTATTTAAGTGGTCAATAAGCCTGCCTGCAAAAATCAGTAAGAAATCTCAACACTAAACTCATTTCACACCTTTTCACCACATTTCATGAAATTCAATGTAATGACTGAGATCTCAATACCTAATCTTATACAAGGTAATTTTAATGCTGTTTGAAATTCAACAGTGCCGTTGAAATCTGAACACTCAAGCTGGCTAATTTTACACTAAACTTGGCTACTTATGCACTAAACTTGGCTACTTGGATTAGCAATATAGGATGGTCTACTTGAATTCTCAAATACATCTTGTTAGCAATATGTGTACTATAGGACCTGTAATAACTATCAATATTCCAATCTAACTTGTATGAACATCTAACCTCTAAAAACAATCTCAATTGAGACTACACATTGCAGTTTTCTGAAATGTACTTCAAAATTGCCTCTATAAATGAACTTTTACCATATAGACTTCTTTAATGCTAAATTCAATTACTTCTAAATTATGAACCTCTATATGCACATCTAATAGCACCTCTATATGCACGTCTGAATGCACCTCTAAAATAGCATTTCTAGAAAATCAACTTCTACCTCAATAAGCATCTATAAACTGACATCTAAGAAATTGTCCTTCTGGGACCATCTATAAATTGCAAACTTTAGTAACTGCACTTCTATTAAAATAACGTCTACAAATTGCACCTCTAGAATATGCAAAACTACCTAAACATCTAAACATCTAAACTTCTATAAATTGAGTTGAGCCCTAACATAGAATTGAAATTCAAATTATCAAAATCCTAACTGTCCTTTTGAAAATTGGAGAAAATAAGTGTTCTCACCAAACTGCAAAATTCTTCTTTCTTCTTCGAAATTCGTCTTTCTTTCGGAAATTCTTCTTTCTTCTTCGAGACGTTGTTCTTTCCACCGCTGCCACCATGTGAACGAAAGATTACCTTAGCGTTGTTCTTGTCTCCTTGTTGGTAAGATGTTTCTTTCGTTTGTAATTTGTAACTTATCTTGATTATCTAACTTATCTAAAGTGTGCACACCTAAAATTATATCTAAAACTAATCTTCAACTGCCTATGTCTTTACATGTGGACAACCTGGGCTCAACTGACCAGTTTGGCCTCTATAGCATAATTAGCCCTTTTAAATCTCTGGTTACCTTTAAAATAACTTGGTATTGAGGCAATTTAGCCCTTGTAGTAAGTTTCTCTTCTTATTTATATTACAGTTGGACTATTTATATATTTCTGACTAATAAAATCCATGCCTTTTAGTTTTTAACCAAATGCCATCACTTTTTAAGATTTTATCAAAATACTTAGTATTTCTTCACTGCAAAATATAAAGAGTTTTCATGTTAGAGCTATCTTTTCAAATATATCTTGATTTTAAACCTTAATATCCCATCAACCGTGAACACTACCAAAGGTTCAGTAAACCATAACAGTAGTGACGACATACCTGTACTCACAAGAATTTGTATTATTGATCAATTTTATCACTGACTAACATTCATATGATACCGATACTCTATGTATGCTATAACTGTACTCTCTGAGTTATTGTCCCCAATTTTCATAGACCTTAGTAGTCCTCATTTTGTGTAAATTAATATAGAAACAATACTATACATTGACCTTTGCCACTGTCTCTTAAAGGTGCATGGGGCAAGTAAAAATCTTGGTATAGCCAGTGGATTTAAATACATGATCAATGAAGGAGGGATCAAATCTCTGTGGCGAGGAAATGGAACGAATGTACTGAAAATAGCACCAGAATCTGCCATCAAATTTGCAGCATTTGAACAGGTATGTGCTGTACTTGCTATCCTTTTTTGCATACAATTGGTTCACGTACCCTGCCAGTTACCCTTGAGTTTTGCATACAATTGGTTCATGTACCCTGCCAGTTACCCTTGAGTTTTGCATACAATTGGTTCATGTACCCTGCCAGTTACTCTTGAGTTTTGCATACAATTGGTTCATGTACCCTGCCAGTTACTCTTGAGTTTTGCATACAATTGGTTCATGTACCCTTCCAGTTACCCTTGAGTTTTGCATACAAAAGGTTCATGTACCTGCCAGCTACCTTTTTTGCATACAATAGGTTCATGTACCTGCCAGCTACCCTTGAGTTTTGCATACAATAGGTTCATGTACCTGCCGGCATTGTTCCACTTCTTATGTCGGGTGACATATTCTTTGAATTTCCAATTTTTTGTGGCCAGTGTTTGGCATTTGCCATTTGTAACAGCATTCAGCTGTTGATATCTGTAACAAATGGCAGGTGGTGACATTTAGCATATTAATGCCTTGTTTGCATAAATTTGCATTTTATTTAAAAAATTCAATCATTTCGAATACATAATCTATGAAATTTCAGTCCATAAAATTGAGGTAGAATTTGTTTTTGTCCCAATTGCAATGCTTTATTTTCCAGATCAAAAAGTTTGTCCAAGGTGACAAGAAAAGCATTGGTGTAATAGAGAGGTTTGCATCTGGAGCCTCAGCAGGGGCATTTTCCCAAACATGTATTTATCCATTAGAAGTAAGGTTTTAAATATGTAGCTAAATATTCATTAGTATCGTTTTAGGTAGTTTTACAAAAAAAGTGCAAAAATTGGAGAAATTGAATCAAAATATTTTGATTTTGAATTACGTATTCTATCTAGTATAAATATCTATGATTCCATAAAAAAAATATTAACAATTATAATCCTTTACATTACATTTTTTCCAAAAAAGCAAACATACACGGTGACTCAGAAATTATGCAGATTTGGCCAAAATGAAAACGTTTAACCTTTTAACATGCAAAAGTCACCTACTATTAAATCGTATGTGATTTTCTCAGGTAATCAAGACCCGTATGGCTGTTATGCAGAGTGGGGAGTTTAAAGGTATACTTGACTGTGGCTTGAAAATAATGCAGAAAGAGGGATTTGGTGCTCTATATAGGGGATATGTACCAAATCTCCTAGGGATAATACCTTATGCTGGAATAGACTTAACCATCTATGAGGTTAGTATTGCAAGAGAGTGAGTATCACGCAAAATAAAAATAAGATTTATTTAAGGAAAAAAGACCAAGGTTTAATGATTTATGGCACAATATATGACCGAAAATTTCATTCTGTTCATTGTTAAAAGACCGAAATCGTGGAGTGATTGAGGTCTTTGACAATGGGCAGAATCAAATCTTTTCACTCAAGAGGGTAGTCAAGAGGTTAAACACATTAAAACCTCTCAACTGGAACAGAGTTCTCACAAGATAAACACCTCTGTAACACAAACATTTTTCACATGCAATATTCAATCATACAAGTCTTACTCAATATTTAGCTGTGTCAACGTCACCTCTCTTAAGATGAACACATGTGTACCTTAATGATCTGAGGACGCACTTTGTGCAATTGCATTGGTTTAAACCTTCTTACGTGTGTATAGGTGATGTTTGATGCTGAGCAAATGCAAACACTCTTGTAGACTGATCATCAATTCGACAACATTAGGTTCTCTAATACCTTATTACGCAACGTGACATGAAATGTCAGCGTACCTTCATGTTATAATGCTATGTACATCTGTCAGCTCCAAGTTTAGTTCAAGAAATCAATTTCGTTTGTTGGAGGGTAGGGGCTAGGGGGTTCTCTTGGGTGACTTGGTTTTCATAATTTTTTAATTTGTAACCTCCGAGTTTTTGATGAAATCAGACTTCTGTTGCAAAATTTTTTTCAAAAAAATCTTTGGAATTTTACAATATTGTTTTCTCATCATTTGTCATGCTTGATTCCAAAAAAAAGTCGTAACAAAACAATTCTATCTTTATTTTAGGACAATCCTTCAAATTCCAAAAATGTCCATCAAGAAAATTCAAGATTAGGTTCCCTTTTTCAATTCAAATAAAATTTGGATATTTCTCACTCCCACTAAAATTTATCAAAAACTATATCAAATATCTCATAAGGAGATTTAAGGATTTTAAGGGAAACAACAGAAGATTGTTTGAATTTCCATCATTTTACTTCTATCCACTTCTAGTTTGCTGCTACCTTATGAAAGAAATTGTTATTTGTCAGTATGTCTTAATGATTTGCAGTATAAACATTTTTTGAGGGAGTCAATATAACCCAGACAGATAAAATATTGATATTAATAAAGCAAATCCTTTCCAGGAAAGCAAATAAAATTCGGTTAATAGGATGTTTTCCTTGGTCACACTGTCTCTTAGGAAACAAAATCCATATTCCTTCCTTCTCATTAAATAAACCTCTCTTTATCCCATAAATGTTTTACTTTCCAGTGAATAATACCAAGGAATATAATTCATATTGAGAAAATCTTCCTTTCCCAACTTATCCTTGTTGTATTAACCTGATTATCATATTTTTGAGTTGATTAGCTTTTGGGTGGCCATCTTGTTTCCTGACAGCCATTTCAGGGAGTTTTTTATGAATATCATCAGCATGGTTTCAGGAAAGCCACTTGTTGGTTTTACTTCAAATTCATGCCTTTTTGGTGATGTAACTCCGTTCAAGCCATGTGCCTTGTTGATTCAGTTTTTAAAGAAATTCCTACGAATTTATATTGCTTATTCGATGGTTAAAAGTAGAATACATGGCATATTTGTATTGCATGTATTACGATATGTTAATAGTTAAATAAAAACACAGAATGAAATTCTGCGATAAGGGCTGATGTGAAAAGTCGGTCCAACCAAGTGGGGATTCAACCCACAACCCCTCACTTTCCGCATGCATTATTATACATAAATACATCTAACTTTTGCTTATTTTGTAGACTTTGAAACAGATTTACATGAAGAAAAACCCAGAAGTGAAGGAACCCAGTGTAATGTTGCTGTTAGCATGTGGCACAGCTAGCAGTACATGTGGTCAACTGGCTAGTTATCCATTAGCTCTAGTTAGAACCAAACTCCAAGCAAGAGGTAGGTCCACTTTTTATAAAATGATGATATTAACGCAAATCTCTCTCTTTCCTTCTACAGTAAACAACATTAATAACCTGTAAAATAACATGTGAAAATAAAGTTGTTGTTTTTAGCTCACATGGTGAGCTTTTGCAATCACTCACTTGTCCGTCTGTCTGTCCGTCCGTCTGTCTGTCTGTCCGTCAACAATAGTGGCACGTTTTAAAACCTCTGTCGATAGGATTCCTGTTTTAAGTTATTTCTGTTCAACATCAATACAGAAAACTCCCCTATGACTCCTGGTTCAAAAGCTCGCCTATTTTCAAAATGGCCGTCACTTTTGTCTCGCGAAATTCACTTTTGACCCATTTCCTAGCTTTACAAATAATTTCAGGTGTCCTACACTGTAAAAATCCATGTCAATGTAAAGGGTAGATATATGTAATAATATTGTTACAAAAAATCAGCGAAAAATTGTATTCATTTTTTTATTTTCAGCCATTTTAGTTAACATTGATTTGTCTATCTGACTCGCGAAATCCACTTTCCGTCAATAACAGTGGCACGTTTTAAAACCTCTGTCGATAGGATTCCTGTTTTAAGTTATTTCTGTTCAACATCAATACAGAAAACTCCCCTATGACTCCTGGTTCAAAAGCTCGCCTATTTTCAAAATGGCCGCCATTTTTATCTCGCGAAATTCACTTTTGACCCATTTCCTAGCTTTACAAATAATTTCAAGTGTCCTACATTGTAAAAATCCATGTCAATGTAAAGAGTAGATGGGGATAATTTTGTTACGAAAAATCAGCAAAAAATTATATCCATTTTTTTATTTTCAGCCATTTTAGTTAACATTGATTTGTCCATCTGTCTCGCAAAATCCACTTTTGGACCATTTACCTTAAACCCTCTGTCGATAGAATTCCCGTTTTAAGTTAATTTTGTTCAACATCAATACAAAAAACTCTCCTATGACTCTTGGTTCAAAAGCTCGCCTATTTTCAAAATGGTCGCCATTCTTTTTCCGCGAAATTCACTTTTTCCCCATTTCCTGTCCTGCATTGTAAAAAGCCATGTCACTGTAAAGAGTAGTTGTATGAAATAATTTTGTTACAAAAAATCGGCAAATATTATATCTGTTTTTTTTTTATTTTCAGCCATTTTAGTTAACATTGATTGGTCCATCTGTCTCGCGAAATCCTCTTTTGGACCATTTGCTTAAAACCTCTGTCGATAGGATTCCAGTTTCACATTATTTTTGTTCAACATCAATACAAAAAAACTCCCCTATGACTCCTGGTTCAAAAGCTTGCCTGATTTCAAAATGGTCGCCATTTTTGTCTCGCGAAATTCAATTTTGGCCTATTTCCTAGCTTTACAAAATTGCATTGCAAAAAGCCATGTCACTGTAAAGAGTAGTTGTATGAATTATTTTTTTCAAATAATTGGCAAAAAATTATATTCGTTTTTTTCTGAAACCATGTGAGCCCAGTACCCACGGTACTAATTATTTTAAAAAGTAGGTCCAATCTAGAATTCATGAGCCTTAAACACAGAAATGGATCAATTTATCAGTATTGCATTTTTTGAGTTTAGAATGCAAAATAATGTTAAAAGTGGCTGAAAAAATATGGGACTTATTGATGAATACCTTGAAGATGGGACTTTGAATATGGGACTCATGGTTGGATATCAAGAACATGGAGCATGAGGCTCATTGATAAATACAATGTATGTTTATCTGAACTCAATTAATGACTGCATTTTATAAAAAGTTCAGTTTATTGGTATTTTCTATGAAATGAAGTAGTTAGAATCAATGTTTTAGAAGTGATAAAATAAATTATTGTCTAAAATATTCAACACATTGATGAATATCTAATATTTAAGAATCATATGTAAAATTCTATAATTTATTCATTCCCAAAAACCGTTGTATAATTTCAGTGACATCTCACACAAGCTTCCTCGGACTTGGAAAACACATAGTTGAGAATGAAGGACTTTTAGGACTCTATCGCGGCATAGGACCAAATTTTATGAAAGTTTTACCAGCCGTCAGCATAAGTTATGTGATATATGAAAAAGCCAAATCTCAATTGCAAGTCAAGTAATGGAATATATGTGGTGTTTAAGGTTGGCAGAGTCAAATGGTGTTGTATATGATACCACTATGCAATTATATATGTTAAAGGTCCCAGATTTAGTTAGATTGCTGTATTTGGACTACCTTAAATGAAATAAAAATGTATTTGATGACCAATTAGCCCATAGACATTAGTCTTTTATATTTGTAGAAATCCCTGGTAAGGAAGTTCTCAGTAATCTCATTTTCTCTACTTTTATAAAGATTTTAGATGGTAGATATAAAGACCACCATACAAACAAAAATAAATATGCAAAATATCTCTTAAAGTATGGCTATATTTAATGCCATTAAATTACCTTTGGTAAAACTGGTTTAAGGACATTTATAGTTTAATGTGTTTAACGCCTCATTTTAGACACCTAACAGGATGTTAAACGTGTGATTAATTTTGAATGGCCTAAGTGAAATACTCATTAGCATTGCATATTTTGCAGCAAAATAAAAACTGAATTTATAATTTTCATTGATTTAACTTCATGAAGCAAGCTAAATAAACCTCAGGTTCGGATAATAAATCTTGCAAAAACAAAACAAAGACATCAAATACCTCAATGTCTCATAAAATGGATATGTATTTGCAATAGTGATGTTATGTGCAAGTTTAAAAAACATAAATCAAAACCCTGCAATTGAAACATTTACATGTAGTTTACATAAATTAGGTTCTAATTAAAATGTACATTTTATGTACATGTGTACCCATAAGTCTGGATCACTCTGTACTGTATTGTTTGTCTTGGTTTGAATATTATTTTTGACTTGTATCATGGGGAAAATCAAAAATAAATAATGGATAAATGTATGTGTTTAAACAATCACTCGTAGATAATCAAGGTATCTTGTGTAAAGATAACCTCTTGTTCAAAGAGAATAATACACAATTTTTAAAACCTGCTTGGCTAAAATCTAAAAACAAGTAAAGTAAAAACAGGTGGTGCAAAAATTGAATTTTAGTTAATGTAAAAGTATCATTATACTTTATATTTACACTTTTGCTGAAAAAATGTCTGAAATAATATTTTTCTGTAAAACTTTGGCAAGAAATTCGCCTCACTTTACTCATGTCTAGGCCAATGGACGAGAAATTCTATTTCATTTAATATTTCTCCTATGTGTTTAGTGTACTGAAACAGATGAATGAAGTTGTTGAGGCACAATTGTGACAGCTATTTCACAGGGAGATATGCAGAATACTAAAGTAGTACTAAATTAGTACTCTGGCAAAAGTGCGCTCATGAGCACTCATGCCACAAGTGCTAATTTAGGACTTATTCATGATATGAGTACTCATTTAGTACTAAAACATGCAATTAATTAGTGCTCATAGTATGAGTGCTCATTGAGTAATAAAAAAATCAATGACATTAGTGCTTTTTTTATCACTCATCATATGAGTACTCATTAAGTACTAAAAATGCAAAAAATCAGCACTCATGTCATTAGTGCTCATTTAGTACTAATATTTGATGAAATGGGTACTCAATTAGCGCTTAAATGCCATGAGTACTATTTTAGTACTCAGCATATCTCCATGTGTGCAGTTTCAAATATGGCAGCCCTATTGGTTTCTTTATTAGTATTGTATTAAAATAGCTAAATTCAATAACCTGCACCACTCCAATTGATTACCATATATTTGTATTAGTATTGTATCTTGAACAAGTAGAGTAAAACCTGTGTACAGTGAACACCTATGGAGATACATAAATGTGTTCATTGTAGGGAGGTGTTCGCAAGTATAGAGACTGTTAAACAGAAGTTAATTGAGTATGTGCTGAGGAGGCCATGGGTGTTCACTAGGCACAGGTGTTTACTAGAGGGAGGTGTTCACTAAGACAGGTTTCACTGTATGTATATGTCCATGTGAGTCACAGAATGACAAATATATTACCAGTAACAATTTACTTGCACACATCTTGTAGCTACATGTACACAGAGTGTATTGCAGATTTAAGCAATGCATTAATTTCATCAAATATATTTGTCTTATTGTGTTTACATCAATTTTCAATATATGTACATATATAATATATATGCATGACTCTATTTTATATACTCTTCATAAAGTATTTATATTTCAACTAAATAAGTATGAGCAAATTCAAAAAGTTCACGATAATTGCATTGATGCACAAGCAGGCCCGTAGCCAGGGGGGAACCCCCCCCCCCAAAAAAAAAAATCTTTCAAAATCATGCAGTTCTTCACCATTCTGAGCACTTTTTAAGTGATTTTGGCCATTTTTGTACCTCCCCCTTCAAAAAGTGACCCCCCTTGGCAAATCCTGGCTATGGGCCTGACAAGATATATTTTTCAGAATCAGGTCTTGTACAAGGTTGATCAAAGTTCTGTCAGAATATTATTTTGTAGACTTTTTGATCAATATATGTCATCAGAATATTTATTTTGATTAATTAATATGAGGTTTGTTAACCTTCTTACATTCTTACAGGTTTGGCACTTAATTATCAATGATAAACCAAATCATAGAAACTGTTAAATATAAGAACAAATATGTACAAAAAAACAGATTAAGATTATTTTGATACTATATATTGATCGACCTGGTACAAGGACTTTTAAACTGTCTTCCAGTGGCTTTCTTCTTACACATTAGAAAGCACTTGATGGGAGTTTTTGTTTTGTGTAGTGTTTATGTAACAAAATTATTACGTATATTGTATATTGTCAGTTTTGTTCTTTTACAATAAAAGTTAAATCTTTACAATTCAGAACTTAGTTATCATGTAGTTTTTATTTGATAATACAGGTACAGTAGAATCAGGTTTCTGGTGAAAAGTTTACTCACTTCTTCTTAAAGGTAGCTCTGCATGTCTGATTTTTTATGTCTCCATTTTTGTGACATTCAAATCTGAATTTACATTTTCAGATTTGAACTTCAGTGACCTTTTCAAGGTCAAAAAAGGTTCAAAAAGGTCATTTTTCAACTTGCTTCAAATTGACCAATTTTTATTTTTTCAAAATCATCTATAATCTATCAGAAGTTCAAATCTGACTTTAGATTTAGGATTCGACTTCCAATCACCTTCTCAAGGTGAAAAAAGGTATTTTTCAACTTGCTTCAAATTGACCAATTTCTTTCAAAATCATCTACAAGTTCTCAAAAGACAGCCTGTAGAGAATGCTTCCCCCTCATGCCTCTATACCCCCTCTATACACAGGGTATCACCATTGTCGTCCTTAATTTCTTGAGATGCTGTACCAGTTTCTGCATGGAGAATTTGGAGAAATTTTTATTTAGATAACAGACAATGTGCTAAATTGGACTGATTTACACAGTGCTGACATGCAGATGCACCCTATGCAGACAGAGCCTGTGGGAAATATTGGGTGCGGCGCAAATGAGCGGAGGGTGCGGAGCTAACGGTCATTTTTGAATTTAAAATTGGGATATTTCTGAAACTAAGCCGTTTTGGGACTTCAAATATACCAAGATATGTGTATTTGACATCAAATATCAATAAAATTGTGAAAATAGTAGTGCAATTCATTTTATAGCGACGCAGTATGCCTTAAACATTTCCCAGACCTATATATTTTGAGACTATCCTTTTAATACTGCGTCCCCAGCATTCATAAAAAATGGTGTTCAAGATACACTACCCATGCAAATTATTTTTGCATCTTGGAAGCCAGGCAGTATCTGTGTGATTTTATAAAAATTCGGAAATGTTCTTCAGATATGAGCCCCTTCTAAATATTGGGTGCGGAGCTACGTTTATGGAGCTCCTCCGCACCCAATATTTAGAGGGGGCTCATATCTGAAAAAATTTCCGAATTTTTATAAAATCACACAGATACTGCCTGGCTTCCAAGATGCAAAAATAATTTGTATAGATAGTGCACATTGAACACCATTTTTTATGAATGCTGGGGACTCAGTATTAAAAGGATAATTTCAAAATATATAGGTCTGGGAAAGGTTTAAGGCACACTGCGTCGCTATAGAATGAATTGCGCTACTATTTTCACAATTGTATTGATATTTGGTATCAAATACACATATCTTGGTATATTTGAAGTCCCAAAACGGCTTAGTTTCAGAAATATCCCAAATTTAAATTCAAAAATAACCGTTAGCTCCGCACCCTCCGCTCATTTGCTCCGCACCCAATATTTCCCACAGGCTCTGTCTGCATAGGGTGAGATGTAGTCGTATGAAATATTCCATACACTTTGATCTAATCGCTATTTGTCTAGAACTACATTAATTAATCAAGATTTACCAAAATCATTTCCCTTGATCTACTGTATTTACTAATTATCCTTCTGTGAGGCTAAACTAACAGACATGGCATAACATGGCACATATTTTCATAGTTTATGGTCACAAATTCACTAAGATGTTTGAGCAATGGTCGAATGTCAAAGGCATGTACACGAACTGGCTTTAAAAGCAGCACCCTAGAATCTAGAGCCTAGAAGTCGGACTCCATACTATTTTTGTGTCATATATCATTCAAGTTAATCGTTGCTTACCTTGAACCAAGATTAACGGTCGGGGTATCTATTAGGCTAAGGAGTGTAACGCACACACAGTGCAATTAATCTTAAACACCTTTCAAAAATGCAAAACACTTTCATAAAACGAGATAGAATTAAAGATTTTAGATGACTTTTCCGAAATAGTACATTCCCCTTCTACATCTCATTCTAGTTCTATTTGCAAAAACTTATTAATCATCAATTTGTATTATCACAGTGATTATGTCATTACAAACTGTTTGTTGACGGTGTCCGGCGTCCAGTGGTCGGCATTCGGAGTCCGGCGTCTATAAGAAATGACGTCTGTGACAAAAAGCAGGTGGTGACACTTTGCTTGTTAATGCCAATAGAAATAGCCTACCGTATGTAATTTTATAAATAGAAAAATCTGACAAAGATCAACAAAACATTTGATCATAGTTTGGATAAATATGCTTTTTTATTTATTTTTTATTTTATTTCATTAAAACATAATAACATTTGTACATATTTATGGCCGTGACACCTACATAGTCACATAATTGACCACATTTAAAATCATTAATCTAAAATTTTCGAGTGCTTGAAAGTTTAACACAACTTGACACTGAGTAAACCATAATTTGTCTCATGAATTGCTTACAGGGTACAGGGATACAGAACGGCAACTTATTAACAAATTAGGAACAGGGGACCAAAAAGTTAACAGAGTAATATGGCACACAAATGTTATTTGTTAATTCAAAAAGGGGCACTATCCAAACTTGGAATTTTTATCTCCCTATGAACTGTTGATAAGGAAAAGTAAAAATGTTGTTGCCAATTTAAAATTATGTTATTTGTGTCATTACATGGAAATAAAAAACCTATTAACAAATTATGAAATTGATAAGAGTAATAATTTAAAAAGTCTAAAAATAACCATTCATTTGTTAAAACAGAGAATGGCTATCATATTACATTTTGATTGGTTGGATTACGCAGAGACATGTTTTTTGTTTATTTTGTTTGTTTGTTTGTTTGTTTGTGTGTTTGTTTGGTAAAATAATCAAGTTGTCCAGTTCAGTGTTAGATAAACCTGTATCGTGAAGGACGTTATCCTTTATGAAAGCATATTGCATCTGGGGGGCTGTATCCATGTCTTTGAAGTTAATAACCGTAAAGGAAGCCCGGGTTTAATTTTCCCCAGTAATAGGATATATTACGTCTTGCTTCACATTCGAAATTAATTCTTTTTCTCGATGAGGCAGGAAGAGGTCGATTGAATGTACACTAAGTATGAAAAACAACGTGTGCATTTCATGAGAATATCTTAGTTGATTTAATCAGTTTAGAACACGCATCTATGAGCAAATGATTTGTTGGAAAATCACAATTGAAATTGTATAAGAATGCAAGGATTTGGACATTAGATGCATCCTATCAGTCACGAAATTTAATTTAAGAAGAGGAACGATAGTCTACGTTATTCAAGGTAAGACTATGAACTATCCGCTGTACAAATACTGTTGCAGTCTATGTATTAACAATGTTTGTCTTTTACTGTCTGAGTTGTCATGACAATGCCACTATGGGCTATCACTCACGATCTGGGCCAGCGTCATTCTCATTGGTATTTCTTCTACTCCATTTAAGTTATTAGTCTCACCCTTAGGGTGGTTCACATGTCCACTTGGGAGCGTCATGTTGTACTAAAGGCATGTATGTTTTTCAAATTAGTAATAAATAAATAAAAATAAATAAAAAATCCATATTCGATAAGTGTAGTGTATACTATTTTTACGGATAAGTGTATTTCTCAAATAACTGTAAAATCTACCATTGTATTTCTTTATAATTAATTCGATCTATGTATAATCTGCTGAAAACCACGACACTCCATTAATTTCTACTTGTATTTACTGTCTAAATGCATATATTTTTCTGAGTATTATATCTAGCATTTTCTCCAACACCTTTAAATGCTAAAATGAGCAATTTGATTGGCCATTCTCAATAAAAAAATTAATCAACCATTTTAAGTATTAATCTTTCATGAAAATCGGTCTAAACATCAGCAAGTAGGGCGCGAAGAATTGAAAAGATTTTGGTATAGCTTTACATTAAATGCCAAAGCATGAACATTAAAGGCAGAATCAGATATATAGGGGTGGCAAAATTACAAGCAACGTGTACAATCGACCTACCATTCTATTTCTTACAATCTCAACCAAAAGATTCACGATATGTTTTAAATTAGTGAAGTTATTATAGATTCAAAGTGCAAAACTAGGTGAAAAATGTTTAAATTCTCTCAAAAGAATGGTAACTATTCTTATAGACAAATAATGCATTATTGTAAATATCTTTAATTTTTAACAGCTAGCTTATGATAAGACAATAACCGAATTATGTACAATGCCTTTACATAGGATATTACATCATTCACACCTAACACTACATGGATGAAATTTGGATGTGAAAAACACCCACACATCCACATCCGGGATCCACACATTCAGAGAGAATAGAAACTGGTTAGTCAAGAACTTGAAGAGATTCCTACAATTCTTCATAATTCAGGTGTTGGGATCTTTAAGTGAAATATGTTAAAGCAACATCACCTAAGGTACAAAGTGCGAAAGTGAAAACAATTTGAACGAATGGTGAAATGATCGATTGTGCTGAGTTGATATTTATCAAGATGACATTTGATTAATCAATTAACGTTTCAAATTAGCAGTTTGTAATTCCTAAGTTCACTGTTGTTCGATTGTTATCATATTCATGGCTACAACAGCTGATATAGAAACCTTAACTCGATGAGGATCGGTTAATGATACCCGAATTTCGATTCATGTATTTATTTTTTCATTTTCATAAATGTCTTTTTTCTATCTTTATTTTTCTTCTCTCAAGAAGAACTTTTTAACAATAGGGACGAAGTCAAGATGTAGATGTCAGCAGTGGTCTGTCTGGTGAATATTAGTAGATGTATTTGTCCTCTTTCTGTTGACCTTGTTAGATTACTATGATTCTAACTTCAGAGATGAGTCCAAACTACAGTGATTCAACTACATTGGGTTCGGCAACTACATGGAATACGCCAACGTCAAACATAGAGGGCCTAACTATTGGTTCAACCGTTGCTGCACTCAAACACACAACCACGAGTTTCATCGAGGCGATTACGCTTGGCACGACGCTCAATGATACGCTCGACACATCCGTTGCTACAACGGAGCTATTCACCGTTAGGGAGGCAAATGACACCGATCCAGATGCCTTGTTCATACACCCTCATTGGCGGCAGTTCGATATTGAAGGAATCCCCGCCATTTGGCACTATGCTGTCGGCATATTCATCACGATTGTTGGGATCACTGGCATGACAGGAAACTTCCTCGTGATTTATATGTTTTCATCGTAAGTGATATAAATAACACATAGCTAGGTAAGGTGTGTCCAATTCCAACCAATCTGTGTTTCACATTAGTGCAGTGCATTATATAACAATCAATGGTCCTAGGTCATAACTTATGTGGTTGCCAAGGTGACAACTTGACTCTACAGATTGAAATTGATGCTTTGCCAACTTGACCCTTGAAAAAGTTTCATTGAAAATATGTTCTTTTAGTAATTTCGTATCTTTTAAGGGGCATGGTAGAAAATATTTTGCAATGCATTGTGAAATGGCCATTCCTTTCGGGCGTTGTTTTCAAAAAATGAACACACAAATTTTGGAAAACAACATCTTCAAGGAGTGGTCATTCCACATTGCACCTAGTCAGGGCTTAAATCCTTACATAACGCATGGCCTCAAATAAGGTGTGGTTCTTGACTTGTAAAATTGGTCTGTGTGGTAGCCTGAATACGCTAAAATCGCTCCCCTCGACAAGATTAGAAAACGGGATTTCTTCATCAAATCGCATGTTGTGCTTTGTCGATATTTTATTTTTGCTTGCCATCGTATTAGATAATTTCTCCGCAATGAACAGTAACCTGATTAATTTTGGCGTTGGAATTTTGGTTGTCTAGCTACAAGCCTCTGTGATCCTCCCTACTTACTAAACACAATCCAAGGTCTTGTCGATAGACTAGAATTTTGGCTCCATTAAATTTATTTCTTGCAATCTTACACCGCAATCGAGCTGCAGTGAAGGTGTATTTGAACCACAAAATATTCCACCGCTCAGTCATACGCAACTTAACGTACAAGAATGATATGATAGCGGGTGTGAGGATCTTTAATATGTTAAAGCTATACAACTTTCATTGAATTTGAGAGTTCCCGTTCAATTTTAATGAACACTTCTTAACTAAGAAGGTTTATAAAACCCAACGTGAGCACAAATTGGAAACGGTGATACTCGAATCTGTGGACCCTTATTTTTCTGGAAACATTTACTTATAATTACCTATTCGGCTACATGTCCATGGAACCCATTAATTCTACTTAGTTTCTCTTAAGTACGTGACTTAATTAGTAGATGATGTCGGATGACGATCGTTTTCATTATTACTTATTTTGCACTTCGTATGTCCTGTTGCAGAGCCCATGTAATCTGATTAGCCACTCACCCCGTTCATTATACAGAACAAGAAGGAATATACATATTATTTTGATATACTTTTGGATTCGCTTAAGTGCCTAATTGAACAGATCTGTGTTCAAAGCTATGTGAGGCCGATATAGAAATTGCTTCTCTAATGCGATGAAGTAATTATTCAATCATTTCAGGTAGGTCGGGTTGAGCGATTAATTATGTACGTTGTCTTGCAAATTACCATGTTGAAGTCACGCGCAATGTGGTTCCAAATCCACTGGTCAGTATCAATCGAAGGTAACGACAGGGCCGTAGGTTCTTTCGACCCCCCCCCCCCCCGTCCAACTCTTGACTAAAAAAATTCGAACACACCTTTTCCCGCAATAATACGAAAATATTGAGTTAATTTTTTGCAGTATTTCAGTAATTTATCGTCTTTTCATTACCGTAGATATTCAAGGTATATATGCAAAGATGGAAATTAGGTAAAATGACTGAGAAAAACGATCTATTTTGGGATGGGCGATAATAGCTTTGCACTTCGAATTGTAGGCCTGAATACCGATCTAAATACTAGGCCATCAACAGAATTTCAATTGTACAAATAAAGCATATTTACCAATCGCATAGACTGTCTGATTCACTGCTACCCACCTAATTACACAGACGTATCGTCGGTGTATCATGGCGGAACTTCCTCCGGGACTAGGTTTCGGTAAGATTTTTTTATTTCCCGATTTACACCTACTTATAAGTCACGCTGCGGATAATAATTTGGCTCGAAGTTAAGGAACATAGTCTAGTTTGAGAATGTGTCGATGGTTTTAGGTTTTATATGTTAACAGAGACACAATTCACGTATTTACTCCCTCGCTTTTCTTACACTGACGAACTACCAATGTCAGTGTAATATTGGCAATATTAATGCCGATCGTCAGTGTAAGAAAAGCGAGGGAGTAAATACGTGAATTGTGTCTTTGTTAACATATAAAACCTAAAACCATCGACACATTCTCAAACGAGACTATCTTCCTTAACTTCGAGCCAAATTATTATCCACAACGTGACTTATAAGTAGGTGTAAATCGGGAAATAAAAAAATCTTACCGAAACCTAGTCCCGGAGGAAGTTCCGCCATGATACACCGACGATACGTCTGTGTAATTAGGTGGGTAGCAGTGTGATTGGGATAAAACGGTTAGTGGTGTTATATGCGCTTTATGCACCAAAGCTCTTTAAATTCCAGCAAACTTGCAAAAATTAATAAAATGGACCGTCACTAAGCAAAGACAAAATACTTTAAGCAAAGGATTGGTATCATTATCGATGTATGGTGGACTGAATTCAACAATGTTTTTCTCTTAAACCAATTATCGAAAACATTCTGTAAAAACAGGGTCCTTTATGTAATGTTGACTCATTGACAACAATTTAATGCAAAAATAATTTTTATGTATTTTATATAATTGTTTTTGTTAACATTTTTTGTTTTTTAGTGTAATTGTTTTTGTTCCTTTTTACCAATTGTTGAGAATGAAATAAAATATCGTTCCGAAGCTCGGTGGTACAAAAAAGCATACAACATTTTCTTAGACCTCTCAATATCATAGTTTTACAAAGGAAATTTTGGTTGCTTTAAGTAAAAGTATTCAAAAAATTAAAACAAAAACCCCTCAAATAGATAAAAATTAAGATAAACTTTTTATTTCATTAACAAGATATTTTTTTAAAATCAACCAAATTTTCTTTTGTATAATTGCAATATTGAGAGACCTGAACACGTTGCGTTTATGTCATTTTGTTCCAATGAGGTTCGGATAGATGTTTCATTTCACTCTGGAAACATGATACCAAGGACAAAAGAAGTGTCTGATGTGTTTTCTAAAACAATATAGAGAAAAGTATATGTATTTACTTCAAACTATATTCAAAAGATGACCATTACATTGACAATGTGTAAAATATTCAGAATTTTTGGTTGACTTTGGCAAAAGTGCATCAAACTAGACAGAGATAATACAAATTTGGAAGAGTTTTCACCAAATCCACAATTAGATGGCTCGAAAAATGTTTCGCGAAAATATTCGAATCCCCTCCTGTCAAATCCTGGCTATGTCACTGTAACGGCCGTCACCTTCGCATTAAAGATGGCGGACGGAAGGTGTCAATTTTGATATTAAAAATATCGAAATCGACACTTCCCGTCCGCCAGCCCGTCCGCCGCCTTCGATGCGAAGTATATCCCATCACCATTCCCAGACCATGGTGATTTGAGACTTCATACTTTCCAATAATGTCTAGATTCACGTCCCTCAAGTTTTGTATGTTACATTTTGCATACTCTCAGTACTACTATGTTTGGTAACTTGAAAATTCTCTTCTTTTAAACATGGGGAATCAAGGTGTCATTTATTTATGGTGAGCCCTGACCTCCCTTTACATCTCAATTTTCACCAATATCTCAAGAATTAAACACAACAGACGATAAGACAAAGAATTGGTTAATCCCCGTCAAACCTTTTTTAGGGTGAAGGCACTTCGTACTCCACAAAACATGCTTCTGATCAACCTGGCGATTAGCGACTTCACGTTCTCAGCAGTTAATGGGTTCCCCCTACTGACAATTTCTAGTTTCAACCAGCGCTGGATGTGGGGAAACGCCAGTAAGTACACATTTGAGAGTTAGGAATTGCCAACGTTAAAGGGACACTTGTATCACATATGATTCGAATAAAAACTTTTGAATAACACCCTTGGTATACGCAGCTAACGAAAATTGACCGGCACGGGTCAAAAGCTGGACCGGCACGGGTTAACGGTTTTATTTGAATTTAAAATAGCCATAACTTGCTCAATAATGACTTCCTCGTGTCTAATTTGAAATATATGGTGCCTCCCGATGCTTTTAAGTACCCCAATTTTTTACAGATTTTTAAACGGACCAAAACTCTCTAAATGCGCATTTATGCTCTTTTCTCTCGAGAACGGCTGTCTCATTTTCACGATAACTTTTATTTAGTACTTCTAACATATAAGATCTATTTTTCCCCATCAAGGTATGATGTAAATGACATGCTATTTACATCTTGTGAGTTTCAATGACGCGCGTTTGATTTTATAAAAAATGCCAAACTTTGTGACAAAGAATTTCATCCTGCTTGCAGTGAGAAGACGGACCGGTTCGGGGCAATCTGCTTGCAGAGAGAAGACGGACCGGTTCGGGGCAATAGCTGATGAAATTCTTTGCCACAAAGTTTGGCATTTTTTATAAAATCAAACGCGCGTCATTGAAACTCACAATATGTAAATAGCATGTCATTTACATCATACCTTGATGGGGAAAAATAGATCTTATATGTTAGAAGTACTAAATAAAAGTTATCGTGAAAATGAGACAGTCGTTCTCGAGAGAAAAGAGCATAAATGCGCATTTAGAGAGTTTTGGTCCGTTTAAAAATCTGTAAAAAATTGGGGTACTTAAAAGCATCGGGAGGCATCATATATTTCAAATTAGACACGAGGAAGTCAATATTGAGCAAGTTATGGCTGTTTTAAATTCAAATAAAACCGTTAACCCGTGCCGGTCCAGCTTTTGACCCGTGCCGGTCAATTTTCGTTAGCTGCGTATATCAAGGGTGAATAAAGTTGGTCACATTTTACTACAAATTGTTTTATTTTATTTTAAAGTTGGCGACAAAATATATTCCGCGATACCAACAACGTGGCAAGATAATCTTGGTCCTTAATTCGAATAATGTTTAATAAATTGATATGAATTACCCGTTTTCATTCATTAGACTACCCAGGTTACATAACATGAGAGTAATAGGCTACGTATAATCATTAAGTTTGCATTTGGGAATGCAACTTTCGGCTGTCAGCTACCGGTTTAACCTAATTTTTTTATAACCAACTCATTTAAATATGAATGGAATAGCGGCATGTACTACATTTATATTTAAATACGTTGCCCATAAAACAGTTGGTTATTCCGATAGCCGACAGCCGCAAGTTACATTCGCGAAAACAAGCTCAGTTCATGTACAACTTGGTGTGAAAATCCCATCGAACCTGACACCAAATGTCATTTTTACATAAATAAGCTGTACATTCTGTACTGTAACAGTAAACTGAAGCCATGATACTTTCTGTACTGTAACAGTACACACGGTGACCAAGTGTTAACAGTGGAGATTGTCCCAGACGTGTTTTTCAAACGATTTAGACGTGTTTTTTTGGAAAACTTGAGAGGTGGGTTGATAAATTTGGTTATGAAATTGCTGTCACTTAACTTTATGTTAATGTAAGTAATTTATATTGCTTACCATAATATATATCCTAACTTCAGGTATCTGCAAACGCGTTATTTGCACGAATCTTATGCTATAGCCTTGTTAAATCGGAAAATGAGCGATTCTGCCAATATTACACTTATTTTTGCCTGAAAATCACTAGCCTGTCTTGTATTCATTGAATACATCGATTCATAAGGAAAGTACTCACAATATGTTTGAAAATCACAAATTAAAAGAGCTTAAATAAGTAGCAATTGACCGAATACTTTTTTGGGATTTAACTATTTAGACGTGTCCAAAAATATCCCTTCTCGATCGTTAACTCCACTTTTACATTTGCAGACATTTATGGCAATTTTAAGATAAAGATAGTTAAAATATAAACACGATCTTTAGAGTAGTGAATATTATTTCACGTTGTTGAATGGATAGTCTGTTTAAACTTAATTAAATAACACTAAATGCAAAAGTACATATTTCTAGCATTTTTGGTATACAATTACTATGAAGTATGATGGAATAATCGCCAAAATAGATACGTGGGTATGTAGAGGAACATCTTAGGTAGAAGTCAAGAAATGTAAGTTTGTAAAATATAGAATATTCTTACCCCTTTTCTCCATTCTAACGAATGTCGTATTCCATGTTCTTACAAAACACGTCTAAATCGTTTGAAAATCACGTCCACATTGTTTAGACTTGAGCACCGTGAGTACAGAAAGGACAGCTTATTTATGTTGCCCATCTGATATTTAAAAAAACGAATTTAAACCCCTTCATGAGTTTGGCAACCGGACATTTCCTTTTCTATAAAAAATTTTTCAAAATTATCAGGCGCCAACACGCTTTAAAGGAAGACTGACTAATTGACATACTTGTTGAAATGAGTGTTAATCATTAAAAATGGAGTCACTCATAATGTAATCATCCCCAGTATTGACTTTCTGTCCACGATACATTTCAGCATGTAAGTTCTATGCCTTCATTGGTGCGGTTTTTGGGTTCATGTCCATCGACACCCTAGCTGTTATATCTTACCAGCGTTATAAGGTGATAAAGCGCCCTATGGAGGCCGTTGTGAAGATGACACACAAGCGAACGGCCGTTTGGATCTTAGCTATATGGATATGGGCAGTTGGTTGGAGCCTTCCACCATTCTTCGGCTGGGGTGACTACATCCCTGAAGGCTTTCAAACATCGTGCACATTCGACTATTTGACCCTTAATATCAACAACATAACATTCAACCTGACCATGTATATGATCCATTTTGTGCTGCCTGTTGGTTTCATTACATACAACTATGTTGGGATCGTTCGGGCAGTTCTGAAGCAGAAAAGAATCCTAAAAGATCAAGCAAGTAAAATGAAAGCGAAGATGACATCAGCCGATAAGCGTTTCAGCACCGAGATTTCATTGGCTCGTACGTGTTCCATTCTATGCGTGCTTTACTTGCTCTCCTGGGGTCCGTATGCGACGGTTGCTCTTGCAGCTTTGCTGAATTACCAAACGTACGTAACCCCATTCGTCTCTGAGCTCCCCGTCATGTTCGCAAAGGCCTCTGCGTGTTATGATCCGATCGTCTACGCCCTGTCCCACCCTAGATTCAGAACAGAACTCTACCGAAAGTTCCCCTGTCTATGCTCTTGTCTACGGCCACCTCCCGGGTTCGGTTCTACGGCTAACAGCCACGGTCGCACTGATTCTAGGCACGGCAGCCAAATGAGCCAAAGCAGCGTTACGGAAACATCTGTAGATCATGTCCCTATGCCGAACAAAAACAAATTGAAGCGTTCGGTCAAGAAGGTACAGAACAGCATACGACAGCAGAAGCAAACGTTGGCGGCAAAGACTGATGGTGGTAAGGACAACGCTGCGTATGTTGCAGATGAGGAAGCAAATAGTAAGAAGAAATCTGGTGAGAATGAACTGAAGACGATATCAGGGGCAGTGGAGGAAACAGAGGCTGGTGCTAGTGTAAGTACATATAGCGTAACTAGTAATATTACCGCTCCACATTATGTCACTATAGTACTTTTAGCGCCAAAGTAAGATTATGGATAAGATTCTGGTATTTAGATTTTCCCCCGATTTACACCTACTGATACAGGGGGGGGGGGAAAGCAGACACGATGATGCCGTGAGCATTTGAGGATCCACGTTGAGCTGAACCAAACGTCGAGCTAGCTAATACATTAAGCCCCGCGACACAGTCATGTGGCCTGACCACCAATATATCTTTTGACTGCAATTTACGGCTTGTAATTATTTGCAGTTCTAAATCTAGAAAAAAACTAAAAACCGGAAGGACATTCATACTTTGACGATTTATCGAATTAACTAGATGAGGAGCAGGGAACACAAAAAATAATTGTTTTTTAGCGTTGCGTGATCAGACGCCTTGGAATCTTATAGCCTTTGATCAAATATTCACACCAATTTTGCGAAAGTCCAAAATCTCAAATAAACTGTGGATGTCTGGACTGAAATTGTTTTACCGTATTCCTGCTGTTTGATTAATAGCTTGTCAGTTGTAGTTCATTATACATATATAATGGTATATAATGGCAATGGACCAATCAACATACTTTTTCAAAACCGTTGTATAATTTAACATTTTATTATTATGTTGAATGCATAATTTGAATGTGCTTTGAAACATGTTATATTTCCAAAAAGGAAAAGTGGATTCCTCCAGGGACTTTAAAGATACTGAATTTGGATGACGAAAATGAACTGAAACCAATGGACAGCGTGAATTTTTCAATGGGGAAATAACGTTACATGAGAAATTCGGTTTTGCTTAGAACAAACATTTAGAACAATGATACATTAAACATTGTAAAAATGATTTCATTTTTAGTGAAAATAAAGTCAACATCTTTGAAAAGGTATGTTGATGGGTTGATTGATAATTGCTAGGTAAATATATTTGAGTTCGATTGACTTTATTGTCATTATTTTCTCTTTGAGACGATGAATGAATTTTAAAGATATACCTGCCTTCATGGTAAAAAAAGTAGTCACATAACGTCTGAAATTGTTTGCGATAACCTACGTGAACCTTTACAATGGTGTATGACTCCAGAAATGACAAGACTACCACAGTACTCCTCTCCAAAGTTTGGCAACTGAATTCCAATTTTGAAGAACGTCTTAAAACTCTTTTAAATAAAGATCACAGGGTCGAGGGGCTCGAACGAACTCCATCTCTCTCCTCGCCAAAAATGTCAAAATCAAGCAGTTTTTCACCTTTCTGAGAACTTTTAAAGTGATTTTGGCCATTTTTGGGCCAATTTGTCAAATGTGAACTCCCCCTGAAAATTTATAGAAAATGACCCCCCCCCCCCTTGGCAAAAGCTGGCTACGGGCCTGCGTACATGTAAGTACATGTATATATGTATATTCACGTTTTACAGGAGAAGAATAACCAAGCAGTAGATGCAACTACAGAGCTGTAACTAAGAACAAACTTTGAAGTATTTTCTTAACGGTACTGGCACCGAGACAGTTGATTGTAGCGTATTACGAGGAAACGATAGTATTGTGTACGAGAAAACGTCTGAGATTTTCCAGTGGCTATGAACATGGGATCCAATTTTATAGCTTGATATCATGAATTACCAGGAAAAGATCGTGTTGTGTACATTAGAAAAGCCCTGAGTTGACATTGGATACAATTTTATAGCTTGGTTCATGAATTACGAAAAACTATCCTATTGTGTGCGGATCTACTCAAAAGATCTCTCTCAAATTAGAATCCCTCTTTGGTGAAATACTAGTAGACGGATAGGAGCCTGAAACACATGGAGAATTATACAAAATGGTTGTATGCCGTGCACATGACAATATCACAAATAAGGTCATAATGGACCTGTGTTTGCCAGGCGTAAACAAGTGGTAACACTGGTAATATCTATGTATTCCATATCTACTTAGGTTCTAGGTACATAACGAGAGGGAATATATAGTTTATCTAGGGAGCTATCGCCAAGGTCGGGACTTGGATGGATACAGGCTGTATCCATCCCTTCCAGTAGGTATGGAATACATCTGTTGTGTACGGTCGGTTTTTGATACAGGGTTTATCCCTCGGGAGATACACATATTTCCCTTGGGATAAACCCTGTATCCCCAGTACATAACCCTTATATATGTAGTATATAACCATATAAGTCACTTGGGCCTTTTTGTCTCTGTGGTTATGCTTTAACGTGCTTGTGTAAGAGCTCAGTAATATACCTTTCTCATCAACATGACATCCAAATAATATAAGTGTTGCTATATCTACGTGTTCCTGATAATGTATTATGTCCATGTCAATGAGCAATGTTACCCTTGTTATTGAGGATGTACCGAAAACGTTGGAGTTTTCGAGTTTGAAATGAGCACGTCATATACATACATGTATATGTACTGAAAACGTTGAAGTTATCGAGTTTGAAATGAGCACGTCATATGTATGTATATGTACTGAAAACGTTGGAGTTTTCGAGTTTGAAATGAGCACGTCATATACATATGTACTGAAAACGTTGAAGTTATCGAGCACTTCATATACATATTCATATTCATATGAGCACTTCATATACAGATGTACTGAAAACGTTGAAGTTATTGAGTTTGAAATGAGCACGTCATATGCATATGTACTGAAAACATTGAAGTTATCGAGCACTTCATATACATATTCATATTCATATGAGCACTTCATATACATATGTACTGAAAACGTTGAAGTTATCGAGTTTGAAATGAGCACTTCATATACAGATGTACTGAAAACGTTGAAGTCATTGAGTTTGAAATGAGTACTTAATATCAGAGACATGTGTGTTTTATAAGTCTCTGTTCATATACATATGTACTGAATACGTTTAGTAATCGAATTTGAAATGAGCACTTTATATACGTATGTACTGAAAACCTTGAAGTTATGGAGTTTGAAATGAGCACTCGATATACAGATGTACTGAAAACGTTGAAGTTATCGAGTTTGAAATGAGCGCTTCATATACAGATGTACCGAAAACGTTTAGTTATCGAGTTTGAAATGAGCACTTCATATTCAGATGTACTGAAAACGTTTAGTAATCGAATTTATTTGAAATGAGCACCTCATATAGATGTACTGAAAACGTGTTATCGAATTTAACACTACAACCGACTAATAAATTCATAATCAACAAAGAGATCAGTCAAAAAGATTCGAACCAATATATGTGTTTTGGATTTTTTGTTTTGAAATAAGACCAAAACTTGTGATTCAAAATCTGAAGTGAACAAAATGCCGGTTATTTAAATTTGATTTTGTTATCACGACATTTTCCATATATGGCAGAATATCGAGTTGGCACCATGGGAGCCAATCCTTCTTGGTTCAAAGTAACAAAACTTTCTCGATCTTTTAACGGTTACTTCTCCGATTTTATTCACAGAAACAAAAAATTGTATCAAGGGCTATTGTTGGTGCAATCTACGATGCATCTTCGACTTTCAATGTAAGTCCATTTGTCACCCCTATACATCCAATAGTGAACCTAGAAATTGTTAAAAGTACGATGTTTTATGGTCGATTTATGATAATAAGGGTTTTTTGAAGTGATTTAACTGGGTTGCCCAAAAAGTTTGTTTGGGGAAAAAATGATATAGGCTGATTAGGGAGGGGTGCAATCGCTTAACTATTGACTTAGCGTTTGGATACCACCATATACCTGGTATGTTACCATGGTAATAGATACAAAAATTTTCCCCAAAGTTATTTTTTTGGCAACCCAGCTAAATCACTCCAATAATCCCTAATGATAGTATTTACACAGAAAAACATCATACTTTTAAATATTTATACGTTCAGAAAATGACAAATGGACTATGTGGTTATCTAGATGAACTTGGAGCAACTGAAACCTTGCAAATCAAGTGGATCACAAGATCTAGGATGAAGAAAAAGAGAAACTATAACTCCCGATACCTCTCATTGTGAATACATTTTGAGCTTCAAATTAGCAATAAAATCCCAGATTTTTAGAGCTATTCTATATTTGGATCACTAATATTCATTACCTTGTTGTAAATGTCAGTTGCTGCATATTTTGCAACTATAGACCTAGTTTTGTTTAAAGCGCCCGGCAAGTTCCATACTTCGTTGTAGGCCAAGACTTACTCGAGTCTCTAGCCAATTCTTGGCTACAGGTAATTTCATCTGGAACACTGTGAACTCCATTTGAAAAAACCTGGCCGCCATGTCATAAATTTATTGAATATTTTAAAAATCGCCAGATAAATAAATCATTAATTAAAACGGAACCGGCTCGACTCTTTGATGAGATATTGCATGATTTCGTCAGGATTTCGTCTAAAATCAAACAAAATGGCTCCAAGAAAAATGGCGATATTCGAAAACTAGACGAAATGTCGTTAATGTCTGACATTAGCAACTTTCTGTAAATTCTAAGTTAGCAATCCAGAAGATGTAAACTAGGCATCTATATGAGGTGCTCATTTCAAATAAATTCGATTACTTAACGTTTTCAGTACATCTGAATATGAAGTGCTCATTTCAAACTCGATAACTAAACGTTTTCGGTACATCTGTATATGAAGCGCTCATTTCAAACTCGATAACTTCAACGTTTTCAGTATCTGTATATCGAGTGCTCATTTTAAACTACATAACTTCAAGGTTTTCAGTACATATGTATATAAAGTGCTCATTTCGAATTCGATTACTAAACGTATTCAGTACATCTGTATATGAACAGAGACTTATAAAACACACATGTCTCTGATATTAAGTACTCATTTTAAACTCAATAACTTCAACGTTTTCAGTACATCTGTATATGAAGTGCTCATTTCAAACTCGATAACTTCAACGTTTTCAGTACATCTGTATATGAAGTGCTCATATGAATATGAATATGTATATGAAGTGCTCGATAACTTCAACGTTTTCAGTACATATGCATATGACGTGCTCATTCCAAACTCAATAACTTCAACGTTTTCAGTACATCTGTATATGAAGTGCTCATATGAATATGAATATGTATATGAAGTGCTCGATAACTTCAACGTTTTCAGTACATATGCATATGACGTGCTCATTTCGAACTCGATAACTTCAACGTTTTCAGTACATATACATGTATGTATATGACGTGCTCATTTCAAATATATGTATATGACGTGCTCATTTGCATTGATCACTTCGTGTGTGTTTTTGGAATTTTTGGTGAGGTACTAAGACCAAAACTCGCAATTCAAATTGTGATGTGGAAAAATGGCGGACATTCATGATTTCAAATTTTATGATTACGACATGACCAGTTATACATGCAGGAATTTATCTTTGGACCAAGGCCACGACACAGTGGCCTTAGAAGAAGGTAAGCCAAGACTGCAGCAAGTGACATTTCATTTCTTTTCTTTATTATATTTCTTGGTTCGAAGTGTGCAAACTGCAACCAGGCTCCGAGAAAATCTGGCTCTTATTGGTTTCGATTTGTTATTATCTAGCATTATTACCACCTTGCCGGGCCAGTTCTAGGGGTTTTAGTGCTAGTTGCAGGCATTCATTTCACTATATTGATCTGAGAAATATGTGACGTCATATTGGTGGTCCATATGGACCGGTGTAAAAGAAATTATGGTCCCCTGGGGATTATGGTCCCCTTTCTGAAAGGCCCTTACTGGCCCTGATTGTGGATACGATAATAAGGAAAAGAGTTGTATTTAGGTCACCATATAAATCAATGGAAAGTAAGACCATAATTTGAGAGGACCTCCTACCCTTTTACACCGGTCTAGAATATATTCTGGACCGGCAATTTTCCCCGGGAAATTAGATATCGTTCAATGCGTAAGATTTTCTTGCTGTTTCAGTCCTGGTCGTTAACGGTGGTAATAATACTAATGTCATTTCTGCGAGCAATATAGTGAAATATTGGAGGGGGGGGTGTATAGAGGGTCTTGGAAATGCATATACAATATTTTTCAGCTCTCTTATACCATATACAATATTTTTTCACCATATACAATATTTTTCACAGCTCTTATACCATATACGATATTTTAGGTGAAATACAATATACGATAATTTTGAAACTGCTTTTGATTAAAGTTTGGATATTTATAAGGAAATAATATTATATTAGGAGAGAATCCATGTACTAAAGTAAATGTATTATTATAAGGCAACTAGACTCCAGATACATACCACAATGATTTCATTTATTTCATTATGAATTAGACACCATTCGGGTACATCAGCATCATAAAAGCTGTGACCACATTTTATTTTCAGGTAAACAAGTTGATTTAAAACACATTTATGATATAAGATTCATGACTTCTCTTTAGTGATTTAGCAACCTACTTTGACCAAAAAAACTAATACTATGACATTGCTGCAATTTGCTAAAGCCATTAGCCCATTACCTGTAAAAGTACCATAAAGATATTCAAAATTAGCACAAAACCTGCATCATTGGAATGGGTGGAACCCAGTGCTCCTCTTTCTTATGACCTACTTTCCCATGACTTATTTAAATGTCCTTCATAGTGAGCCAGGGAAAAAATTCTTGAAACATAATTGATGCAAAATTGAGAATGTTGAATAAAAAATTCATCATGTGTTCTATGAAAATAAAGTTTGCTGAGGAAAATATTTATCAGATAGATAATGAAGATTCACAATGCACAATAATTTTGTAAAGCATATTAAGTATTTAAAACAGTTTCAGAAATAAAGGACTTCACAAACTTCCATGTAGATAATTCATTTTTGATTGGACTCGAGTCTGGAAACTAGAGTTTGAAATAAAGGCAAGATGAGACTTGATTGTTTAAACATTTGAAACATGAGACACTTCGGGGTTTCAGATAAGGCAGCCTCAAAGACAGTATAAGTTAAACAAAGGTGTGTCAAAATTAAGCAAATTTCCATGAAGGTCAAACCACATGTTTCACAAATGATTTCAAGGCAAAGATGTATTGATGAGAATGAAAACTACTCTATGTAACTAGAAATAACTTTCTTTTAAAGGACCACAACAGGTGCATATGTTAGGCCAATGCATTAACTCCAGGACAAGCAGTCATAGAGATTATAAAATAGTTTGGACTTTAAGACAGGGAAGGTGCAAACACCCCATCAACATGTTTTTCTGTAATGTTGTCCTGATTTCCAGCTTTCCACACCTGTTTTTCAATGTTTGTTGCATCGATCACTCTGTTGCGTTTTGAGACATGGTTAAGATCTTTAAATGAAAATATGATTCATGCAGGGGTTTTAAAGATATCAATTTTGGATGACCAAAATTAAGCTGAAAACAATGGATCACATGAGTTTTCCCTATGGGAAAATAACATGGGAAATACATGTACTGTTTTCCACTTTATCCCAAATAAATCATATTTTAGAGGTTAACTGTGTCTCAAAGTGCAACATATTGGTGCATCAAACATTGAAAAGACATATGTGGAAAGGGCTGAAAATAAGGACAACATTTCAGAAAAACCTTTCCTGTCTCAAAGTTCAAATTATTTTATTACCTCTATGAGTGCTTGATCTGGAGTTAATGCATTGGCCTAACATATGCACCTGTTCAAATCCCCAATAAATAGCCGAAATCCAACACATGATGGTTTGAAGACCAAATAAACACCTTTTGCTATATTATGCTATATTAGCATTGTGATGCTTGTATTAAAACATGCGCTGTATGAACACTTTATACTCAAATATTTTCATGATTTATCCCACTTACCCCGAAACACGAGTAGCCATAGTGACCATATTTTTCATCAAAGTTAAGATGGTCAATGACATTTGGCAGTCTCACGCCCGGTGATCTGATGAAATGAACGGAGGGGGAGTAGCTGATTTTCGGTAAATTCAACAAAAGTTGAAGATTTATTTTTTCAAGCAAAAGTTTACAATTGAATGGCTACGTGAATAGGTGCAGTGCACAGGGAAATATGTTAGGTCTTCTTGGATTTTTTTTGAACTGATGGAGTTCTAAGACAAAAGGTCTATTAAAAAAGGCGCAGCGTCGCCAACGTGCAAATGCCAATGTTTTTGCTATAAATCAAGCAACAATGGTCTGCACGACATGTAATAAATATATAAGCGACATTTTTATATCACAAAATTCTTTGCCGGTTTTTTAAAATAATTTTCCAATTGATAGATAAAAAATAATCGAAAATGATTAAAATTGAACGGAGGGGGGGGGGGTTGAGTGAACGGAGGGGGGGAGTAAAATGTCTTAAAGGTGGAAGAAATTTCCACAAATTCGTGTACTTGAAAAATGAACTCACTTACTCAGTAACTTGATGTTACAACTCTGAAAAGTGAAAAATGGGGACATATGGATTTATTGGAAGTTTTCATATGTCTTATAGACAAATTACTCCCCCCCCTCCATTCAATTTTAATAATTTTCGATTACTTTTTATATAACGTATGGTAACATGTTTTACAAAACCCAATAGTTTTGTGATAATTACTTCATTTACATGTTTTTATTACAGGTCGTGGAGACCCCTGTTGGTTGATTTATAGCAAAAACATTGGCATTTGCATGTTGGCGACGCTGCACTTTTTTAATATATCTTTTATTTTAGAACTCCACAGTTAAAAAAAATTCAAAAAGACCTAGCATATTCCCCCGTCCACTGCGTCTATTCATTTAGCCATTCAATTGTAAACTTTCTTTTGAAAAAATAAATCTTCAAGATTTGTTGAATTTTCTACCGAAAATCAGCTAGATCTACTCCCCCCTCCGTTCATTTCTTCTGATCACCGGGCGTGATTCTTATTTGAGACTGTATTTAACACCTCCTGTGAAAATTTGAATGAAAAGGGCACAAAACTCTTAGTTTGAGAGGGATTTTCTCTAAACTAACAGTATCGATTGACCTGGAAAACAATTATAGAGACTACTTTTCCATGTTTTTCCAACACGGTTACAGTAAGAGAGTTGGCACAATGGGGGAACTTAAGGGTACAATTTCTTCATAATTAGCCTTCTTTAATTCTAGATACCATATACCATATTTTCTAAAATACCATATACCATATTTTTCACACCTCTTATACCATATACGATAAATTTTGCCCCCTCTTATACAATATACAATAAATTTTCAGCCTCTTATACGATATACAATATCTCTATACACCCCCCCCATTGGACCTTGGGCCTCCGGCCCTCGGTCCAATATTTCACTATATTGCCCTTAGAAATGACGTTATTGTACTATTATAGCAACAATAGAAATCTGGTTGCAGTTTACCTTCCTGATTTGGGGTATTTTGGAATCAGAGACAGATGTTGAGTCACTTACAAATTGAACTATTCATAGGCCAATTTTGCATTAATTATGTTCCTGGGCCTACTGAACTAGCATTGTGTTTGGTAGAAAGTACAAAAGTTGTGTAAATATGCTGCGTAGTATCTGAGATTAACATATTTATGATGGTCTCAGGTAGTATCAAATAAAACTTATTTGTTGAAATGATGTTGGGAACAATGACTATTAAATCACTTAAGGAATTGTAGTTGAAATTTTACTCACATCTAGACTACAAATAGCATACTTGCTGATGCTGAGTTAGTAATAAAACCGTATATGAACGTGGCAATGGATAAATAAAATATGCTGAACGGAATTACTATTTCAATTAATATTATCAACTTTGTTCAATCTTGTTCAAAGCCTTTTGATTTAAAAGTTTAACATGGAGATATATAGACCAAATATTTTATTCCATATTTTCGCAATGGCTCTGAAGAGCTGCAAATGTTTCTCGTCCAGCTGGGAGTATATCCTCCGGCGGAAGGATAAATCCCCCTTCAGCGGCAGAAGCAGGTCTCAACTCAGGGGAGTAGGAATATTTAAAGCCACCACTGGCTTTTCCCCAGTCCAAGGCTCCTCCAGACACAGAATCTAGTTCAGTTAAACAAAGCAATTAAAGTATACATGTACATCATCAGATAGTGAGGCTCGTGATGAAAAGCTTTTTCATTATAAATGTGTACTTACAAAAGTCAGACTCAAAGAACCACAAAAGCAATACATAAAAACGCCAATGTTTGTTACTAATAATTGTGGTACATCAAACTTGACTATCTGCGGGATAGTGATATGTGTCCCATTTGTACACAATACTTACAGAGAAGATCTGGTGGTGTTCCCACGACAAATTGACGGCCATTCACGGTGAAGAGAGCATCCATTGCCAGTTCTCCAACACGTGCCTTTTTGAAACAATAACAATTAATAACTCTTTATTAATTCATGTTTGTTTTAAAATGTTAATGGTCTGTTTTATCAGGTTTTGATTAACCCAAATTTGTATGTTTATGTGGGATTCTTTTTATGGAAGAACATGTTTGGCTCGTTTCGGGGTTTATCATAGATCGGACCTTGGGGTCCATTTTTGGTAATTTACGATTCATAGAAGTCCATTGTCTACTTTATGATGAAAAATGGCTTGCGACCATATCGAAAATTGCGACGGTTCCAAAGACGGACCCCTGACTTCGACTTCGCACTTGTCAGTTTGCTTATATATATATATATGTAATATAGAAATTTCGAAACTCGTTTATAGCATCTTTATTATTCCTGTACAAGTGTTTGATTAGTCATCATTTATTGCGCAGGTCTATGTCCATAAGTGTGATACTCTGACGTTTTATAAAACGTTTTTTCACTTATGGACACATAGAGCTGCGCAATAAATGATGACAAAATCAAACGCTTCATTAGTTATATGTTGTAGGGAAATATAAACATGCTGTAAGTTAGTTGCAAAATCTTTCTATAATAGCCTACTTACCAGCTCATCATAGTCATCGGGGTAAGGGGTAGTAGGATGGTATCCCCAGGGAACTAGCCACAGTTGAGTGTAGGAATGAATATTCATATAGAGAATCTTGTTAGAGACCCCAGAAGCCCAGTCACGAATGTTTCGAGTCTCAACCTCAGAGAAGGGTCCTGTGCCCGGGTAAGTAGCAGCACATGGGTCAAAACTAACACCAGCCTCTGGAATAATCAAGTTTTTTCATTTTCATTTGAGTTACAATTATCTCACACGAGACACCACAAGGCATATATGTGTTGTAGGATAATGTAACTTGATATCTGAAGGTAGAAACAAGTTGGGTTAGGGAATACCATAGACAAAAGGTTTCTACATCTAAAAATTCTACATCTGGTTAAACTCCCGGGGTTAAACTACAAACGAAGCTCTCTTTTAAGAAGCGAAGTCAAACGAATGCGAAGAGTAATACTAATAAGAGGGATATATTGCATTTGCCTTAGAAATAAAACATTTGCTTTTTTATACAATAATAAAAAGTTCCTAAAGAGAAGGCTAAATACCTCCCCAGAATGCATCGAAGTTTCGATTGGCGTCAGTTCCGGTACAAAGGAAATCATCTGTGGGAGATCGAGTTTTCCTCCACATTCTATCCTATAATTTAGATATTGCATATTCTACATGTATATCCAAAGAACACGTTTAAGGATGTATAAAATTTATTACACATTAAGATCAAAATTGATCCAAAATTTAAGATCATTTTTACAAATTGGCCTAGAATTGAAATAATGCCCAAAAAGGCCCATTAATTGAGGCCCTACAGAATCTTGGGAGCCTAAAATCAAATATTTTTCTGGGCCTATCCTAGGGCTTGGATCCACCAGTGTATATGCATCCCCTGCAAGATTCGAACTCACCACCTTCTTATGTTTGAACTTACATCAGTGTGTGAGTATTCATAACCATCTGGGTTGGCAACGGGCAAAATGTGGAAGTCATAATTGTCAACCATAGCACGTACGTTGGTGTCAGAATTGTATTGTTCCAGAAGCTAAAATATTAATTATATAGCACATAATACGACATGTATCTGTGCTTTTTGGGTTTTCATATATTCACTAAATTTTCATTCATGCATTGTGAATCAGATATTTCCTAAATGTGCGAGAAGAATATTAGACGTCTCTAGCAGGTGAAGTAGTACATTTTGCAATTTGTTTTTTATTAGCTACTGCCCGGATTACAATAAATTTATACGGTGGCCCATTTCGGCTTCTTAGTCATACACAATTTGTGACCACGTATCTATACAAATGGGAAAATATTCAAAGTGGAAATTCTTTTAAAAAATCGATTTATTCATTTAATCACTCACGGTTTGGATGAAATAGATACACGTTGAGACGGTGATCCACTCCCTGGCGTGAATACCACAGTCCAACACGATGGAACGTCGCCCAGAGCCACTGCTGATCTGAGAGCCAAATACACAATAAGTGATAAAATAAGGTATGCAAAACTTCCGACTATGGAGGCTCAATGACGGTCGATTAGCATATTGAATTTTGAAATTTGAATTTTTGTAAAACGTAACCTTATTGAAGCCTTAGAACATGATCTATTCTTGTATACATCATTAATGTTGCGAACCTACCCTGATTGCTCTCATGTCCCGGCCTTCATAGGAATTTCCAATGGATCTAACAGTAGCCATGGCATACTGGCTGCCCATACTGTCCAACCATGTGTTGATCTGAAGTTTAATTATAGTGGATATCAAAATACCATTTCACTATATATGTGTATAATACAGCTTTCAAGAAATACTGACCCGTTTGGGGTAACCCAAATAATTAGGATAATAGTTGTTACATTTATTTATTGTAAATTGATAAGATCAGGCCTCTTAGACTTCCACCAACAAACCTGTGTTTTTGTGCGCGAGTGGAGAAATATGATACTAGATTAAGAATCGATAGTGCGAAGCGTGGTTCGGTGGACGTAACGTAGTTCGCGAGGTCGGAACTGATGATCGCGTTGGAAGTCTAAGAAGCCCGAAGAAGATGTTTGAAAATTAGCAATATGCTAAACCTAGTTCTTCCCTGAAACTGTAGCAATGACATCAAAACCGATATTGTCAGTTTAATTTTGAAATGGCTTACAGTGTCGTGCCTCTGGTAGTCGCTGAGAATCTGATTTGAGGGGTCAGCGCTAAATCTGGCACTGATCCTTGCAGCTTCGGTCTGATCAATACGTCTGCAATACAAAATAACATAAAACTTTATAATGAGAGTACTTGCAAAGAAAATGATGGTTCTTTTTGTGTATATGCTTAGAACAAATTATCAAACAATATTATAACTTATTAGTCTGCATGAAGATAAAGAAAGTAATATGATCAATCGATATGTAGTGTTCAGAAAACATTATGGTGGAAGTATTGCGACAAACGGACGGTGTGTATAATGATGAGTTCAACTACATGGCTTATTTACTCCTCATGATTAACATATATAGTAAGCCATAGATTTAAGAAGAATTCTAGTTATCTATCTACCTTTTCAAACGCCTTGTCAAGGCATTAATATACTGTACTTACTGTTGTAAATCGTTCCAGACAATGGTGAATGGGATTCCGTTGTCTGCCAGGACTTGCTTGACCATCATGCTGGAAACAGGGGGCACGTCAAACTCAATAGAATTGAGACGCACTGGCTCCTTCCAAAAGCTGATCTGAAAATCGAATTAACAGTTATCATTTGTACGAGGGTTGATCTAAAAGTCCCAACCACTTGTTATGATTTTTTGAATTGTCGCGTTGCTATGGAAAGGTCTCGATGGCGATTGAATTTATTGTTTATTTTTGCACTGGATATAATGAAACTATAATGTATACATAGAGGGTGACAATGAGGCCAAATGTGAACAATATTCATCAAATAATGAGAATTTTAGTACAAAATGCTGAAAAGTCCAAGAATCAGGCTAGAATTGATTATTTCGTTTACCTTCATCTGTTTGTTGTCTCCAAGTTGTCGTACGAAATCCACATCTTGGACACTTCTTGGATGAACTTCTATCACTTGATATCTTTAACAAGAGGAAAAACACCATCAGCATGACAACTGCTGTTCGCGTCAGCACAAAGTCAGGGTTTGAAGCAGAGACTACAGATTTATATTTTAAATGTTTTCGTATATATACTTGATGAACAAATGAAATGCACCTTAATCTGAAAACATAGGATCAAATCCTATGCGAAGTGCTGATGTGAAAAAGTCACTTCACCCTGGTGGGAATCGAACCCACAAGCTCCCGATTACATGCCAGGTGCTCTACTGCTTGAGGAACGGAGCCGACTGGCTCTCACACATCAACAACTTTTCCAGGTAGTCAATGACGAAGAAATGAAATGTACCTTGTATTCTTAAAGGATATATCTAACGTTTCATACAAGAAGGTTTGGGTCGGCTTTGCATTACACTATCCGTGCCCATTCTGAATATTGAAAAAAAGTTTAGCTCTTGCTACAAGGCGCTACATGATCGAAGATTTTTTTTTTTCAGAGGACGCCATTTTGCACTTTAAACACCGTCAACAGATGCGTCGAGCCACACGGTTGTTCGGGTGAAGAAAAGGGTAGCACAGTGATAAGCACGAAACACAAATGAATGGATACTTGATTTGTTGTAAAAACTTTTTAATAACTCGTGTCGAATTGGCGGAACAAGCCCGCAAAGTATTTTGAGTTGGTCTTGGAAGAGAGAAACCCCAATCGGGACCCCAATGAGACTTGGTTATATATCAGATTGATTTTTTTACAAATACTATGTATGACATTCGGATATCAACGGCGTCTCTCATTTTTTTGTTCCTATTCCTACATTCCAATGATAACCCTTAGTGAGCTTTGGACAAAACGAGTCTTTGAAACATTTATTAATATCCTACATGATTTTATCACGTGTCTAAAGCATTTCTTCCTGCCAAATCAAAGCTTTGTACTTTGCAGATAAAATTGTAAACTTCCGGCACTTACCCCTCGTAGGTAACCCTAGCATGCGCCACGGCGCAAAGCGCAAGAAATACCCACAACATCATCGCGTCACAAGGGGCACTTGTTACGGCCTTGCTTTACGCCCCTCTTTTATACTTCAATTTAACTTGCACGATAGACTGACATTTAAGTTATTGATAAAAACTATTTATATTTTGATGTAAAATTCATTTTGCGAGGTAAAATGTGTCAGGGAGTGTTTAATTAATTGTTGAAGTCAGATAACAACATCCGCAGCTATTTCGGACGGGTGCTCTAAAGGCGGATGTTGAATTCCCAAAGGTATTTAACGTATGCCACTTCGCCATTGACCGGTCACTCTTCACCATGCTGCTGTGGGCAATACTCGCGCTATTTGCAGTGGCCTCGGCCAAAGACTACACTGGGTATGTCAATTCAAAAATGGAAAGAAATAAACTTATTATATTCTCCATTTATCTTCCAAATTTCTAAGTTTATATTAATTTGGCCATCGGGGAGTCTTGATTTAAACCCTAAATTAGCTTAATTAAGCATTATTAGCTTAATTAGCTAGATTAGCTTAACATTAGATACAACCATAATCAAGCGAGTTAATTATACTCACGTTATCTGTTTATTAATGCAATTTAAAGTAGTATTAAAAAATCTGTACATGTAATACAGGGAGGAGGGAGGGAAGTAAAAAGTAAAAAATAAAGTACTACGGTTGGGAATTCAAAATGCATAGAATGTATTGTGGCCGGGTATGTCATGACAAGTACATGTACCAATCAGTCCCAAAAGGGGATTGATCATTTTGAACTAAAACACATTGAAGAGTGGCTGCTAAACATTGCTAACACAGTTGAGAAGGTGTGTAAAATGAACAAAATGTGACGTAGATAGAGGATATCCTATCATTTATGAGTGATATGATTTTTATCCACGAATGGATATGATATCTGCACGAGCGAGCGTAGCGAGAGAGTGCAGATATCAATATCCATGAGTTGATTAAAATCATATCACGAGTAAATCATAGGATGTTCTTTTTATTCCATAGTTAAAGTCATCATCAGAATCGTCGGAAATTAAGTGATTTAATTCGAATTTTCCAAACGATCCGGCGATGTTGACACTTAGCCTCGTTTTTAGTCTGAAGTAGCAAAAATCCGTAAACCATCGCATACGGCGCCGTATGTCATGGCTAAAAAACCGTATGCTATGGTTAAGTGAAAATTTGTCAAAAATATCATATTTTAACACTGATTACAAAAATACCGTTCCATGCCTTATATTTCCCTCAAAAATTCTCATGACATCTGGAACACCCTGTACGTGCTTCTATTTATAGGTATCAAGTTCTTTCTGTTGAACCCAGAGATGTCAATGACCTTGAATTCTTACGACAACTGGGACGAAATAGAGAAATGAAGGTAAATATATGAAGATAATTATCTAAGCACAAGTGCCAATGGGAAAGAACAGAAAATGTAAAGAAACCTAGCAAGAAAAGCAAACTCTAAGTGTAAACCAGTCATAAGAAAAATAGACCATATACAGGGTGGGCCCAAAAAAAACGCCACTTTTTTTCAAGACACTACAACTTTTTTATTTTCCAACCTACATACCTCTTTTGTAGTTATATAGTGCCAAGGGTTCTTAGCAATAATATAATGTAACAAGTCATTCAACTTGGATTATATTTGATCTAAAAGGGGAGTTCAATTGGTCCGCCACCCTAATTGATGATATATTTTAGATTTAGTCGCCTTGCTGATATTGCAGTATCAATGAAATGTTAGCTTTGTTTTTTCCAACCTTTCTAAATTCCCAGCTTTAGTTGAGCAATCTTCTAGATTGGATGCCTTCATACAATCTCCTGGAGACCTTCCCATACCCTATACTCACTGGGGTTTGCATCAGGGCTACTAGCTTGGCGATCATCAGGCCGTATCAGTTCAGGAACATTTTGCAAATTATGCATACTTCTCATGAAAACCACATGTTTAAGTGAGACGCTGGTGACATGTTTTATTCAAGTAAAACTGTATAATTTATGATCCATGGCTAGATAACAACCTCAAGTTTCATTTGGTATGCAAATTATGATTTCTTTTAATATCAAAAATTAAAAAAGTTATAACGTTATGAAAAAAAAGTGGCGTTTTTTGGCCCACCCTGTATATACAGAAACCATAATATAACGTGAGAAGAAATAATGTCTAACACCCCCTCCCCCTCCAATCGAGAGCCAATATCACAATCAAGGACCAGAACACCAAAGGGGATTTCATTCACATTGAAGTTATTAAATATATACACGTTGAAGAAAAAATTGATAGCCAATACTCATAACATCAAAAATGGTTGTAAATACATGTACTATAGTAATCATGAAAGATTATAGCGTTCTGTCTCAAAGAAACAGAAAGTCAATATATGGTCGATTATTGACCCAGAGTGGGAAGTGCCAATTACTTAAAAAGGGTTGCCTAGTGATAAAAATAATATAAAAAACACGATTTAGATACTACTTAATCATTTGACTCACAGATTAACTTTTGGGAGGAGCCAGTCCGCGTTGCTAGGGTATCATTCCACGTGCCCCCAGTTTCCAGCATGATGGTCAAACAAGTCCTGGCAGACAATGGCATTCCATTCTCTATTGTCTACAGCAATCTACAACAGTAAGTATATAAAGCTTGTATTCGCGAATGCAATTCCTCAGCTGTCGGCTACCGGATTGACCTCCTATTTTATGACCAACTCATTTAAATATGAATGGAATAGTGGCAGGTACTATTCATATTTAAAAGAGTTGCCCGTGAAATAACAGGATGTTCAGAAAATAAGATACTATCAAGCATAAATTCACAAACTACGAATAAACTTACATTTACGCTGACTATATGGTTATTTACCAACTGACGATACATGTATAGTTTAGTATTGGCCCAAAACAACTATCACATCGCTATATTGGAATACGACGTATAACTAATAACTAGAAGTTAACTACAACTGTCTATATCTGTAGAAGGGTCCTATCCTCAATTTGAATATATGGGATGTTTTAAAAAATCTTTCAACTTGACCATTAAATGGAGGAGTATAGGGTTGGTTGGTTTTGGTGAGACATTAACGATTAGCCCCACAGATAAAATTTGTGGGATTTATGTCTGGTAAGCGATGCACGTTTCGGCATTTGGAGTATGTTTTGTAAATGGTAATAAAATCGTAACCATTGGAGATGGACCAATGAAATTTTGTAAAAGGAAAGAATATTGAAAATTAAAGGTTTAATTGCGCCAAACATGATTTCAAACCCATGCTCAATGATTAAGTTAACATACATTTCTTTGGTTACCTTTTTGGCTCACCCTGTATAAGTGGCATATATACAATATATAAATAACATGTTTTTTATTTAAAGGCGCATTGATGAAGTAGATGCCGCTAGAATTGCGGCAAGGTTTAACGCCGACCCAACAAACTACATACTCAGTGACTATCAGAGACCGGCCACAGTAAGAGCAACTCATGATAACTAACAATTTTCAATAATTGAGAAACTACAAACCGAAACGTCAGTAAAACCTCGACACCGTCATCATGATACAATTCAGATTTGAGTATTAATCTGGTGAACGTAACCTATTTAATTCAACGAAACGATATAAAAATTCACGAAATATCAGTACAATATAGTCAACCTAGAGCCCGTGGTAGACCATTGCCCGACACAAACATGATAACTCAAGAATACGTAATACGATCTCTAATGAATACAGAGCCAATGATGACGTATCTTTCTTCAGATAAACGCATGGTTGGATACCCTCGGAAACCAATATTCACAAGCGACTGTAAGATCTATTGGGACCTCAACTGAAGGCAGAGACATGAAAACTATAACTGTGAGTAAACAGAATCAAGCATATAAAACTAATTACATGAATTAGAAACGTGATACTTTCTCTACGAAATATATAATGCGTTATTAAGGCCTTACCAATTTATCAAACGCCCTGTACATCCTTTGCAGAAACTCTACTGAATCACGACTTCATCTAATTTTTATTCTGGGGGATCCTATGAGCAACATTATAAGCATAAGGTAAAGGAACATCAAGATCAAAATCGTCGTAATATACTTTTTAGATCAGCACCGGAACGACTGGGCGACGCTCTGTGTTAATTGACTGTGGCATTCACGCAAGGGAATGGATCACCGTCTCCACATGTATTTACATCATACAAACCGTAAGTTACTTATCCGTATTTATGTATACGGGTCGTTAAAAATGTTTGTACAATAAGTATATATACCCATTCTGATTTATCAGAGTCCCTCTTTACCTAACGTTTACATACTGTGTTTTGTAAAATGTGCATTAAAGCATTGTTTCATTGTTTGGGATATTGGCGATTTGTCTTCCTTCATTAGTTGCGCACTTATATTCCGTTCACATACTGTGTTTTGTAAAATGTGCATTAAAGCATTGTTTCATAGTTAGGGACATTGGAGGTTTGTCTTCCTTCATTAGTTACGCACTTATGTTTCTTTCGCATACTGTGTTTTGTAAAATGTGCATTCAGTTATTGTTTGGGATATTGGCGATTTGTCTTCCTTCATTGGTTGCGCACTTATATTCCGTTCACATACTGTGTTTTGTAAAATGTGCATTAAAGCATTGTTTCATTGTTTGGGATATTGGCGATTTGTCTTCCTTCATTAGTTACGCACTTGTGTTTCTTTCGCATAATGTGTTTTGTAAAATGTGCATTCAATTATAGTTTGGGATTTTTGGAGATTTGTCTTCCTTCATTAATTACGCACTTATGTTTCTTTCTCATACTGTGTTTTATAAAATGTGCATTCAGTTATGGTTTGGGATATTGGCGATTTGTCTTCCTTCATTAGTTTACGCACTTATATTTTTTTCGCATTCTGTGTTTTGTTATATGATTTCACTTGGTTTTTAGCTTTTGGTTAACGTCTGATACTGTGTTTTGCTTGTAAATGTTGCTTTTCGACTTTCCTCTATTTGTACTTGTGCTGACATAGTTATTACATGCATATTAACCGTTATATCGGCTATTGACTTTTACAGTTACTTGAACAATATGGTTCAAACCCAGAAGTGACTTCAGTACTCGATAGATACGACTTCTACGTTCTACCTGTCACGAATCCTGATGGATACGAGTTTACATTCGAAAATGGAACCCAAGTAAGTTACAGACTTCACTGAGGTAGTTACCTGGTTACATGAATGAAGGAAGGTGTGAGGCAGACGAGGCCATTGCATTTGACATAGGCCTAGTTCCATAATCCTAACACTTCCTATATTGTCCCACTAAGTTGGTATTTCCGTTATTAGTATTTCAACATCACAGAGCTAGTGCCAAAATATTCCATTTTGATGTCACCGCCAGACATAATTTCAAAGTCTCCATTTTTTAGTGGACGGAGGTAGGTGTTCAACGTCTGTTACAAATGGCAGGTAGTGACATTTTACATGTTAATACCTTAATTGTTTTTTATTGTTAACTTGTGGCTGTTCGCGACATACATTTAGGCAGTTATACTTATATGTCGTTGCAGGGTGATCGTCTTTGGAGAAAAACTCGCTCTGTTAATGCTGGCGAGGAAGATGATGACCAATGCTGGGGAACTGATGCCAACCGGAACTTTGACTCATTCTGGGGAGGTATGAACCAATCAAAATCCGAGATAGAGGGACCAATCACCATGTATTGTAAAAGTACAGGATAGCCCCAAAAAATGAATTGTCCCATTTTATTGCCCTTCTTGTATATAGGTATACAACAACACTGGATTATATCTCTGAACGTTTTGGCACTCTTCATATTTTCATTTTCAAAATTCAAAACTAGGGATCCAATCTTGATGTAGATCTAGTCATAATCTAAAATATTCATTCTCTTGTGATATGTAGACGCAGGAGCTGATCCAGACATCCCATGTTCAGACGTATACCCAGGTACCCAGGCATTTTCCGAACCCGAGACCAGAGCTCTGCGTGATTGGGCCTTGTCTATCCCTAACAAGATCCTTTTCTTGAATATCCACTGCTTTACTCAGCTCTGGCTAGTACCCTATGGCTATCATCCAAGCACTCCATACCCCGAAGATTACGATGAACTGGTGTGTACTAAATAGTGCAAATTGTGATTTATCAAAGTGTGTATGTAAAAACAAAATACAGTAGAACCTATCTAATCCGAATGCCATATAGAATTATACTGGGTGTATGTTTCTCAGAAACAGGTACATGTAGCCTTCCCAAAACGGTATTTCCGTTTACTTATCTTCGATTAAAAAGACCTGGACAAGGCTAAGAAACAGGAAAAGTGTCTCGATTCATTTATTATGATTTCCAGGTACGAGTAGCCAACATTGGTGTGGCTGCACTACAGGCTGTCAATGGACTGGAATTTGAAGTAGGAACACCCCCTGACATTTTGTGTATGTATTTTTTACATTTAAGATGGTCTTATGGATGGGTTTATTGATACGTCTCCAATGTAAATATCCACAAAAATCTTACTTAATATTCAGCAATTTGTAATCATCGGAATTCTCACAACGCGCATCTACCTCCAACAGTAAATGAAGTCATTCGATTCGCATTTTACCTGCTATATGAGCGTAATCCATAAAAGTATTGAACATATGTTTACCATAGAATCAATCACTGAGAAATATTACATAATCTTAATTGGCTGGTTTGGTGATTCAAGTCAGGCCAGGTGATGCCACAAAGAAGTATTCCTAATTTTGCTTTCTTATGTTACAGATGAGGTATCTGGAGGAGCTCTTGATTGGGCAAAAATAACTGGAGGATTCAAGTATTCCTACTCCCCCGAATTGAGGCCAGAAAGCCCATTTGACGGAGGTTTTATCCTTCCACCAGGGGATATACTCCCAGCAGGTCGTGAAGTGTTTGCTGCACTACTTTCTCATTGTAACGAAATGCAATAAACTAGTTTAGAAACTTGAAATATGCTTTGAAATGGCAAAATATTTAGTCTAATAACCAGGGCTTTAATAACCATGTGAATTAAATCTTGAGTTTTCAAGAGACAAGACCATGATTAAAAACTCTTCATTCACACACACATGAACATCATTTATATCAAAATTAATCATTTATTTTCTCCAACTATGGGCATGGTATATCTCCAAATATGTGCATGTATGGTACAAATCCTGACAGGTAATTGCAATACAAAATTCAGTTCATTTCTGTGCATCCCATAATAGAAGTTCTCCACAAAATAACAAAGAGCACAATCTCCTCATGTAAAACATTTTATGCCTTTCACGAAGAATGTTTCCATATTTGGCAGTTTAGTTCAAATGCTACAAATGTTTTATAGTTTTGATTAGATGTTTATTTCCCTCGTCTGAAACCACTGGAGCCTTTAGCTTTCTTTGCAGATCCTTTTTTCTCATCAGCCTGAAATGTATTAGACTGAATTAGTATGTAGTCGAGAACACCTTTGGTATGTCTAAAAAAGTGTTCCACTTGGGAGGTGTTCCACTTACAGAGCTTCATTTAAAGAACACCTTTGTTATGTCTAAAAAAGTGTTCAATTTGGGAGGTGTTCCACTTACAGAGTTTCATTTAAAATTAAGTCAGTTGGAATCTAAAACATTTGAATCTAAAAGATACCTTGAGGTTCTCCATTGTCTATGAAAAAGAGGAAATCTGATCCTCCATTTACTAACTTTACGTTATGGAGTGGTTGATGATGTGACAGATGTCACTTTAACTTACTTTATGTTTAGGAATGATTGATGATATGACAGATGTCACTTTAACTTCATTTCACCTTTATGGGTAGTTGATGATGTGACAGATGTCACTTTAACTTATTTAACATTTAGGAGTGGTTGATGATGTGACAGCTGTCACTTTAACTTACTTCATGTTTACAAGTGTTTGATGATGCAACAGATCCACTTTATCTTATTTAACTTTTAGGAGTCGTTGATTATGTGACATATTGTTTACAAGTGTTTGATGATGCAACAGATGTCACTTTAACATAATTTATGTTTAGAAGAGGTTGATGATGTGACTGATGTCACTTTAACATACTTTACGTTTAGGAGTGGTTGATAATGTGACAAATGTCACTTAACATACTTTACATTTAGAAGTAGTTGATGATGTGACAGATGTCATTTTAACTTACTTTACGTTTAGGAGTGGTTGATGATGTGACTGATGTCACTTTAAAGAAGCTGTCAAGTCTTCCTTGAGTTGAACCAGTTCGTGAACTTTTTATCTTTTTAATACCATTCCTGATTCGATCTTCACTGAAATAGAGAATAAAATTAAATTCATACGAAGACCCTTCTTCATGTAGAAATGAGATGTTATCTTATTGGTCTATGAATAACACATGATCATGTTGTTAACAAATTCAAAATTTTGTATACACACTAGAAATAACAAAATTATTCAAGGTTTTAAGCACTGAACTCAATAAATGCTTGTAAAATAAATCACAAGTGGGTTGTTCGTGTAAATAAAGGCGAGGCCTAATTTTTATCAATCTTTTCCTCATTTGACAAAAATATCGACTGGGTTTCTTCTGAATCAAAAAAATATTGATCAATGGAAAATGATCTATGATCAAAGAAAATAAATAGAGGAAACTCCCAGTGATATATATATATATAAACATTAGGGAGTTTAAGCTTGCAATGTTTTTCACAACCTAAACGTGAAGATAAAATATTTAAGCGATGCATTTGTATGAGCGATTGGCCATACGTATAGGTTGGTGTTTTGATTTTATATGCGAGCTTGAACTCCCTATCATCTTACTTGAATCCCTTCTCCTCACACATGTACTTTATGAGCTCCTCTTCTTTAGGTGCAGTCCATTTCAACTGAAACAGAATTACATGTTTAAGAATACATGAACATTTCCATCCTTTGTAACACTGATAATAACCAAGTATAGTGAAACCTGTAAAGTTGATCACCTCAAGAAGTGGCATAGTGGAACACTTTTGAGAGTCCCAAGACCAACTGACTTAATGTAAAATAAGCACTATTTTTCACTAAAATATGAAGGGAAAGTATGTGAATGAGAATAGGAATGTGTTGCGTGTTTTAGCTCAAAATTTCTCAAGAAACAAGCTTGTTTCAAATATGTATCAGGAAACCAGCTATAGAACTATCAATGGCATAACTACATGCTGTAGTTTAGTCTAAGCAAACACTGAAGTGGAACAGTTAAAGGTGATTGATTCATTATACATCTTTGATTCGATTTTCTATGCAAGCTTAAACTCTCTAATGTCAACTCACTTCAACATCAGCTCCTGCTGTAACATCAGGTTCCTTAAAGAGTCGCCTTGCTTCTTTATACATCCAGTCTTCAGGTATGGTGTATTTCTACAAAATAAAAGGATTCCTTGAAATACGCAAATGCTTTTCACCAAATATGCCTTTCTATTTTGTCCAAAAATAACAAACTAACAAATAGTTGAAATGTGCCTGGTGATTTGTTAAACTCACAGACACATGTTTCAATAGTATCAACTGTATGCAAGATAAAACATACAGATTTTCTTTAAAAAATCACCATTATTCATTTCTCACTCCCCTGATTTTTGAAGATCATTTAAACCAATAAATGAGTATCATATACATGACGTTTTGTTTGAACCCTTGTGGCCTGCTCAATAATCAATAAATTGAAAAAAAATTCATTGAAACATTTTAGGATGACATGTGTATCATTTGAAAAAAATGATGTCCAAAAAATAATCTTAGATTCTTTAAACTTTTTAAACACTGTCTCATACAAGTTTCATGTTACTCAGGTGGATGTACAGGGTGGCCCAAAAAAAAGAAACATTTACTCATCAGAACAGATTTCGAAGTTCCTTTTTTCGGTCACCTTGTATGATATCAAGCATGAAAGTTGATTGTACATAAAATGATATTTTCAAACTCACAATGCAGTTCTACAGGTTAAAATAGATATTAATCAAACTTACTTTAGTATCTATATTTTTTAAGATTGTTTCAATATTTTTATGCTGCTTGACGAGTTCAACTGCTCGTTTAGGTCCGATTCCCCTGATAGAGTCACAATAGTCACAACCAAGCAATATACAGAGATCTATGAATTCTTCTTCAGACATGTCTAGTCCCTCAAGGACAAGCCTCAGGTGGAATTCTTTGATTGGCATTTTTCTGGAAACAACAAAATGTTATCGGATTATTCTGGTCAAATTCATTTTGATTTCATTTCATAATTCATTGTGAATATGATTTATTGTAAACATCGAATATTTCAAACACAATGCTTTTCTGTTTTCAATGTTTGAGTGATGAAGTGGTAAATTACTATGTGAGTATAAATCAGTTCAAGTCACCACAATGAAAAGTAATAAAATATTTGGAAATTGTTAGAGACAGACACTGAGCACAATAGTTACATACTGTGTAGACATCAAAACTAACCTGGCTTCACTAAAGGTGAGGTGACGAAGCAGAACAGAAGTACCAAATGTAAGAGCATCCATATCTTCTGTACCAACAGCATAGACTTTACCAGTTTTTACAAGTTCAGCACATTGGGCTTCTGCCTCACATGGAGCCTATAATGCATACATTGCATAAGCAGTGTAGGTATGGAGCCTATAATGCATACATCACATAAACAGTGTAAAGGAATGAAGCCTATAATGCATACATCACATAAACAGTGTAAAGGAACAAGTCAATATATTGATGCTTTCTAATTAATCCAGTAAATCATGCCATGTGTTGGTTATGATGTCATTCTTACCATGAGCTTTTAAGAGACATTTCCATGGTAGAAATAGAAATATCATATTACTTATTTTCAGAAATCGGGTACCCTGCGTGCAGTCTAGTTATCAACTGCCCTCTGCCTAGCATAGACTATATTACAGTTTAGCAACCCTGCCCCAATGATCGGTGACTGTAAGGGCCCAGGTCATAAATCATTTCAAATCTAGCATGTTGACCTTTTCTCAACCAATCAGCGAATCGAAAGAGAAACTAAAGAGTGGAGACGAAACTGTCTTTTAAGAAGTAAAGTTGAACGAATCCATAGGGTAGAAATCTGGCCAGATACCAATGTTTCTTTAATTCACCAAAAGCAGTTTGGATTTACTGGAAAGATCTGTAGCGACCCTGGGTTGGCTAGTCATATTTTACTCTTACATAAATTGCCAACCTGGCACCCGGTGTCGCTACTTTCCTTCCGCTCTACAGCGCGAATAGTTCCGCTGCAGGGTCAGGGAAATAGTTGCTTGAGCTATCTAGCTTTTGTTCAGAACAATTGTTTTGCAAGAGTATTTTGAACATGGCACATTTCTGCTGTAATTTTATGTAAGGGTTGATCTCGCGAGAGACAGCGAGAAGAGAGTTGGCGCCATACTTTTTCACTCACGAGGCAGTTTTGATTTAAATTGGTGATTTGGATTACTTCTGGCACTTGATCAGGCCTGATCGATCGTTATGGCAGCCAGAGGGATGAAGGGAGACGAGTGGCTGCAAAACTGAGGTTATATTTTCTAATTTTAACTCAACTGCTGTGCTGAGCATACTTGTAGAAATATTGTGAATCATTTTCAGTTTATTTTGTCTTTGACTTTTGAGAGTCATCTGAGTTTGACATTGGGTTTAATTTGGTTATATGGAACATCTATTTTGGTTGATTTTCTTTGATAGAATAGTGTAATTTTTGGCTGGAAGATCTGGCCTAGTTTTGATATGCTCAGCGCGCAGGTGAGATTTTTCACAGCGCCACCTTTTGACAATCGCTTTACTTAAAGCTCGATGTTGTTTTAATTGTAAGCGCTCATATAGCCGCCATCTTACTTAGTCATTTGTAATCTTTCTGCCATGTAATTTCCTATGATTTCATTTGATAGATAAAACTGATGTAAAACCAAATCTCATTATTTATTTACAATTAAACTTTAAAACTTTACTTGATTTGTTGTGTTGATTGTTTGTAGTCATTGACTGGAGGTTTTGATGGAATAACAGTAAAATGGCCCTATGATTAGCTTTCTGATATCTTCCTAGCTTCATTTCTTCATTCTGTTCCAAATCATTCTTGTTTAATTAGTGTTTCCAACTTTTGTATCTATTCAAAGATGGCAGCACCTTACATAGAGTCCAGTAATCAATCTTAACATTCAGCTCAAATTCGATTCACTACGTTGCCATGGCCGTTCAGCTTACCACGCTACCATTTGTTTGCTCGTTCGGTCCTGTTTGTTTGTTTGTACGGGTTGCTTTGTTGTAGATTGGTTTATTGATTGATTGGGCAGCCCGTACGTGGCAGTTTCGGGATTAAGACCGGAGCTGTTACATTGGTTAGTCGCGGCGGGATTTTTGAGTTGTTTGTTGGATTGATTGATTGTTGTTTGAGTATTTGTGAAATTCTGCAGCAAGTTTCTAGTTGTGCGCGGTTGAGATTTGATGACCTACTCTAGTCCAGTCCTGGTAGTAATTGACTGTGATAGAGTGATACTACTGATAGTGAGCTTTACTGATTGTGCTAGAGGAGCAGGCGACTGGTCATTGAGTGCCACATCTGAAGTTTGTTCCCTTTCTAGACATGGCACATTTTTCTGATATTATGCAGAAACACCAGAATTTGACTTCACACATTGCTATGTCAACTGATGCTGCATTTTGTTTTCCAGGTAAACATGAGGGCTCTGGAGTGGTTGAACCGGCTCGCATTACTACACAAGCCCCGAGTTCCCGCGTTGCAGTCAGCCAGACTGCGCCAGCTTGTCATGTTGTGACATCTACTTGTCAGGGCCAGGCTAGGCCTCAGGATGATTCTTATCTTGATGCGCCTGCTGCGAATGGCGCAAAGGAACTCATGGACTCTGCCTATGATTCCTTCGATGGCGAGAGATTATCGTGTCAACCTCCGATTAGACTTAACACGTATGATGGCACTTCTTCATTTGAGGACTTTATTGTACAGTTTAACATCATAGCGTCTTTCTTCAAATGGGACGATAATATGAAATCTGTGTATCTCATATCCTGTTTGAGAGGCAGAGCGCTTTCTGTATTGAGTGCCATGGACACCACTGAAAGACAAGACTTTTCAAGAATTGTGCACAATATCTCCATCTATTGTGACAATGCTCTACAGCACACTTTTGAGTTTTACTTAAAGAAGCTGCAGTCCCGGGTACGTTTGCCGGGTGAAACCCTCACTGAACTGGCACATGACATCAAGCGCTTATCCCGAGGAGCATTTGGTGACAGCCAACATGGAAAGGATGTTGCTGTGCGCACATTTCTTGATGCAATCCCCGATGATGATTTGTGCTGGAGTATCCACTCCAAACAACCACTGAGCATTGAGGAAGCCCTTACAATCGGGCTGAAATATGAAAATCATTTCAAGCTTCGGCTGGCGAAGGAGCCAAGACCTACCATTGATGGCGATGATTTCCCGGGTGAGGTTGAAATCTTGTCGAAATGTGAAGCGCCACCTATTACAAAGGATGAAATATCTCCGGCTGCAGACAAACTCCTGGATAAGACCCCTTGTAATCAGGATGAACAATCTGGTTCCCTGAATACTTCTACAGAACCTGACTCTGACTGTAGTGTGAACTTGAAATATGCTTTTAAGTCACACTCATATAAACGGAAAAGACGATTGTGTTACCAGTGCGGCTGTTGTAACCATACTTACCGATTGTGTCCTTATAAAAGAATACCGAGGAATAGACTTATTTCTTTACCCGAATGTGACAAACTCCAAGAATGTTGGAAAAAACTACTACAAATGTATATCCCGAAAAATGGCAGTATGGTACCTAACTGTCATGGATTAGGCTAATAATGAACCTTATCAATTATCCCTAAAAATGGACTGTGGGCCATTGGATAAATTGTCATCATGATTGTTCTGAAAAATGGATCGATATCTATTGAATTTTCATTGCGGTCATTATATTATGTGGTAGCTGATTTATGTTCCCGATAAAATGAGCCATATTGGGCCATTGGATAACATCAAAGTGAAATGTAAGGCTAGTGTATTTTGATTGCACTGCCTATTGAATTACCAGTGTACATTATAGCTGCATATAGCGCTTGTGACATCATGATGAATGACATGGTAATGGTATATCTACTCTGATTTGACATCCATCGCTATAATACTTACTTATATCTGCAGAGCTTCAACATCATGACAGTAATGTGTGTAGACTGATTTTCAAGCTGGAAGGAGTGCACGCCTACCATTATTGGAATGGGACTTTCACCGCTGTTAGTGTGGACATGCAGTATCTGAACATTATAGACAGAGTTAGGGACTTTTATACCATGCATACATTTTGTGCTGAGAGACTGTAAATCTTTTAATTTTGATATTTTTGCATTAAAACTCTGTACAATGGTTTCTTATTGGTCTGGGCGGTCCTCCCATTTTGGCATTTGCTGGTATTTAATTTTGAGGATTATGCCGTCCAGGCCAAGCAGATGACCATTTCTGAGGGTAAAAAATAGTGATTGCCATAGAGCACCATACTGGCTTTAAAGATTTTGGATGTAATTTTTGTAATGCTTTGTAATCATTTTCTGTACATTTTGTAAGCTACGTAGCCATATTTTTGTCATTGATCTTTAATTTTGTAGTGATTTTTATGCCCTTAAGGATAGTATGTTGCATTATAGCATTCTTCCCATTTTGTACATTTTGAGGTTAAAGACCTCTCTCAGAGGGGAGGTATGTAGCGACCCTGGGTTGGCTAGTCATATTTTACTCTTACATAAATTGCCAACCTGGCACCCGGTGTCGCTACTTTCCTTCCGCTCTACAGCGCGAATAGTTCCGCTGCAGGGTCAGGGAAATAGTTGCTTGAGCTATCTAGCTTTTGTTCAGAACAATTGTTTTGCAAGAGTATTTTGAACATGGCACATTTCTGCTGTAATTTTATGTAAGGGTTGATCTCGCGAGAGACAGCGAGAAGAGAGTTGGCGCCATACTTTTTCACTCACGAGGCAGTTTTGATTTAAATTGGTGATTTGGATTACTTCTGGCACTTGATCAGGCCTGATCGATCGTTATGGCAGCCAGAGGGATGAAGGGAGACGAGTGGCTGCAAAACTGAGGTTATATTTTCTAATTTTAACTCAACTGCTGTGCTGAGCATACTTGTAGAAATATTGTGAATCATTTTCAGTTTATTTTGTCTTTGACTTTTGAGAGTCATCTGAGTTTGACATTGGGTTTAATTTGGTTATATGGAACATCTATTTTGGTTGATTTTCTTTGATAGAATAGTGTAATTTTTGGCTGGAAGATCTGGCCTAGTTTTGATATGCTCAGCGCGCAGGTGAGATTTTTCACAGCGCCACCTTTTGACAATCGCTTTACTTAAAGCTCGATGTTGTTTTAATTGTAAGCGCTCATATAGCCGCCATCTTACTTAGTCATTTGTAATCTTTCTGCCATGTAATTTCCTATGATTTCATTTGATAGATAAAACTGATGTAAAACCAAATCTCATTATTTATTTACAATTAAACTTTAAAACTTTACTTGATTTGTTGTGTTGATTGTTTGTAGTCATTGACTGGAGGTTTTGATGGAATAACAGTAAAATGGCCCTATGATTAGCTTTCTGATATCTTCCTAGCTTCATTTCTTCATTCTGTTCCAAATCATTCTTGTTTAATTAGTGTTTCCAACTTTTGTATCTATTCAAAGATGGCAGCACCTTACATAGAGTCCAGTAATCAATCTTAACATTCAGCTCAAATTCGATTCACTACGTTGCCATGGCCGTTCAGCTTACCACGCTACCATTTGTTTGCTCGTTCGGTCCTGTTTGTTTGTTTGTACGGGTTGCTTTGTTGTAGATTGGTTTATTGATTGATTGGGCAGCCCGTACGTGGCAGTTTCGGGATTAAGACCGGAGCTGTTACAGATCTATTACATTTCAAATCAAAATTCTCTTTTTGATTTATTTTTATTTTTGAGATTATGTTTCATTGCCTCAGAGTTTACCAGATCATGAACATATTTTGAGAATTTTTTTTCAAAAGCTCCATAGAGTTTGGCCTTTATTCCAAGTACTACCCATGCAATTTCACATTTCATTGACCTTTCTGCGATTTCATTTTTTCGACTGCACCTTTGTTACTGGTGTCATTAAAATCTGATGTTATAATTAAGTATTGATACCAATGACACAAATATGTACAGCACACACAAATCTGATGTCATAAAACATAAATTCATTGGCAATGTTATTTTTGGTTTATCTTTAAAACAATTTGTCCCTGATACTCGTCCAGTCCTTTCTACTATACCATATGTATTTCTTCATTTCTTACTTAAACCAATGCTTTTGATTTATATAAACAAAGACTCATGTAAAAATTTGGCTATTAATGTCTACATTGACACAGCCAAGGAAATAATTGCTTAAAAAAAAGAAATAAAAAAAAGAAAACAACAACAACAAAGACTCACATCAACATATGGAACACCCATGAGCTCTAAAAGCTGTTTGCATTCGTTGCTATGTTCCTTGGTAACTTTCACCAGTCGCTTATTGAATCTTTCCACATTCTCTTGGTCCCCTAGGTAACAAATTACAACATTTCAAACAAATAAATTTGAACAATTTGACATTGATTACTTATTACTCTAAACAAGGTAAATTCTTATTAGTTAATTTTAAATCATGAAAGCAACCTTGCAACCTTTTAAAAAGCTAGAATATTTCAGTGTTTTCCCTCGAAATTTTCGCAAGTGGGTGCAAAATCCTCATTTTCACAATTCAGACTGAAATTGATAAAAATATGCCCAATTTTCATGATTTTTCTCATTTTCAAGTGCGTGCAAATAGATTTTCAGGTGGGTGCAAACCTATTTCAAAAATCTTAGGTGGGTCCTGCGCCAGCTTGCTTTAATGCTAGCAAGATCACTGATTCACAGGTGGAGGCATATTCTCCAAAGCCATGTGAGCTTCATATAATAATATAAGTATTGAGGGCAAAATGTTCTTACCTGCTTCCTCAGCCTTTGCCAGTTCTTTCTCTGCCACCTCACGTCGTTCTTTACGCTTCTCTAACTCCCCTGACTTCATTTCTGGTGGCTTGCCATCAAATACATACACAGGCTTTATCCCATTGTCAAGCATACGGATCGTCCGGTAAAATATTCCCATAAGGTGACTAGAATAAAATGAAAGGATTTTACATCAGTGGAATTGACCAAGGGAAACAAAACCAGAACAACGGCAACGCCAAAGCGTAGCGAATCCCATCGAACAGAAATGGCTGGCATTTTTACAAACGAAATATATAGCAAATATCATAAAACAACACACCAGAAAGGCCACCATTTTCAAAATGGTTAGCCAAGTTGTCATCAGAAGAAATAATATGCTTTTAGTAGCCACCTATAAAATTTTTGAAAAATCGCACACATGTACTTGTGAAATACAGTAAAACCTGCGTATAGTGAACAATTTTTTGCCAAGAAAAAATGTTCACTGTTGGTAGGTGTTCACTACAGCAATGATTTGATTTTGCGGCATTTTGCCGTATTATATAAAGAGACCAGCTATTAAAAGAGAGGAGGGAATATTTATTTATTTATTTATTATTTATTTATTTAGATATACACTTTTTTAACAGTGGCACTCTTAAATTAAGGTGCATGTAATCGAATAATATCCACAATTCCATGTTGGTTAAAACATCACATTTTATCAAACTAAAATGAGTCTTAAAAAGAATTAAAACATATTCATATTTCAATAATAAATTTAAATTGTATTTTCTACCCATATTAACCCATGACACTCAAGCGTTAAGTATTTAATTTGTTGTAATGCTATATACAAAATGACTTATTTTAGACTGACTGTCATCTGAATGGTTCATCCTTTTATTGTCAAATTTTTATCTCTATATAATTCTTTTTATCTCATCAAGATGGTCCTTTAAATAGTGGAATTTTTGAGACATTTGAGTCAGTTAAAGGACTTTATTGAATTAGTTAAAGGACATGATAGATGCAGTTAATAGTGAAATGATCATGAATTATAATTTTGATGAGAAAAAAGATTAAGTTGGGACTTAGCAGATAGAGGTAATAATAGTTAGCTAGATTATCTCCAAGCAATCAATCCCAGACGCATATCCTTTGTAACAAAAACAAAGCTTATTAAGAATTATAATTAGTCACATCTGTTTCAGATCAAGATCTCAAATTGACCTTTTAATTATTTTTGGCAGGTAATATAAACATAAACTGCTTAACTCTGATAAGGCAGTTGCACAAAATCCACGAGAAATGTTATATCTTATTCAATGTTCACTAGAGACAGGATAATTCAATTGATTTTGCCAGGGTTTAGTGTTCACTGTTCACAGTTGGTAGGTGTTCACTATAGGATTGCACTTTAACATGGGAGTCAATGGGAGAAAAAGGTTTTGCCGAATAAAAACTTTCACTGTTAATAGGTGTTCACTAGAGAGATGTGTTCACTAACTCAGGTTTTACTGTAAGTAAAAAATGTAAAAATGACAGCCATTTTTTAAAATGGCCGCCTACTATCCGAAGTGTCATGAGACAGTGTGCAAGGCTCGTGAGTATTCACATATCAAATATGAACAAAATCGCTTCACTACTTTTCAAGTTATAGTAAAAACGTAAAAATGGTGGTCATTTTTCAAAATGGCCGCCTACTACCCAAAGTGTCATTAGACAATGTGCCATGCTTATAGTATTCACATATAAAATATGAAACATACCAAATATGAACAAAATCGCTGAACTACTTTTCGAGTTAAAGTAAAATACGTTAAAATGGCAGCCATTTTTCAAAATGGCCACCTTCTACCAAAAGTGTCATTAGACAATGTGACATGCTTATAGTATTCACATACCAAATATGAACAAAATTGCTTCACTACTTTTCGAGTTATTGTAAAATACGTTAAAATGGCGGCCCTTTTTCAAAATGGCTGCCTTCTACCAAAAGTGTCATAGGACAGTGTGCCATGCTTATAGTATTCACATACCAAATATGAACAAAATTGCTTCCCTACTTTTCGAGTTAAGTAAAATACGTTAAAATGGCGGCCATTTTTCAAAATGGCCGCCTTCTACCAAAAGTGTCATAGGACGGTGGGCCATGCTTATAGTATTCACATACCAAATATGAACAAAATCGCTCCACTACTTTTCGAGTTATAGTAAAATATGTTAAAATGGCGGCCATTTTTCAAATTTTTTTTCAAAATGGCCGCCTTCTACCAAAAGTGCCATAGGACAGTGTGCCATGCTTATAGTATTCACATACCAAATATGAACAAAATCGCTCCACTACTTTTCGAATTACAGCAAAAATCGTAAAATAACGAGTAAAGGCCGCCATTTTTCAAGATGGCTGCCATGTGCTTTTTTAATATCTATATTTGTAGCTTTATTAATGTCCTTTATAATTTTTTTACACTTAAAACATATTGCTATTACAGTTTTACATATTGTACCTAAATTACTGTAAAATCGGCACTAAAATGGCCGCCATTTTGAAATGAGCGGCCATTTTGAAAATCGGCTTTCGAGCAGAACTTCTACCCCCATAGGGTATATGTGTACAACATATGAACAAAACGGGCCAACGGTATTTGAGTTATTACCCGGACGGATGGACAGACGGACGGATGGACGGATGTACGTACGGACGGACGTACGGACGGACGGATGGACGGACGGATGGACAAACGGAGGCGTTCCCTATATCCCTCCGAACTTCGTTCGATGGGATAATAAGATGAATAATATAGTACATTGACATGTGTATCTACTAGTATCAGATTTTACAAATCTGCTTTAAAATGCTTGGCATAGTTTATGCTGGTTTTAATTACATGTAGTAAAACCTGTATATCTGAACACCTCTCTAACCCTAAAACTTCTCAATGTGAACACTTTTTCTCGGTCCCAAATTTGTCATCTCCCATTAACTCAAATATTTATAAATTTGAGCACCTCTACTTTCCTCTAGTCCTTATCTAAACACATTTTACTGATCATACATATATATTCAGCCTGGAAAACTGAAGATGCAGATTTCATTTGAACTATGAGTGGCAACTGTACATGCTTCTGCAGGCTTTTACCTTGCTAAATCCATGACGTGAACATGTTAACCAAACATTTATGCAATCAAAACAATCATTGTGACATACCTTGTTGTTTCCCCTGCTTCATTGGTCAGTGCACTTCCATCTTGTCTTACTGCTATCAGGAACTGGTATATACTCATAGAGGCATCAATTGCAACCTTGCGTCCTAATTAAATAAAGGTAATATGTACATATCATAACAGAATCAAATGCGATGATTATTAATTTTGGCATTTTCTCTTGTGTTCCAATTAAGTTGTTGACACTGTCAGATCAGAGACATATAACACATATAGATCTAGTATTACTCGAGTCTCTAGCCAATTCTTGGCTAGAAGTAATTTCATCTGGAACACCGTGAACCATTTGAAAAAAGCTGGCTGTTGTGTAACAAAGGACAAGGTGCAATTATTGGCAAATATCCCTATGGTCAAAATGAATCATTCCTAGGTGTAACATGAAGAATAAAATGTCATATAATACTTTGGAAAATATTAAAGTGCTCGGACACACATAAGCTGAGATAGGGATCATTTCGTTCAGTAAGGTTGTATTGACTTACATGGAGCTGTGCACCATTGACTTAACATGAGGATATCAGCAGATCCCAATAGAGGCCATTGGTTTCCATTGATTATCACAGAAATACCAAAAATACACTATGACCTGAATCGATTGCAAACTTAATAATTTCACAATACGACACAAATGGTTTATCTCATCAAATGTGCAAATATGAAGTTTGCAATCGATTCAGGTCATACTTAAAATTAAAAGATTGTACATTTTTTCATCATTTTTTTCCCTACAAAATGGCTATAGAAAAATGCTCCAAACCAACTTTTACATTTATCAAATATCATACAAGTTTGTAAAACCAAAGATTATACTATTATATTTCATTATGTAGTAACATATTTGGATACGATGCAGGGATGCGTAGGATGTAAATGGATTTTGACAGACACAAAAATACTTCCTGGTTTGGAATCTATGCCTCTACACTTCATGATTGAATTATGACCCTAATAAGTGGCCTATACATCAATACAGTGCTGAATATAGGTCAACAAGATACCAGTGTGCATATAAATGTAATAATTGAAGCAGAATACTCATTTTGAAAAATCAGATGAATTATTTTTTTCCCATGGGGAGATCCCAATGGAGGGTGTATAAGGTCCTTTATTAAATAGTTTAAAAATCACCAAATCATGAATAAAATGGAACTGGCTGGGCTCCTTGATGAGATATTGCATGATTTCGTCAGGATTTTGTCTAAAATTAAAACATGGGCTTTCAATTAGAGTTGAATGCCCATGATTAAAATAAACGTCTCCAAGAAATATGGCGATATTTGAAAACTGGACGAAATGTCGTTATTGTCTGATATTAGTAACTGGCTGTAATTTCTAAGTTAGCGATCCAGAAGATGTGAACTAATACATTGATCACGTCATGTGTGTTTTGGAATTTTTGGTGAGGTAATAAGACCAAAACTCGCAATTCAAATTGTGATGTGGAAAAATGGCGAACATTTGATTTCAAATTTGATGATTACAAAATGACTCGTGTACAGCAGTAAAAACTAGTTCAACGTCGTTAAACTCAATAACGGCGTTCTTTACTATTAGGAATTTTCTTGGGGCCGTTATTGAGTTTAACCTCTTTACTATTCTTTCCTTTGATGCAAGTTCTGGATCCATCGAAACCATTTTGCCGCGATAACATGCAATTGATACTTGACAATAATATAAAAACACATAACATCAAGTGATATAACACAATATTATTGTGTTTAAAATGTTCATTTATACTCGTAAAATGAGGCTACACTTACCGATCTCTAAAATGACATTTCCGCATGTCCGTCATTGTGTCTGTTCGTCCGAGTGTCCCGGATCGTAAAATAAAACTACTAGCGAAACGAAATTGTTGTCAAATAGATTGATAATTATCATCGCGATTACTCGCATTAAAAGATAAATTTTGAGGATAACAGGTATCTTTGATTGATTTATATAGCGCGTGTATACACGCAAAATAGTTATTAATTGCAAACCTACTGTTTGTAAATGCAGTGCCGCGATGACGGTTAATTTCTGATACGATTTGCAATTTCGATGTTACCGAAACTGACCGACATTTTCGTTATATTCCAAACCTGTCTCCAATATTTTCGTAATTATGCATCAATAGGGTCTAAGGGGGATACGGGATGGTGTGTATGTATTCATAAGGTATGTATGCATGCTTGAATCACATTCTTTGTGTAATATTACCATGGTTTCAGGGTTTAATTAGTTCCGCTTGTCGAAACCTGCGGAACGATTAAATTAACACATCAAGGGCAAAATGATCATGGAGGTTAGACCTAGCCGGGGCCATAAGACATGTCAGATAAGAAACGTGGCCCAGACTATTTCTAATGTTGTTGGACTACAGTAAAAACATGCAGTGATTTATCTTTGGATGAAGGCCACGAAATAGCGGCCTTAGAAGAAAGTAAATCTAGTATGTCTTTCTTACCAAAATAATTTTTGATTTCATTTTCTTTGACAGCACTCGGAGCGTTGTCGCCTATCACTTTTGAAAGTCCATGTATTCCCATGATGACACTAGTATGATTTATACAAGGCAATCTGAATAAAAATACTTTGTGATTTCCCGCCAAATTTTTTAAAATAACCGGAAGTGCCACTTCTATCCGTTATTTTGGCTATGCTGCAGTATCAACTAAAGTAATGTATAGTTCAACATGTAGCGTCTCTGTATGGCTTAAGTTGGAAGCGATACATTGATTTTATATATGGTGTAAACTTGTTTTATCTCAATAATATTCAAAATATTCGTCGCTCCTCCAAAGTATTAATGACCTTGAACTTGATACGTGTAGACGAACGATCAAAATAGTAGAGCGAAAATCTCTTGCTTGTTAGAAATCTCGTGTTAGTTTCAAACCAATTGTTGACAAAATCAAATACATAGAACAGTATGGATCTTACACAATATTCAACACTAAAGGTCTTAATGTACCTTTTGAGGTGAAATGATACATTTGAGATATTGTTCAAAGATTCATGTTCGCATTCCCAACGGATCCTGTTGTGTCACGTGACCAAAGCATGGAAATGGATTTTGGGTTGATTGGTACGATCGGTGAAGATGAAGAGGTACCACTCGCCTCAGAGAGCTCTGCTAGCGAAGATGAGGTATTTATTAGTAACAGTATATATACTGCTTGAAACTTTGCCACTTTCATTACTTTTCTATTTGCCAAATCATCAAAAACTTTTTTCTAAAGATTGAAAACATTTTTAAACCTTATTATCGCCCAATTGCTGTATACAGTGGGGATCATAAAGAATTGCAAAAGCTATATTAGTTACATGCTGTCGCACAGTGTATTCAGTGCTCTATTTTCTCCGTCTTAGTAAGTCCAAATATAGTGGAATTTGTGTCCCTAATGACAAATAAGAACTTCAAAAGTTGAATTGGATATTCACATGTTATGCCGACTCTTCAAATGTTGAGGTGATTTTGTCGCCCGATTGCGCCGGAACGGAGGATTAGCTCCCAGAATGCAACATGACACGTGCCAGCTTTCAAAATGCTGTTCCGCCATTTTAAAACCTCTCATGAGTAAATATGGTTAACTGATGTTGCATTCTGGGAGTCAACCGTCCTTGGATAACAAACATGGCGATTCATGAAAACATTCATTTGATTTGGTAGGGATTTATCCATTATTTGCAGGTATGAAGCTTTGGATTCATTTATTGTGCTACTTTAGTGAACGGGAATTATTTTTCTACCGCTTAGGAGAGTTTGAGACACGAAACTTGGAAATTAGCTCATTGTGACAACTTGTGAACGTTGAGTTTTATTTTTGTCCCCCACTGTACTTATTATTCTCGAAAGAGGATTGTTAATATTTGAATCGATATCACTCGTAGTCCAACATTAGATCTAGTCAGGGGCCTCGTTTCTTGTCTGACATGTCTTATGGCCCCGACTAGGTCTAACCTCCGTGATAATTTTGCCTTTGATATTGATTAGTGTTGTCGTGATTAATCGATACATCGCGATATACATCGCCAAACCTGATTCTGTCCATGCATCGATGTCTGAAACCAAACATCGATGTTTTTAAAAAAATTTAATTTGCTAAAAATCACCCTTTCTTATCTTATTTTGACGCAAATTGCTTACCTTTCTCATGTCCTTTTTCATTTTCCAAAGTTTTCTGATATTCTTTCGCTTTAAAACTGTTTTAGCTAGTCAAATTGAACCATTAATCTAAAAAAAATTACTTTACTTTCATTTCACCGTGACTAGAAGTTCCCGGATGTACCAGCGTACTCTTATTAATTTGTTCTGTTCGGTATTTTAGTGCATTAGCATTTGGTATTTCAGTGCACTTTTCTCGGACTTTTTCTCGATGTACATCGCGATGTGCATCGATGTTTACTACTGAAAATTGCCGATGCATCGATGTACGATTATGGCACATCGCGACAACACTAATATTGATGCGTTAATTTAATCGTTCCGCAGGTTTCGACATGCATAACTAATTAAACCCTGATTTCATGTAAATATCTTATAAATAATGTGATCCAAACAAGCATACATACCTTATCAATCAATACACACCATCCCATATCCCCCTGTAACCATATTCATGTATAATTACGAGAATATTGGAGACCGCTTTGGAACCAACAGAAAATGCTGGTCAGTTTCTGTCAACATCGAAATTGCAAATCGTATCAGAAATCTTATAAAATAGTTACATTACAAAATATGCAAGCATTGTGTGAAGTTACACCCTGTTATATTTGGGATTTAAATAAAGGAGCTATGCAAATAAATCACATATTTAAAGTTAATCAATTTTATATTATATTATTTTTATAGTTTCTTGTTGGACATATTGTTTGGTTAAGGTAACCAATCAAATCAAAGGATTCAACAAAATGGCATATAAGTAATTAACCATTGACTTTTGGTTGAGTTCACTAAAACCACACATTTTTTTCAAGTAGAAAAATATCATCACTAGCTGCTAGACTAGATGATAATGCATGTATTTCTTACATCAGTCGATTCTAAACACCAGCCAAAACTTATTTCAAAGCCAAAATGTTGTGACTATCTCAAGTTACATATCAATCTTAAAGTCCATTATTTCAAAATGTGGGCCTTCAACTTCGGGAATTATTTCCAAGTACATTCTGGCTTATAAGCCTTTGCAGATTATTGGCATAGGCATATACAAGTATTACATTACAAGCATTACCAAGTGAGACTATATCCGGTATCTTCATATCGATTTTGGTAATGCTCGTATTGTACTCAGATACCTAAGAAACCTCAAGCAAGATTTGCTTGAAAAAGATGTACAGCATAAATCGAAATATTGCATTACTAAATCATTATGTTATATATAGATGATCATTTTTTAGGCACCTCAACCTTCAAAGAAGAAAAAGATCAACCATAAAAAGAATCATGGAAAGAATCCTGAATTTGAAAATGGGTTTCAGTTTGTAGACCAGGTAATACTTATTTTTTTTTATAATATTTGTAATGATATTCTATTTTATGAATCATGATTTTTGATTACAAAGATGATAGTTCTATATTACTGATCACCCATATGTTTGGGTCATTATACAATCACTTGACACCTGGTTTAAATTGAATGTGTCAACAGTACTTAATGATGGCTTTCAATTAATTTTTACCAGCTTTATATCGACTATGTTAACCTAGCATGGGACAAGAAAAAACAGTAATTTGGTAGAGTCTTCATCATTACAGATCTTCCGGAATACTACTACAGAACATCTTTCTAGGCACTGCAGTGTTCAGAACATCTATTCTTTCAATGCATATGTTGATGATGTTTCAATGTTCAGAATATTCTTCTTGGACATTGCAGAGTTCAGGACATCCTAGACACTGCAGAGTTCAGGACATTCTCCCTGACACTGCAGAGTTCAGGACATTCTATTAAACGCTGCGGGTTTTAGAACATCCTCCTGGATACAGAAGGGTCTAAATATCTTTGAACACTGCAGGGTTATTAGATCTAGAACATCTCCTGGATAGTATGATACATACCATCCATATAACATTCTCCTTGTCTCTACAATTACATAATTCACAGTGTACGTTTCTCTCTTTCAGTCATTTGGAGATGAATTTCTTGAAAACATCGCAATCCCTGGTCTGAAGCAATCACATTTATCCACACTGGACGAAAAAATTGCCCAAATTGTTCGGAAAAATAAAAAGAAGGTAAAAATGATGCATGTAAATATTTCTATCAGTAACTTGCATTTGTTGGAATAAAAAGTGTTCCAGCTTGAATTTTTCTCAAGTGTGAGCCAAATCTCATTTTTATGATTCATTTCGGACTTTGCCAAAAGATTTCAATTGTTATTGATTTCTCATTATTTCCGAGTGATTTCAAATGAGATTTCATGTGAGTTTCATATATCTCTGAACAGTTATACAAGTAAGTTACCATGTAGATACACCTTATATTTACTGTTAGTGACAAATTGTTATACTCTCCAACCTTTTTGGTAGACAGGGTTTGGCAGTTGGTATTCAGTTGTTTGTGTTCAACATCTGTTACCAATGGCAGGTAGTGTCATTTTGTTTTTTCATTGTGTTTATTTGATTAATAATAGGCTAAAGAGCAGAATGAAAGCATAGTGGATGGAGACAACATACTTGGGGATCTAGAAACTATTGAAGATACACCTGATGGAGATGATGAAAGTGAGGATCTAGACACTTCATCAGGAGAGGAAATGATAGCAGGTACAACTGGGTATTAACATGCAGTACCTTCATTAATGCCTGAATTTACATACTTTAGTATACTTGGCTCAGATTAAAGGATCTCGTAATAAATGTATATGTTTCTATATAGTGGAGTATCTAAGATAATGTTGAGTGACCATGGGTGCATATTGTAGTTGACTATTTGTGATATTATTCAACATACCGATGCTATATTTTTCTATCGATTATCTTTGTATTTATATGGTGTCTCGTAAGCCGATGTCGGCTGTTGGGTTTTTTAACACATGTATTTTACTTGTAATATTTTAGTAAACCTGTGACACAGAAATAAACTATTATTAAACTTAAACTATTCAGGGGTCATACAGACTTTGAAAATTTGAAATTCTGAATTTTAAAATAAAGAAGATGTAGCTGGGAAATATCAAGACATTTTGTATCAGTTGAAAAAGAAGGGTAATTTTTTGCCAGGTATTGTCTGGGAAATCCCAAGGAAATTCATTTTGGAAAGGTTGCAAGAAACCCTGAAGAAATGTTAACTTTTTTTCAGTTAACCAACAGGAAATGCTTCCTAATACTGTTCCCCAATTATGTATACGATGAGTTAAAATTATTACTTGTTAAATTGATATTTCAGATACTATTCGTGTCAAAGAAAAAAAGAAAAAGAAAAGAAAGAAAGATGAAGAGGTATTTATTTCTTTATTTGTAAATCTTAAATACCAACAAGAAAATGTCCCTACGCAGAGTGGCACAAAAGTCCAGTTTTACAATTGCAATGGATGCAAATACATGTACAGTATTGATACAGCATCCTATTATATGAAAAACATGGCTAAAATACATGTACAAAATCGATACAGCATACCAGTGTTATATGAAAAAACATGGTTAAAATGCATGTTTATCATGCAGTCCATTGGTAAAATGATGTCATTCTCATAGCTTCTGAGCAGACATTGGATTATTAACCTGTTACTCATTTTCAAAAACAAATTCTTACTATTTTGTTAACAACCATTGCTAAATGACTATAACATGACAAATATAGCCTGATACCCTCCTTGGTCAAAAAAGGATTCAGGATTTATTAGAAATTCTGTCTGTATTATATTTATATTTTTTGTTTTTAGCCTGAAAAGGTTTCATTCTCTCAGGATATTGACACGTATGATGAGAATCTTGCATTCCAAGACATGAACCTGTCCAGGCCCATATTAAAGGTAATCAATTTATTTAGAATATTTTTTTTATTTATTTACTTTTTATTTCAGAAAAAATATATTCAGGCAATTACAATACAGTTACATAAGACACATAACATTTTACAATACTGTTTTGATAACACTTCAGTTGTTAAGAATTTGTATGGCGTTTCTGACAGAAAAATCTGAAATATCAGTTATAATTATTTAGAATATGTATGTTAATACAATATTATAACTATGAATAAACAAAATACACAGCAGGGCATCAGTTGGGCTGATTGGTATTTGGTGTATGGAAATATTGATTGCATTTTTCATCAACTGGTCTTAGGAAATTGTTTGGTGATATCTAAATAGCAGCTGATTTTTAAACAAATCTGGATGATTTTTGGTATCTATGTAAAGCAAAGTATATTTGCAATTAAACACACATATAATTGTTAGAAAATTCCCCATTATTTTTCAGGCTTTGGCTGCCATGAAGTTTACAGCCCCAACCCCTATTCAGGCAGCTACAGTTCCAGTGGCATTAATGGCCAGAGATCTATGTGCTTGTGCAGTTACTGGTTCTGGTAAGTATATGTATTTGCATCTTTTTTTAGGTACAGGGTGACACAAAAATATCAAATATGATTCTTGAATCTTTTTTGTGTTGATATGAAATGGTGGTTTAAATAAAACATCAAGGACTTTACAGTTTAGAGAAATAATTTTTTTTGTCTAAGCATGTTCATTTTTTATGCCATCATGTAGATCTATAAAATTCATACGGCATAATGTTTCGAAAATTACAACTTATGCTACTTTTCATGTCAAGGTTACAATAACTAGCTCTCTTAGAGGAGCAGAAAAAAAACTTTGATAGGATATCAGTCTGAAACATTTGACTTCATGATGAAAACCCATCATGATAAACCATGTCATCTCATTTCTCCTCAGCCCTGAGATGCCATGATAAAATGAGCTTGATTTGGCGATCCAAGAGAGCCCAAAATTTACGATTTTTGAGATCTTTCATCTCAGCTCATATTTCATCTAATTGGGGTCATAAAGCTTGTGTATCTGTATCTGTTCAAATATCTGCTGTTAAATACAATGCCTATTATGTAATGTATTGACATAAGGTAAATAATTACATGATAACTATCACACTTATCGACAGTTATAACTTACCCTTTGCATTCGGTTGACTTCACTTCTTAAAAGAGAGCTTCATCTTCACTCTAGAATGAACTTGTGAACTCACCACGCCAATCAGTGTTCGTCGGCCAAATTTGACAGCCGTTCTTTATATGGTCATTCCTTCTGATGTCATTGTTGAGCCCAGAATTGACCAATGACATGCGCATATTTAATTAGAACGCATTTGGCGTATGTTTCTTCAAACTTGCTGATAGGTGGAAGGTCAGCGCGTAGGTCAAAAGTGATTTACCCAAACTGTCGGTACCCGTCGTGGGGGCGTGACTACTAAACTGTAATATGGTCTCTACTAGGCAGAGTGTAGTTTAACTAGACTCTGCACGCAGGGTAGTTATAACTCTTCCCATCTGATGCTTGGATCACAGAATATGCCTCATAATATCAGAGCATGTTTCAGGTGAAACAGAAAGATGCTATGAGTATCAGAATGATGAAAACCTTTTACATTATTTCCATCACTCATGGAAGATATCCCTGTCATGATTTAGCCAATTTCATCAGTTCTGAATCATCTATCACATTTTTTTATTTCCAGGTAAAACCGCCGCATTCATGCTTCCGGTTCTAGAAAGACTGTTATATAAGCCCAAAGAGGCCCCAATTACTAGAGTGCTTATCCTAGAACCAACTAGAGAACTTGCAGTCCAAGTGCACCAAGTTGGCAGAAAACTTGCTCAGTACACCAACATTGATATATCCCTATCAGCTGGTAAGTGATATGTATAGTGTAAGAGGAATTTTCCTCAAATCATCACAGAATCATAAAGCTTTAATTTTGTTCCATTGGGAAATCATGAAAATCTTAAAAAGCAAGTTAATTGAAGCAGTTTTAAAATTGTTGATTTAAGCACAATCTTTAAGAATTAATGTTCATGCCTGAAATCATGGTAGTTAAAATGGAATTTGTTTTAATGAAGTAAGTCATTAATTTGACAAATACACCTAATTTGAAAGGTTGTGTTGTGATGATGCTTTTGAACTCTTATGAAAGAAGCTTTTTTTTAAAAAAAATAACATTTATTTTCCTTCAAAATTAACTTACAATTTTACATTACCATCGATCATACAAAATAAACATACATGTCTACAAATTTAATATCTTTTGTTTATGAAACTCACTTTTTATATTACCTAAATAGTTGTGGTAGTTGAAAAATTTCTTATTGAAAGAAGCAAAGGTTTACCCTGTTCTACGTAGTATGGACATTGTTTACCCTATTCCAGGTGGTTTGGACATCAAGGCACAGGAAGCTGCATTGAGATTGGGACCAGATATTGTCATAGCAACCCCAGGAAGGCTGATAGACCATCTTCACAACTCACCTAACTTTAATCTCAATAGTATAGAGGTATATTTCTTTAATGCCTGGAACATCTTTTCAGACTTTTTTGTCTGTGTATCACTCACACATGTTTTAATGTACTGTAGGTTTTACTGTATTGAAAATATAATTAAGCTGTAATCAGTATTAACATTATAGAATAATAAAAAGTTTATTTTACTCCATTAGTGTGAAAAATTACGAATCAGTCACATTAACTGTTATTTAAAGTTTCATTTAAAAATTATCCTCTCTTGTCTGAATTGTTGTAATTGCTGTACATGGATTAATTGAGTACTATATTTTATGTGGATATTGTTCGTAATTGCTGTGCAGGTGCTAATTCTGGATGAGGCAGACAGGATGTTGGATGAATATTTTGCAGAGCAGATGAAAGAGGTCATTCGTCTATGTTCCCGCACACGCCAAACCATGCTCTTCTCAGCCACAATGACTGATGAGGTAGTTCTTAGTTTAAACAATTCAAGTTATAACTTTCATGGTAATTTTACAGTCATTTGCCCTTCAACAAAAAAGTAATCTGAATAATTATTTTGATGATAATTGTTGATAATTATGATGATAGTGTCTGGTAGAGTTGTATTGGAGACAAAATGGGTTTCAGTATTAGAAGAGATATCAACATGTACCTACATCAAAATTCTTGCCTTCCCTCATATTGGGCTGGTTTTGGGATAACGAAGTAGCAACTGGGACAAATTAGAGTCCAAAGATGTTATACAGGAATCAACTTGCTGTTTGCAAATCCAGTATGAGAGTAGACTTGGAATATGGTTGTACTGCACATTTAACAGACAAGGATTAAAATGTTGAGTTGAATGTGAATGACCCCCCCCCCCATTTTTGTACTTTATAATGTAGATCAGTTGTCTGATGTTTCTATCATATCTCATTTACTCTAACACAGGTAAAAGATCTTGCGGCAGTCTCACTGAGCAACCCCGTGAAAATATTTATCAACTCAGCGACAGACACAGCTCTAAACCTTCGTCAGGAGTTCATCCGAGTCCGAGAGCATCGTGAAGGTGATAGAGAGGCTATCGTCGCATCACTAGTCAGTCGTACCTTTCTAGATCATTGCATAGTGTTTATACAGACTAAAAAGCAGGTCCATAGACTGCACATTGTCCTAGGGCTACTCGGCGTGAAAGTTGGAGAGCTACATGGTAATCTCTCACAGTTACAAGTAAGTATATTTTTTTCAATTTCTTCAGTTTTTATGTCACCACCACAAGTTGATGATTGTAACTTATAGTGTCCAACTTTCATTACATGTGGATGGTGTTCGTTGGTTTGTGTTCAGTGTCCAACAGTTGGTCTTTGGCATCTGTAACAAATGGCAGGTGGTGACATTTTGCATGTTAATGCCTTGTTGAAATATCTTGTCTGGAACCAAAATTGGGTAAAGCAAAAATTAAAAGTCGAGGCAATTTTAGAGCTTTTTGCACCTATATAATATATATACTGTAGAACCTGGTCTGCCAGCTTTCAAATGGTATGAAACATTAGTCATACAATACTCAGCTTTTTGCACCTATATAATATATATACTGTAAAATCTATGGAATTTGAAAACTGCTGGAACCATTAAAAATGTATTATAGGGATTGGGAGGCTTTCACATGTTGATTTTATATGTTTTTCAGAGGTTAGAAACATTGAAGAATTTTAAAGATAATCAGATAGACATCTTGCTGGCCACTGATCTAGCAGCTAGAGGACTTGATATAGAGGGCGTTAAAACTGTAAGTATTTTTAACTAATTTTATTATCTTAAGTGTGGGCAAATGTCACAGTTTATATTTGCATGTATGATTTAGACCTATCCAGGAAACTAAAAATACTGAGTTCAATTTGAAATTATTTATACACTATTCTAAATAAAATGACATTTGATGACATTTTGATGACATAAATGACATTTAAATTTCATTTGACAAAGAGAAATCAGATTTTGACAATTACAATGCACAATACTCACCATTATATATGATGTACTGGTTCCAGGTTATCAACTTCACAATGCCCAATACTATAAAGCACTATATTCATAGAGTCGGACGCACAGCTAGGGCTGGCAAATCAGGACGGTCAGTTTCACTGGTTGGTGAATCCGAGCGTAAAATGTTAAAAGAAATACTGAAAAAGAATAAAACTCCAGTTAAGAGCAGAGTTATTCCACAAGGTAGAGTTTTTATACCCCATTAAATGGTATTTTCATCTTATACTTGTATTTAGAGGTTATGTCACTATGCAGTGAAATATGCCTGAGTTCCCCAAATATAGGCCAACCTTGGGAGGCTCTATATTTTGGCAAGAACAAAGGCATATTTCAAGTCATAGTGACATAACTGTTGTATTACATACCTTTATTCCCATGGTTACTTTGTATCAATGACATCACACATCTGTGCAAGTAGAATTTAACTGAAATGAAACATGATGTTATGATATTGTCATGATTATTAAAGAATCTAATATCAAAACGAGGTAAGGGGGCTATATCGGGGAAATTGGGCAATATCAATGGATATAGCTCGCTAACTTTCCCTATAATCCCTATCTCTTGCAGAGGTGATATTAAAATACAGGGACAGGATAGCTCAGCTGGAGACAGATGTATTGGAAGTTATGAGACTTGAGAAAGAAGAAAAACATATACGAATGTCAGAAGCTCAGGTAATACTAACTAAGAAGTACAATACAAGTGTGGAAAAATATTGAAATGGTAATAAAGTATTCTGACTGTTTTTTTGCCAAGATTAGCTCTCATTCTGCTGGTCCAGGTGGTATTCAAATGAGATAGGTTTTAATTTAAAGTTTATATGAGAGAGGATTCACTCCTGAGCAATTTTAGGGGTGAGTCTCACATACATGTTGTACTTCAATTTAAGTCATGTATGCAAAATATGTATTCAATTTATCAAAACACATAAAAAGAAACTTAACTTTCAGTAGCATAGCTTTTCAATGTATCATAATCCATTAAAAAGAACTCAACTTTTAGTAACAGCTTTTAGTGTATCATTGTACATTCATAGATATTATCCATATATAGGTGAGCAAAGCTAGAAAACAACTAGAGGGCGATGCCAATCTTGGTGACAGACAGAGAACCTGGTTCCAGAGCCACAGAGAACGAATGCAGGAACAAGGTACACTGAACTGTTTATTCTGTCATATGATAATTGGTTTGTGAACAGGAGAAGAGGTTGTATTCTAGATGTTGGTCAGGTGTGAGTCGTCAGTTTAGATCTGGCTTCAGGCTTCAAGTGGGTATTTGTGGGCGAAGTTAATGCCTCTGTTTGGGAATCTTGCCATTTTAACCATTAAAAGATGGCAGCCTTAATTACAGACCGGTACTGCCACCTTTCAGTTGACAGAAAAATGTTTTTTAAGTTCTTTCCAATTTCAAATGAAATTGTGTTGATATTCATATCTAATTTTTGGCTCTTGATTGGTTCATACTACAATTGAACACAATGACTGTTTGGACCCATGGATGAATGACCCATCTCTTTTGTATCAAATAACACACTACAAGGAAGGCTGCCTTATCAATTGTCATAACCATTGTTTTATTTGTGACCTGTTAATGGTATTTGTAACAAATTGAACACATTTTTATTTCAGATGCTTTGAGATTGGGGGACTTTTCAAAACTTCCATCTAACAGTAAAAAATTAAAAAATAAGATTAAGAAAAAAGAATTCACGGTAAGTATTATGTCATAGAAATACGAATCTTTCTCAAAATGAAATTTTCCAAGGTACGATTACGTACAGTTATCAGACAATTCCCGACATGTAATGGATTGTGAATTAATTGTGCCAGTAATTGGACAAGGTCATATCAGGAAAGGAGGACAAATTTTTTATGTTTTTGGGCACCCCTCACAGTCTCCGGCTTGTTCAAATCATGATAGAAACATTTCTGTTATTCTGTTATTTTAAGTTGTAGAAATGACTTTCAACTCCAAATACACCTTCCTAGCAATATCCACTTTCCCTTCTCTCACTATTTATAACAACATTGTAATTGCTAAGTTCAGTCAATGCAAGGTTATACTAGAATAAAAATACCTTTTAACTTACAATATGACCAATGCTTATAAATTCTACTGTTTGAAATTATTTGACTTTTTAGCCTGATGAGCGTGTAGAATTTGAAATGACCAAGACTCAAGCCTTCCAGGCACGTCATGCCAAGCGAGAGCGTCAACAGAAACGTATGCATGTCTTTGACGATGACGAAGATAAACCTAAAGGTGGGTAGTTCTGTTATATAATCCCTAATCTTGTGTTAAAATCAGAGTCGTTAATTTTTGGCAGAACATGTATAGTATGTACATTTATTTTGATTTTTTGTTTGTTAACAAGTTAAAACAGCACCAAAGAAAAGAAATTTATATATTTTCAAAAAGCATTTCCATGTTTCTTTTATAATCCTTATTTCATTTTCTGAAATTTCTGCTAAATACCATGCAAAGTATTTTTGGAAGCTAACTCTCAACTTGTCTTTAGTTTTTATTGCCCTTTGTTTTGAATACACAGAGGACCGAGAAATAGTTTGGAATCAATATATCAAAAATGGCTCAATGAAATGTGTCACTAATTTTTAAAATGTAAAGGGTCCAATTGTTAACTAAGCCATATTGAACACAACAAAGTATTGAAAGAGTAAAATGAAAAAATTGGCAATAAGTTAAAAAAGACCATGTAAGGGAACTTCTAATAGAAAAAGTGTTTAGCCCTTTTGAACCACAGATAATCGATTTAACCTAATTCAACTTCAGCATTTAGAAACCTTAACTAAAATTGAACTTTTTACCATTTTATCAATGTTTTTATGTCACCACCAAAATTGGTGACATATTGTTATTGTCTCCATTTTTGTAATGGTGGTTGGTGGTTGGCATCTGTAACAAATTTTTACAACTTTTTTCTAAAATTGGAAACATCTGGATGATAAAATAATCAGTACTACAATTGAGTAGTTTTTATAAGTATTCATAACTTTTTTATGTTTTGAAAGTTTTGTAAGATAGAACTGAGGTTAAAGCACTTCATTTCATGTACATGTGTACATGTATTTTGACACACGGTGATATTTTAGGTACAAGTCTGTGACATTACTACACAGAAGGTGACCAATGATTTAGCAGTTTTGTACTTGAAGGCTCAAAATGCTTTTACAATATATTACATTACTTTTTTATTGTCTACAATTTTTTGTTATAATTCAGAGTTCTGGGGCTTTTTTTAATTACTACAATTTCAACTATTTTTCAGGGTTATAAGCCTTTGTTAAGATTCCTTTGTCATTCTTACTTTATTGTGTTTTAAATTTAAATTTATTTATTAGTGTATTGAATTTCACAATTCGGAATCACCTTCACCTTTTACTTTTTATAATCACTTGTCTTTGATAAATAAGCAAAACTACTCAAGGGCCTGTAATTTATAACCACTTAATATCGTAATCAATTTGTTAAATCATTTTAAACACACCCACAATGTCTAAGTCTATGTCAGTATTTATTTTTACCAGAAGATTAGACATTAAATCATGATTAACTATGTCAAGGCAGATAATGTTTGTGGGAATATATAAAATTCATCAAATCATATCACTGTATATATATTCAAACCAAAAATGTAATTTCAACAATACAAAATGTGTGGCTTCTGAAAAAGATCATATGATACAGACAGTCCCAAAGTAGATTTGTTTTAAAAAATTGTTTTCCCATTACATATTGACATTCTTTTGCAATGTGATGTGTTCCTAGCTTGCGTTTAAGACAGATGTATATCCTTTTGCTAAATTGAGTACAGACAAATCTAACATTTGAACATTACAGGTAAGAAGCCAAAGAGAAAGCCCTCACAGCAAAGGTCAACATTTGAGAGAGAGTTAACCAGCACAAGTGGCAAGGCCCTTAAGCAGATCAGAGCTGGGTATGTATACATTTTAAATGGGAGCCATTAATCAGTCATTTTTGAGAAAAGAGGTGCCATTTAGGTCAACGGACCATCCACCCCATGTAAGCTAATGGAATTGCCCACACATCCATACATATATCTGACCATTTGTTTGTCCATCTGAGTGTGTATTTCTTTGTCCATCCATTGACAATTTCTGGACAAACAAAGATTGACTATGTATGCACAATACTGCCAATCTAAAACTGCATCAAACAGCGCTGTTCATGAAACAGTGCTGGACAGCGGTGTAAAAACTAGGCTGTTCAAAACAGATGATGGTAGAATAGCATTGTACATCGCTGTACAGCGCAGTGCTTTAACTGCACTGTTCAGTACTGTTTACAGCGTTGCAAGATGGTGTTGCAGATTGGGTTTTTAATATTTATAACTAAGTTTATGGGGATTCATAACTTAAATTGTAGTAAATTATTACATTGTAGGCCATCACGGTATGAGAAGAAACAAGCGGCAGGAGGTGGTCAACCACAAAAAGGGGGAAACAGGGGCCCCAAGGGAAAATTTAAATCCAAAAGCAGGTAATTATAGATCATTTGAAGAAACACACAATCAACATTGGAGAAGACATAATTCTTGAATAAGATGTCTAAGATGAACTATTATACCTTTAGGATTTTTGATTCTGGTATCTTAAATACTGTATGAGTGCATCAAAATCATGACAAAATCTTTTTGGATCACATACTACTTTTGAAATGTTAATAGTTGTCATTGTCTCTCATTCAACTCATTTTACTACCATTGGTTACTTTAGAACTCTTTTATATCTCGTTTAGAGGTTACCAAATGTATGATATGACAAAATCAAATGATTCAGGAAATTAAATTATTAAATGTTATCATTTCAGATTTAAGAGGAGATGAAAGAGCTGATACAAGAGGCTTGATGCAATGCGCTAAAGAACGCCCTCTAAATTACCATCCCACAAACGGACATTTCTCAATATTAGCTATTTTTGCAGTCTTAGATTCAGGGATTCTTCGCCGTTATGATAAGCATATAGCAAGGACATATGTGACTTATTCAGGTTTTTATGCAAATTAGCCTGGGAAAGTTTCTATTCATTCAATACTATTGGCACAAATGGAAATATCCAGGCTTTTGTACCAATGTTCCGAATAAACTAATTTTTAAAGACAAGAATGCATGAAATTACAGTGCTACATTCATTATTTTAATGTCATTGCACAACCTTTTGCCATATGACATTATAGCAAAAAAATTAATTATTTAAAACGTTTGAATTTCGTGTATTCAATGATGTACTTGTAATAAAGTAGAGGTAAAATATTTACTCCACCGTCTTATGTGCTTACATGTATGTATAACTCTCATAAATATATTTGGATTGTAAAACTCAGACACATACATAAATACTGGTGATAAGGGTATTTATAAAATACAGAGCATATTATAAATGTAACAATGTAACGATAACAAAATATGGCGGATGGTAAAGCCAGCATGTCTTCTTTCTTGCCTAAAGGCAATATTCAAAGATAAGATTTCCTTTTAAACTAGTTCCATTCGGTGACGTATATATGGATGGTTATAAAGACTGGGTCAAATCTGCCAGGTGGTCTACAAGAAACAGAATATAAGCTGTAAAGCTACCGACTGAGATATCCAAGTTCATAATTTTTGTGTTTTCTCAGTACATGTGCCTCAGAGCCACTCAAAAATATTAACTGTAAGTAAACTGTGTATAAACAAGGCATAAAATGACAAATCCAGAACACGAACATGGTGTATATCATAAATAATAAGGTTTCAAATGCAATGTCGTTAGACGACTACGTATGACTTCTACCGAATTCTATGGACGGTAACGTATTGTATTAGTTGTACATAAGATATTTAGCGGACGGTTACGTGCCTGTACATCTGTCAAGTCAAGGTTGCTAGATCTGGTAGCCTCTTTCCATGTTATAGTTATAATGGGTAAGAAATAGAATATTGAATTTCCTATATTTGTTTTCACGACTCGCAAGAGACGCTCTTGTTTCAGCCTCTATAGGGCAAGGAAAAAAACTGTCGCTTGCTTTATTTATGAAACCAATGAAAATGTATAAGATAGCAATGAAGAGGCAAAAGAAGATTAAGGATCAAGTACTGATGAAGATGACAAAATTAATAACAATGAATCGAGGTTTCATATTTGAATCAGGTTCGTGTAACCGTCCATCAATTTTTTACGTTACCGCAAATTCAAAATACATTATTATGGCTTGAGTAGAACATATTAGGTGGTTTCCAATGTTCAATTGGCTTTGTATGATCGTATGTAGGTTACATCTATATACCCCAAGGTTTTTAGGCAATGTAGACCATGCCCTAACAACAAAAATGAACAAGTTACTAAATTTGTGTAGTTTTGAATTTCAAACTCGACAGTGTTTCTCTTATTTAATGTTATCCCCGGGCATCAATTTGAAAGACTACGTTCTAAATATACAGAGTGTCAAATAAGTCCCGTCCCCCCTGCTACAGCTAGAACCTTAATAGATGGTGCCTAGTGTGATATACCATTGAAAAGATCATCCCAAGTTATGTTAACTCACCAACTCTCAAGTATTTTTGATGAAATTCACCTATATTTTCATGATGTCTTTTATAGTTAGCGTAACCTCCTTTAAGCAGCTTTTTGCGTCAAAATGAGAAGGATTTGACCTTAGAAATATGTCAAAAGCTAATATTTTTCACATTCCACTTGTAACAAAACGGTTTTCACCACTTTCCTTGCTCCCTTATTTTCTACACATCTACCCCTATCCAGGAATTGGTTAAATTCATTGCCATATACATATGTAGTCATATTTAGGTTCTTTGTGACTCTTCCTATACCCGATTCTTAAAATCCTGTCAAATACGCCAAATTGCCATATTTCTAGGCCTATGGTCACCTCAGTTGATACAATGTAAAATTTGTGAGATTGATTGACATGTGTCAGATATGTGCTAACCAACGTAACTTTGGAAGACCTTTCCAATGATATATCACACTTGGCACCATATATCTTGGTTTTGGCTGTAGAGGGGGGATGGGACTTATTTGACACCCTGTACATTACTGAATGCATCACCGAATGCGACGCTTACATAAATCGTTCATCCTTTCATTGATACACAGTAGTAGAAAATAATGCACTAACCTTAATTTTCTCTTCCATCGCGGCCATTTTATTGGATAAATCAGTGAACGTAGCCGTCCAACCTCGTTTTCAGAGGTGGTGTAACCGTCATGCTATAACACCGTGAGTTTGGTGTCTCAAGTATATCTACTTTTTATATACTACTTATATATTTAAAAAAAATGTGTACGTTAATTGTGATGTTTAAGTCCACCAGTAGATCTAACTCAACACCTACAAAATATTTGGCAACTAAAGTCACTTTTCTTACCCCTTGGTCGTGTGATTAGTTAGTCACAAGTTTGAGAAGTAAAATGGATTCAAACATCAGCATGATTTTAACAAGGTATCATATGGTCACTTGATTCACTTCCGGTTACCGAGTGAATGAAGGGGATTATATAGACCCTAGCTGACATTACTTCAGTGGGCTACAAAGAAAAGAGACACTGAGATCAACTTTCTATGGAATATTTTTACTGCAATATTCCCTGTCATGCCTATTTTCTAAAAGGTTTAACAGTTCTGACTTTAGTTCATGATAATCATTTGATTTATATATTTATTTGGCATTAATTTTGAACAGTAAATCACCATGTGATTGTTTATGTATTTGATTAATTGCCAAGTACTTTGTAATACTTAGTTTTTTGATTTATGTTTAGAGATTTCTAGACATCCACTTCAGAATTAGAACATATTTCAATGATGTGAATTTTACTAACCAGATAATCCAATGTAAGTCTCATTGAAAATACAAAGGCAGTTTGAGTCTATATAATATGAGACGAGTTGACATTCATTGGACCTATTAATGCAGCATAGGCTGGTCTGATCTCTAAAAATGAAAATTCGAGGTAATCATCTCTAGTTTATGGTGATTTTGAGAGAAATACTAGGAGAAAATGTTCAGTTCCAATCAAACACCGATTTTTGTGACATGCTTGAGACCACAAAATTTGACACTATTTACAATAGACTTACCAATTGTTCATTTTCAAGGCAACAGCCTCGATTTCCTGTTTTCCTTGTACACGTTTTCTTGAGAAGAAGCAACCATTTATTTACTTAATATTTATTTATTTAATGTCACTTTTTTAACAATGGAACTTGGAAAGGAGTGGTAACGATATGGTGAACTTTTTGAACACACGTTTCTCTTAAACCAGTCATCAAAAAATTCTAAATATTTGACACATTGTCAATTTAATGGTCATCTTTTGAATGGTAACAATATAATTTTGGTTGATTTTAAAAAGTATCTTGTTAATGAAATAAGAGGTTTATCTTGATTTTTATCTATTGGGGGGGGGTGTTTTAATTTTTTGAATACTTTTTTTAAATCAACCAAAAATTCCTTTGTATAACTATAATATTGAGAGGTCTAAGAAAATGTTGTATATGCTATTTTGTTCCAACAAGGTTCGGAAAGACATTTATTTCATTCTCAAGAATTGGTAGAAATGTTAACAAAAACAGTTATATAAAATATTTCTAAATAATTTGTTTTTTACAGAATGTTTCCAATAATTGGTTTAAGAGAAAAACATTGTTGAATTCAGTTCAACATATCGATATACCTATCCTTTCAATCCAATGAATATAAAATCAGTATAAAATACAAAATACAATATAAAAAAATATATAAAACTAATCATAAAGCTTGAGGCTAAATTGTACTTGCCCCCATTTTAGGAAGGTCTCATCACCAAGCATAAAGGTCAGTTTTCACTTGGGTCACCATTGATAAAATCAGAAAATAACTCAGGGGACACTGTTTACAAACACTATAGGAAAAAAGATTCACATGCTTCTTTAGTATTCACATCGGAGCGATCTATGCCGTAATAGTCCATTTGTCATTTTCTGAACGTGGAAATATGTAAAAGTATGATGTTTTGCTGTGTAATCACTATTATTAGGGATTTATGAAGTGATTCAGCTGGGTTGCACAAAAATCAACTTTGGGGAAAAAATTATATATGCAAAGGAAGGTGGCCATTATCGAAATAGTGATTTTCTTCAATATTTTGAAAACTAAGCACAGAATATCGGTGTCTAAACCCAGATTTTTAGGGTCAAGGAATAAGATGGAATTGTAAAAATCAAGTTTAGAACAATTATTTTATTGTTAATGCAATAAAAGGTAGCCATTTTCAAATAGTGATTACCTTCAATATTTCGTAGACGTAGCATAGTAGCATCACAATATTGGTGCCTAAACCTAGGTTTTCAGGGTCAAAGAATAAGATACCTTAATAAGAAAGATTAAAACAATATTGTATGATTATGCAAATTAGGGGAGCCATTATCGAAATAGTGATCATGATTACCTTCAATATTTCGCAGACTTAGCATAGTAGCATCACAATATTGGTGTCTAAACCTAGGTTTTCTGGGTCAAAGAATAAGATACCTTAATAAAAAAAGATGAAATCTGTATTGATTGTGATTATGCAAATTAGGGCAGCCATTATCGAAATAGTGATTACCTTCAATATTTCGCAGACTTAGCATTGTAGCATCTAAACCTAGATTTTCAGGGTCAAAGAATAAGATACCTTCATAAAAAAGATTAAATTACAATATTGATTGTGATTATGCAAATTAGGGCAGCCATTATCGAAATAGTGTTTACGTTCAATATTTCGCAGACTTACATGTAGCAAAGTAGCATCACATCAAGGTCAAACAATAAGATACCTTAATAAAAAAAGATTAAAACAATATTGATTGTGATTATGCAAATTTGGGCAGCCATTATCGAAATAGTGATTACCTTCGATATTTCGCAGACTTTATAGTAGCATCGCAATATTAGTGTCTGAACCTAGGTTTCCAGGGTCTAAGAATAAGATACCTTAGTAAAAATTAAAATATATTGATTGTGATTATGCAAATTAGGGTGGCCATTATCTTACAGCTATAAGACATAAGCCTATAAAATCTGAATCAAATCCATCAACCATTATTCAAGTTATATATATTTTTTCATGAAATTTTCGCAGTATAAACTTTAAAGAATTCCTAACATACAATTTTTTTATATAATATGTTTCAAATTTTTTGCTTTTGTCTTTGGAGGCTAAAGATAGATTAAAGTAAGTGTTAATTCTGACTTATAATATCATTGTAATTGTGTCTCATAAGCCTTTGGAGGCTGGCCGTATAACTACGGGTGACACTGTAATAAATAAATAAATAAATAAAAAAAAATAAAAATAAATAAATATGGTAAATGCCTCATTAATTTCATTGTTATAACCTTTTATAAAATAATGTCATATTCTGTTGATGGGTCATTTTTGTCGCCATTTTTTCTAAAAAGATACGAAAAATCTAAATTATGTTCTGTCCTAATATGGTCTACAAAGATTGCAGTTTTTGATAGGGGATCATTTATCTTTTGAAATAGTATGGTGGATTTAGAACACTAAAAACAATGAAATTAATGAGGCATTTACCATATAAAAAAGAGTGTATGTTAGGAATGCTTTAAAGTTTATACTGTGAAAATTTCATGAAAGAATATTCAAATTTAAGAAAGTTATTCAGAAAATAGAGAGGCATGACTTGTTCTGGCCAGGCTACTAGTATATAATTTTTTCCCCAAACTAAATTTTTCATAAATTGACCATTAAACATCGTACTTTTAATAATTTCTAGGTTCACCATAGGATGTATGGGGGTGACAAATGGACTATAAGCCTTCTAGTACAATAGGTTCACTATCATCGACTTCAAGAGGTTTCTCAACAATTGCCGCAATGTGCAATTATGCATCGATCCAGAAAATTGACAGTCCGGATGTGGAGGATCTGTACATTCATCTTGATCCATGAGGTTCCTCCATGGACAATGATTTTTCCCACCATTATCTCGGAAACCAACTCGGAAGCCCGCTCGGAAGTAGGCAATCTGAATGTATTACACTTAAGATTTCGTAGGCATCCGCATACAACACGGGGCATGCAATTTATACAGAGATTAAGAAAACACAAGAGGCGGGATACATATTTAGATTCATCATGCTAAACTCTTCAAATCTCAACATGCCGTGCTTGTATGAACTCGATTCGCATCTTGTTTTCTAGTAATCTACTGCTTGATAATTTATATACCCCTTGATTTAACTTTTTTATGTAAATTAATGATACAAGGTTACGGGGTCAGGCGATAAAGTTAGCGTCATCTTGGTGAAGAAGGTATGAGTGCGTTGTGAACGACACCGCAACCGCACCGCAATCAGTTCTAGATTTGATGTCTAGACACGTCTTGATGGATCGGGAGGTAAGGCGATTGATTCTACAATATTGTAAACATATGGACATTTTATGATTATACTTAATCATCTGCTTATTTGATCATCTTCGCACGCTCGGTCTTCATTGAGTTCATCCGACGGGAGCCGAGTAAACGAAGATGTATTTGATTGTATTTGTAAGAAATGAAAATGTCCAACTTAACGCTCATTGCATATTTGTAGATATTCTCTTGATGGCATGCCATAGAAATCTGGCGTCGTTTATCACAGATGTAATTACGTTTGTGAAGGCCCAAGTATTCTTGGCTACCCATCTATTCTGACTCTTGCCGAAGTATACTGACCCGACCCAAGTATTCTGAGTTTACTTATTTTTTCGAATACACTCGATAGATGTCCGCGTTCGTTTTTTAATCATTTGTCGATGGATTCCACGTATATTCAAAAGATGGCTCCTGGAATTAATTTGGAAACCGCTCATGTTTTTATAAATGATATAGATGACTACCACTTTACTTAATATTATCCAGGAATCTAAAGCAGGTTGTCAAATCAATAACATAATTGTATCATGTCCTTCTTTTGCTGATGATACAGTTCTTATAGCTTATCATGCAAAATCAATGCAAAAAATGTTAGATATTGTATATGATTATAGTGTGAAATGGAGGTTCCAATACCATCCGGATAAGTGTCAAGCAATCGTTTTTTCAAATAAGAAGCATGCAAACAAACCCATTTTGTCTCTTGGTGATAGGACCATTGAAGTGAATGACACTGTACAACATTTAGGCCTGCCTTTAGCGAATAAGTCACATATTTCCCACGTTGAAAATTCCCTTTCAAAAGGCAGAAGAGCTATCAATGCCTATATTGGAGTGTCATCCACTGTTAATAATCCTACAAATCCTCTCACTGTCTCTCGCTTATATTGGACATGCTGTGTCCCATCTATAACGTATGGTATGGAACTCTTACCACTAAATGAATCTGAGTTAGAGTGCCTTGAAAGTGGCAACAGGGGAATAGCTAAGAAAATTCAAGGAATCCCCAAGACCACTAGCAACGCAGCCTCAACTTCAATTTTAGGATGGCATTCTTTAACCTCGAACATTGTTATAAGTAAACTTATGCTTTTATGGCAACTTTTATCTTTACCATTTCCAAGTATTTACAAGAAACTTATCATTTTACGCCTCCTTAGTGCAACATACGAAGATCTCAACAAATTTTCTCCTATAGGGAATTGTATTAAGATGGCAAAAGCATATCAGCTAGATGAAATGGTCTATGAAATGTTTAATGGACACGTCTATTCAAAGTTACAGTGGAAAAATATTGTGAAGAGTAAGGTACATTTATTTGAATTACGTAACTGGCAAATTGAATGTATATTGTCAAGAAAATTGCCATTGTTCAGAATAGTAACCCATGACATCCAGCCTATAATATGGTGGAAGGTAGCTAAATTAGATCCTAGAATTTTGAAGTGTTGCAGGACGGTGGTTAAACTACTGTTGGGAGAAGGAAACATAATGATTAATGTCAATAGGTGGTCTAACGGAAAAATTTCTGTATTATGTAAAATGTGCTATAAAGAACCAGAAACACTATCACACATGATACTGGACTGTGAAGGTCATGATGCTTTAAGATCTAATATTTTGGAAATTGTACATAATATCTTCAAACCAGCACGAAATTATCCAAAAGAGATGATTCTTGGAGCAATTTTTGGTGCAGGGGAGATATTTGATGTCGAGGAATATAAGCAAATTGCTGTTTACATCCATAAAATGTACATAAATAGACCAGAGTCTGGTCTGTAACTATAATTAAATGGCATATCATATACATATGTTATAATTGTAACTAAATAATGTAAAATTTATTTAAACACATCAAATATGGTGGATAAAATAAATAAATAAAAAAAAAAAAACAAAAAAAAACCACGTGTCGGAATGTAAAAAAGAAAAATTACAAGATTGAATATGTGTGTTGTATCATACATAAGGTAAAACGCTATGGCCGATCTGGCGGAAGGCCTTTGGAGGGCCCCAAAAAGTGAGGGCCGAAAAACTTATACGGCACAAGATCTGCTTCTCTCCACATAAATTGCTTAAAATGCTTCAATTAGTTGTAAAAGTCGGTACACTTTCTTCAATTAGTTGTAAAAGTCGGAAAACTTTGAGCAATTAAGGTAACAACTTGGCATTACTGGGCATTATTTATTTGGACATTGTTTTTTATAAACTGGGCTCAAATTTTCAGATTTAGGACCCCCTACTCTTGATTTTCAGATCCGCCCCTGGAACGAATATATTTTTTACAGTCACTGTATATGCTAAAATGTTACTGTACACAGAGAAATATACTTCATTTCCCATCATTTTTGTTTTCGAGATAATAATGTTATTTATCTTATTTGACTTAGTTTGTTGACAAAATATTAATAAGTAGAATGCGTACTGTTAAAAAATCATTGTTAAATTATTTAAAAGGATGAGATTTCGTTGATTTATTTCTGAAAGATTACTACAGGGTGTCCCGAAAGTATTGGGCCCCCCAAGGCAGACATATACCAGTATCATCATAGTATGTGTCATATATCATTTTAAAGCTTATCCAAAGTTACATTGATTCGCCAAGTATCATGGTTCAACTCTCAAATGTGAAAAAATTACAGGCATTTCAAAATTTAGTGTTTGGTCAAAATTAAGTTAAATTTTACACCAAATCACTAGTCAATGTGTCCTCCCGGGCCATCTTAACAGCAGCAATTCTTTTCGGGTCGGAGGGATATTGAGTTGTAAAAAGAGAATGATGAGGGTAGAAACTCTAAGGAAACTCTTCTAAAGTCCCTTAACAGGTTTTAAGAGGGTTATAAAATTCCACACCCCTATTTGAAGGGCTTTTAAGGTCATATCTGAAAATAATTGCTGCTGTTAACATGGCCAAGGGGGGACACATTGACTAGTAATGTGGTGTAAAATTGAACTTTATTTCGACAAAACACTAACTTTTAAATTGAGTGTAACTTTTTCCCATTTGGGAGTTAAACCATGATACTTGGCAAATCAATGTAACTTTGGATAAGCTTTAAAATGATATATGACAAATACTATGAGGACACTGGATTATGTCTGCCTAAGGGGGGCCCCATACTTTCGGGACACCCTGTATACGCTAATATAAAGAGTTTACAGTAATAGAAGGAACCAAACTGCTTTTAAGAGGGGGGGGGGTGTATAGAGATATTGTATATCGTATAAGAGGCTGAAAATTTATTGTATATTGTATAAGAGGGGGCAACATTTATCGTATATGGTATAAGAGGTGTAAAAAATATGGTATATGGTATTTTAGAAAATATGGTATATGGTATCTAGAATTAAAGAAGGCTAATTATGAAGAAATTGTACCCTAAAGTTCCCCCATTGTGCCAACTCTCTTACTGTAACCGTGTTGGAAAAACATGGAAAAGTAGTCTCTATAATTGTCTTCAAATTCAAGGTCAATCGATACTGTTAGTTTAAAGAAAATTCCTCTCAAACTAAGAGTTTTGTGCCCTTTTCCATTCAAATTTTCACAGGAGGTGTTAAATACAGTCTCAAATAAGAATCACGCCCGGTGATCGGAAGAAATGAACGGAGGGGGGAGTAGATCTAGCTGATTTTCGGTAGAAAGTTCAACAAATCTTGAAGATTTATTTTTTCAAGAGAAAGTTTACAATTAATTGGCTAAATGAATAGACGCAGTGGACGGGGGAATATGTTAAGTCTTTTTGGATTTTTTTTAACTGTGGAGTTCTAAAATAAAAGATCTATTAAAAAAGTGCAGCGTCGCCAACATGCAAATGCCAATGTTTTTGCTATAAATGAACCAACAGGGGTCTCCACGACCTGTAATAAATACTTGTAAGTGAAGTAATTATCACAAAACTATTGGGTTTTGTAAAACATGTTACCATACGTTATATAAAAAGTAATCGAAAATTATTAAAATTGAATGGAGGGGGGGGAGTAATTTGTCTATAAGACATATGAAAACTTCCAATAAATCCATATGTCCCCATTTTTCACTTTTCAGAGTTGTAACATCAAGTTACTGAGAAAGTGAGTTCATTTTTCAAGTACACGAATTTGTGGAAATTTCTTCCACCTTAAAGACATTATACTCCCCCCCTCCGTTCAATTTGAACTATTTTCGATTATTTTTTATCTATCAGTTTGAAAATGATTTTAAAAAACCGGCAATGAATTTTGTGATATAAAAATGTCGCTTATATATTTATTACATGTCGTGCAGACCATTGTTGCTTGATTTATAGCAAAAACATTGGCATTTGCACGTTGGCGACGCTGCGCCTTTTTTAATAGACCTTTTATCTTAGAACTCCATCAGTTCAAAAAAAATCCAAGAAGACCTAACATATTTCCCTGTGCACTGCACCTATTCATGTAGCCATTCAATTGTAAACTTTTGCTTGAAAAAATAAATCTTCAACATTTGTTGAATTTACCGAAAATCAGCTACTCCCCCTCCGTTCATTTCATCAGATCACCGGGCGTGAGACTGCCAAATCTCATTGACCATCTTAACTTTGATGAAAAATATGGTCACTATGGCTACTTGTGTTTCGGGGTATGTGGGATAAATCATGAAAATATTTGAGTATAAAGTGTTCATACAGCGCATGTTTTAATACAAGCATCACAATGCTAATATAGCATAATATAGCAAAATGTGTTTATTTGGTCTTCAAATGTGTTGGATTTCGGCTATTTATTGGGGATTTGAACAGGTGCATATGTTAGGCCAATGCATTAACTCCAGATCAAGCACTCATAGAGGTAATAAAATAATTTGAACTTTGAGACAGGGAAGGTTTTTCTGAAATGTTGTCCTTATTTTCAGCCCTTTCCACATATGTTTTTTCAATGTTTGATGCACCAATATGTTGCACTTTGAGACACAGTTAACCTCTAAAATATGATTTATTTGGGATAAAGTGGAAAACAGTACATGTATTTCCCATGTTATTTTCCCATAGGGAAAACTCATGTGATCCATTGTTTTCAGCTTAATTTTGGTCATCCAAAATTGATATCTTTAAAACCCCTGCATGAATCATATTTTCATTTAAAGATCTTAACCATGTCTCAAAACGCAACAGAGTGATCGATGCAACAAACATTGAAAAACAGGTGTGGAAAGGGCTGGAAATCAGGACAACATTACAGAAAAACATGTTGATGGGGTGTTTGCACCTTCCCT